GTGGGACAACACCCGTGCTGGGCTATGCGGATGATCTGGTACTGTTAAGCGAAGACGTGGAAACTATAAAACTGAATACGACAACGTTAATGAATGCCAGTAAAGAACTAGGGCTCGAAATAAACACGGATAAGACAAAATATATGGTTAGCTGCAAAAATGGTGATATCGATATAGATGGTAATATGTTTGAACAGGTAGAGAAGTTTAGGTATCTAGGTTCTACGATAACTAGAAAAACGAAATTGAAGAAGAGATTAAGGTTAGACTGGAGGTGGAAATGCTTGTTATTTTTCTGTGACAAAACTACTTAGCTCGCGCCTCTTGCCCCGCAACTTAAAAATTAGAATCTATGAAACCATTGTCTTATCTACAGTTCTTTATGGTTGCGAAACGTGGCCGCTTACATTAACGGATGGGCAACGACTTAAGGTTTTTGAAAATAAAGTATTGCTTAGAATATTCGGACCGAAGAAGGATGAATTAACCGGAGAATTCAGACGGTTACACAACGCCGAATTTCGTGAACTATATCCGAGTAATATAATTGAGGTGATTTTATCCTGGCGTATCAAATGGGCCTGTAAAATTGTTGGTCTTAGTAACGAGAGAATTCCTAAAAGGTTAATATTTGCTGTACCGAATGGTAAACGTCCGATAGGTAGACCGAAGCGAAGGTGGGAAGATCGCATTAAAGCCGATCTGAAGGAACTAAGTTTGGTTGGCGAACGGTGGAGGGAGGTGTGTAATGAGCGATTGGTGGTGTCGGCATCAAACCTTCGGGTTCGCTAAGCCTTTTATTATTTTTTTTTTTTTTATCACTTTAAAAAAAGGTATTTTCCTGGAGTGGGGAAGAATTAACCTCAACCACTTCACGTTAATTTTTGTTGTTTTATTGGATATTAAGGAAGCTCCTTACTATTCTCGCAGTGTTCAGCAGCACAGCTTTCTGGGCTTCATTTATCGTAGCTGTTGATAGGCCCAGCTTCTCGGTAGCTTCTACAGTGGATTTTGGAATCAGCCCATTGCTAGAGATCACTAAAGCCCTTACTGTCACTTTGTTCAGTCTGTAGAGATCTTTTAACTCGGCTGTAAGAATTTGATATTTCAGTATTTTTTCGGCGCAGACTGAGTTCCCATCATTCTATTATCTCTGCTGTTTTCATATTATTGTTGATCAACACGATATCAGGTCTGTTATGGAGCACAGTATGATCTGTTATAAAAGATTGATTCCAATACAATTTCATTCCTTCCTTCTGGATAAGTTCTTTAGGGTTATACTTATAATAAGTTATTGAAGCATTCACTAACTTTATTTTTAGACCAATTGCCTGCTGATAAATTTTTGCAACATCGTCATGTCTCTTGAGATATTCTGTACCAGCCAGCGCTCCGCACCCTCCAGTTATGTGCTGAATAGACTCGAACATGCTGGCACAGAGCCTACACTTGTGTGATACTGTCTGTTGCTTCAAGACATGTCGCAAGTAAGACCTCGTTCCTATGACCTGATCTTGGATTGCTATCAGAAAGCCCTCTGTCTCTCGAAACAGATTTCCTTTAACCAACCAACTAGTAGAGATTATTATTATTATTATTTGCTCCTTCTACGACTGTATATTTTAATTAGTTATTTATTTGTAGTAAATTATTAAGTGCCATAATTTATTTTTAGTCCGACAACAGAGCCAGTGACAACAAATTTTAATTTTTATACTGCTTATTATCTATATAATTAAATAAAATATAATACCAGCGCTAGCACTTATGAAAACCATATATTTATATGTATATAGTTGGTAAGGTTGGAGTTTAAAGGCGATAAATTGCTTGATTATTACGCCCGTATGTATATAGTACTATCGGAGCAAGAACATTCCTTATCTATGATTTATTTTATTAAGAACATGTTATGTTTGGAAGCCCATCCTAATCTTTCAGCCAAACTCAGCTCTTCACTCGAGTGCCTTCAGTCCCACATTACTATCCTTTACTCTTTTTTTAGTTCGCCATTAAGTTCTTTCATTGGTTATATTTTACCATTTTTATTAATGGTTACAATGGGAATGGTTAACTATTTCAAATTAATAAAAGAAAGATATTTTAAAGGAAATGTTTTTTTTTAAATTTTGTCATGCCAGACTATTTCAATGGGAATAATATCTACCTAATATTAAATAAAACTCAATTTTACACTGATTTAATGAAAATCGTTGGAGCCAATTTTGAAAAAAATTGTAAAATCATTGTGCTGGTTATTCTTGGTTGTTTTAATTCAGGATACCTCAAAATGTGTATGTATTTCAGTTGCAAAAAGTTTCGCAATAATTTATTTTACTATGCAGGACAGGGATGCCAAGAACGGGGTTTTATGGCTGAATTTGTGATATCAAAATTGTTGAGGGTCATAGGGTCATATTTTGACGAGTTTTGGAATTGATCAAAATGGAACTATCCAATTTTAGTAGCAAGGTATGAATATATAACAAAATTTGTGTTGGTGTACTCTTCGCTTGAGGTATTGTTCTGAAATTTATTACTCTTTATAGTGGATTTCATATAACTATTGTTAGTGCAAAAGGTTGTATGTTAAAATTTAGTGTTTTATAGGATTGCATAAAAACTGTTTATTTTTTTTCATTTATTAGTATAATTTCACATTTTATTCTCCTTCGCTATTTTTTTATTTAGTAGACTACACATAATAGTTGCATACTACAAAATGCTTTACCTTTAGCACAAATAGAATAAAAATAGAAAATTTTTACATTCGACCTTCGTAGTGATAGACACTAATAGTAGCGATATACTGCACGTGGCTGTACTTCTAATAAATCCGTGTCTTTGGTTTTGCTTTATAATATTGTTAGAAGTATTTTTTAATATTAAGTCTAAATAAACAAATTCATAATCTGAGGACAATGCCAATTCAGCTTTAAAAAAAAATAATAGCTAATTCATACATTTTCAACTTCTAAGTATTTTGAAGATAAGTTAGTTCGTTCTGTCTCTTAGTAGTGAACAGTACAAGGATGTTTTTATTTTATTTTATTTACTATTTACCGGTGTAGTACAATAAAGAAGGTATTTAATGATAACGTAGTCACTCGTAATCTACGTTAATCAGCAACGTTTACCTAAACAGAAAACTGTTCCACGCAGTCGGCGTTGTTGCCCTGAAGCCACTCTTGGCCTGCAATGTTTTATTTTGTACCTTCTAGCTTTGTATTACAATATTACAATAAAGTATATTTATGTAAGCATTTTGTATAGTATTTTTAGCTATTTCTTTTCATACTGTGGTTGCTGTTAAATTTTAAGTAATTAAAATCATTTGTTAAGATTGAAATGAAATATTTTTTATATCTTTGTAGATTATCAGTATTTTTTCTCTTTGTTTTTAATGATTCTTAAAACATATCCGTATGCATTTATTTATTAATTATGTATATTTATTTGTTAATTTGTGGAATGGTAATCGTCCCCAAGAGTAGAAATACTCAAATACCTCGACTCCACAATAACCTCAGAGGAATGACAAACGGTAGATAAATTTGCATATAACAAGCGCAAATAGAGTTTTCTTCTCCTATTCAATGGTATTGGAATCCCGAAAAGTCCCAAGAAATATCAAATCAAGGGTGTACAATGCTGTGATAAAGCCAGTTCTAATATAGGGCTAGGAGACCTGGACACTAACCTGTGCCGTACAAAAAGTATTAAAAGACTTGATAGAAAAATCTTCCGCACAACTGGAGCTACCTGAGATCACCATATTAACATGGAGAAAAAAAAATCAATTAACAGCTAATTACAGAAACTGGTCAATCAATAGGTATCAAATGATACGAAAGCACGAAGGTTAAGATGGGCTAGACATGTAGCTCGGAGCAATTCATCTGGTAGTCTCCACACGACAATGCCTCGATAGTTGGCAAAAGACCTGTGGAAAATTAAAAACCAGATGGATAGATCGAATCAATAAAGATGCATTAGAACTGCATCCAGATAATTGAAAAATAATAGCCAAGATAAGCAGAGATGGAGTAGGCTTGTTAAGGCGGCAAAAGATTTACTAGGTCTGTAATGCCCAAACAAAAAAATGTATTTGTTAAATTAATAAATTAACGTTAATTAATAAATCCACTGATATCTTATTATTATGTTATCTTATCCTTATTTTAACTTTACTGTAACAATACTTATTCAATTTTCAATCTATTTATTCGTTAACATTCATGTATTTATTTTCTTTATCTGTTAACCCACAGTTATCTAATGTAATCTCTATTAGTTTTTTATACACTTATTCCTTATCTTTTATCGCAATCTGTTTACTTTTAACTTACATGCTATATTCTCCTTTATTTTTATTCCTACTTATTTTCCATTTATTTGTATCTTCTACATATATAATTCTTAATATTTAACTACATTGTCACCCACTATATCTCTGATACCATCTTTTATTTCTGTATCTGACAACTTCTTCTTATTTTATATATACTTATATTTATTTTTTATTTTCAACATGTTTTGTATCTTTTGTAGCCCTGAAGACGACCTGCAAAGTGGGTCGAAACGTCGGCAAAAATTAAAATAATTAATATATTTTAATTTTTTATTTATTTGACCGCACCCTCGACTAACTCCTTCTCATATTATATCAACGGTCAACCATCTCTACATCATTAATAAATTAACATTACAAGAACTCGTTTTTTGTTAATAATACCACCTCATGTTATAACGGTATAGGACAAACTGTTGGGCATGTAGCTTATCTGTCATTCATTAGGGTTTAATCTCACCTAAAACACCTCAAGACAAAAAAAAGGAGGATGACACGTTTCCTCTTTATCATTTATATCTGTATGGTTTATTTACTGTTTTCTTGAATATCTTTGATATTGTCTTGAGCGAACATTTAAAAAGAATTTACCAGATCATGTTGAAGGAACCAATTCAGAACGATATATCTAATTGTTATCTTCTTATAAGTAGCTTTTAGATTTACACTCGTGTAATTTACACTTCATGACTTCATGAAATATTTCGTACTTTACGATAAAAAATCAGTTAATGGAATTCTTAATTGTGATTTAAAACACTTAACTAATGTTGATTCCTTTCTCCCAAAACAAAACTAAATTTATTATATTTTATGTCTTCAGTTCTTTTTAATATTGGAGACAATAAGATTTTTAAAAATAGTTTCCTTGTTTTGAAGCTGTCTCTGATTATAGTTCTGACATAAGCACACTCTAATTACACTTTTGTTAATCGTCAGTAGAGTTAACATTGAGTAAGATGTTATATAAGTAAAGCCAAACATTACCTTGACTCAGTTCATTTGGAAAACAGTAACGTTCGATCGTCAAGAAACAGAAAATGTTGGATCCCAAAGTAGAATATAGAGAAATTTTTAATGATGAAGAACAGCTAAATATACAAAATGAGTTTAAGCGTCTAAAAGGTAATTGTTATGACCTTCAATGGGTTTAGGTGTAGGTGTAATTATTTCTTAGTTCCTAATGTAATCCACTATAATTACCATTGATTTGGATTGAACTTCAGAATCTTGGTGTTATTGTCTAAAGTTTAAACTTTAAACAGAAAGCTCTGGTACTGCCCTGTCAGTTGACATTTATTTTACCATTCACGATCTTAACTTTAACAGAACATTAAATATTAACATTTTTAATAATATATTTAAATATTTGTTTAGAAAAATCAAGATTAACAAACTAAAACCAGAAGTTTGTTGACGTTTTCTTCTCTGTGTACTGGTTTAAGGTTGCTCTGCACAGATAAGCATGGTTCACAATCTCTTCAGTCACACTTGTTTATGAAATCCTAAATAAATAGTCAATTGTTGTGATTGAAATGTCATACTATGACCAATATCTTATTCATTTTCTGCTATCAGTGGAAAGAGTAACACAAGTAAACTGGTACCTGCTGGTATTGGCTAGGAGCCCGATTGTGCCAGTTAATTATTTGATCAATCAGCTGAGGTATTAGATCTTCCTGTTTACCCAGCCTCTATAAAATTGATCATCTTAATTAAATAAGAGAAAAATCTAGTGGTTGAGTGTGTTTTTGTTCAGATCACCAGTAAAGTTTAAGTTGGTCTGTGTACTTGTCCAACAGTACTTCCTTACTAAGTACTGAACTCAAGAATCTTTACAGTTTCGATGATTAAAAAAAATAAAATGAGTCTTCTGTTAAATAGGAAATAAACATTCAGTCAGTATTTTTCCAATAAAAAGACAGTAAAAGATTGCATCACTTTAATAATGCTATCAGCGATAGCATTATTCACTTCTATTATTACATTATATACATTACACATTATACACTTCTTACATCAACATCAACAGTCTACAAAACAATTCAAATAGAGATAGTAAATCACTCCAAAACAATTCAACACATTTTTATCACTTATATATTCTAATAAATAGGGAATTATAGCAGTGTAGTTAATTCAAGAGCTCTATCCTACTAAAATATCCATTACTTTAAATTTATCTTCTCTTATCCACTTTCTTAATAGACTCCCATGAGTTAAGTAAGCACTGAAATTGGCTGTATGTATTGTCGTAAGATTCACTATAATTATAATCACATATAAAATTAGAATTATAATCATAGTTGTCACAAGATATTACGAGAAGGCTTCTTTTGTTTTGGGAATTTATTATATTGTAGATAGTTTAAGTATGAAGGGTTAATATTTTATATAGTTAATACTTTATTTATTGATTAAAAACCACCGTAAGGGCACTAAAATGACACAAATCTTTTATACACCAAATATAGTTACAAGTGTACAATTTCCTGATTTGACTAAGTGAAAATTCTTTAAAGTTATGAAATGTCACTTATTACCTTTTTTCAATGATCCAACATGATAGTGTATTTTTTTTCTAATAAATCATCTTTGCTGTTTATATCTAAGGGGAAGCTGTTTGTGAAATTAAATTTTCTCAGACTTGTGTGATTATGACCGTCATTACTAGGGAAAACTGGGAGTGACTAACTAGAAGATTGGCAACAAAGTGGTCACCTCAGAAAACAAATCTAAGAGAACATAAAAAATGACCACACCGTTCACTTGGCTACATGTCACAATGACCTCTGACAATGACAATGAAGATTTGACCGCTCTGAGTTCTCTCAGATTTGATTTTTAGGTGATGCTTAAAACTATCGTTAGACCACTAAATAGTCATTCCCCCCTGGCCTTATTTCATTTAAGGAAAGTATTTTTTATATATACTTAATCCAAACATTATACATAGTGAATTATGTTTGACAGGCTTACATTTATCAGTACCTTAGTTCTATCTGAGTTGGCTTACTCTGTTTAAAATAACTGATTTATGGTTAAAATATGTTTTTTCAGGCTTATGTTACTTGGATCATACTGGGTGTCCTGCTTATAGTGATTCACAAATATCTTCTGTCTTTGACGATTTACGTAGTAATGTATTTGGTAATCCTCATTCTGGTAGTACTGCAAGCAAATATTGTGTTGATTTTGTGGACCAGATGCGCTATAAGTTAGTTTTTTTAATATATTACAAAAAGTTATAATAATGTATATTGAAGGTAATTTACTTAAAAAACTTTGCCCCATATTAATTAACAAATATTCACTTTCAGAATATTACAACATTTTAATACCTCTGCCAATGAGTATAGTGTTATTTTCACTTCAGGGGCAACTGCTTCTTTAAAATTGGTTGCAGAGTCTTTTTTGTGGTTGAATAAAAACGATAATGAAGTTGGTACGTATTTAATGTGAACACAGAATATATTTACCTATCTCATTGATACTATTATTTGTAAAGTAATGTTACTTATTATTATTATTATTATTGTTGCTCATACTATTAATAACATCTAACAACAGTGTCATTTTGAACAAATACATTGCATGAATAATATTTTTTCTTTATAAATTAGTAGTCCATGGTACAGACCCCTTTTCATCAAATTATGAACATCCGCCTGAAACTTTGTGAATAGCTTCATCTCATCGTAACCTACAACGATTTTATTTAGGAAAACTCCTGGAATTGAAGTGATTTCAATCTGGGCGTTGGCAAACTTTGTCTATTTAATTAGGTACTAAAACTAGTAAATAGGCATTTTCTTTCCACTTGGAATGTAAGATAATTTCATCACAAAATCGAGAAAAAAGGTGGCCTACAAAATTATTGGACCTTTTGGCCTATATAACCTCGTTATTTTGATATTTTGGAGGTGTAGGTCACTCCCAACGGCTCGATATTTTTGAAGGCCACCTTTCTTCTCAATTTTGGGGTGAAATTATCTTACAATTCAAGTGAAAAGCAAATGAGAATTTACCAGTTTTTGGTACTTAATTAAATAGACAAATTTGCCAATCTCCAGATTTAAAACGCCCCTATATCTAGAATTTTCATAAATAAAATAGTTGTTGCTTATGATGAGATGAAGTTATTTACGAAGTTTCAGGTGGATGTTAATAATTTGATGGAAAGGGAACTGTACGTCGGACTATAGTGGAGATTATGATACTAGAACTTAATTATATATTTTTGCTATCTAAAATTTTTAAAATGCTGCATTACAAACTTAATGCAACATTTGTCACAATGATAAAAGTGGTTAAATTGGTTTTTATCTTTTTGATGCAACTTTATTTTGGTTGTTTATTGTAAGTGGGATCTTTATTTAATTTTAATTAAGACATAATGTATTACAATTTATTTTATTTTCCTCCCTACCCTGCCTTTAAGACAATATGGGAGTTTGCAGCAGTGACTTGATACACATTGCATAACAAATCACAGTTGCAAGTTTATCTTTTTACATTTTTACATTGCTATGCACACAGCCTGCTTCATAATTTTTTTCTTATTTTATCGTCCTCCATCTTCTTCTCCTGTCCTAATCAGTGGCCTTCCAGGTACTGCTTCTTCACGCCTACCCAGGGAGAAGTGGGTTAGGCCCACAGTTTTTTTCCACCCGCGGACAAAACTTTTAAAGTGCGGGTAGTTTTGTTGAGACATCAGTTGGTGTAATTGTCTTTCTGTTAGAACGTAAAGCTCTGTATCCCTCATTAATTTGGCCCTCAATGCCTCATAGCTGGTGCAGGCTACAAGGATATGCTGAGCCGTTTCAGATACTCCACAAGTGGGGCATAAGGGATCGATATTTTTACCATGTTTAAAAAGTTTCGCTCTGAAACCCCCATACCCTGTGAGGATCTGTGAGACCCAGTAGTCCGGGAAGACCCATTTCTTTTCTAAGCACGATTCAATGGAAAAAAATTTCTTAGTGTGGACCCGTTTGGGGTTGTCACCCATCGCCGATTCCATTGTTCCAATGTATCCTCCCGGAGGATCATCTTCCATCTTCTGGGGTCTTCACAAATCCTCTCCCGAATGTTTGCTGGTAAATCCGCCAAGCCATCCCTCTTAATGTTGTGCCGAAAAAGGTCTTCCTGCAGGAGGAGGTCGAGAGGAATACAGGAATACCTCAAGACCTGCACCACCTCAAGGGACACAGTTCTGTATGACTTGGTTACTCTAAGCAGGGCCATCCACTGGATTGTTGCCAACCTGCGTAAAGTACACTTAAATTCAATGTATTACAGAGTTATACTATAAATTCAATTAAATGTATTACAATTACTTTTATAAGGATATTTCACATATAAGAAATATTTGCAATAAGGAGAAATTTTGTTTAATTTTTTAGCATTTGCCAGCTTACCCATTTTCAAAACTTCGAATTAAGAGAAAAGAAACATTCAGCGTATCTTAAAGTACCTTACAATATACTACTAAAAGTTAAAATAATAATTTTTTATCAAGTCCTGTCTAGTTGTTTAAATGTACATATATTTCTATATATTTTAATATTCTTTTCGGTTAAAGCAACTCCTTGCACAACCATTGATCAAAAAACAGTAGTCCCAACATAGTACTGAACCCAAGACCTTTCTTGGGATAGTGGTAGTTTTTTTTTTTCTCCTTTGTTTTACAGGTAGTTAGTATTCCATGTAGTACTGTTAATAAAGACCTGGACCTGGAAAAAGCCAGGTAATTTTACAAGATATTGGGTTTAGTATACATATTAATTCTATTTCTTAATGATTTGTACAAAAATATGACCTAAATTGTTATACTCACATCTTCAATGATTGATAAATTCTAATTATGCCGTTATATTCCTTTCTGTTGATAAAGTTTCTTTAATTACTTTGTCTTTCTCCTGATTTTTAATATGTGATCCCTACCATACTTTTTACTATAATATAAAGGATATATTAAGGATTGCTCTTAAATAAGCAATAGGTTATTAGTCTAAACAATTTATTTAAACTGAATAAAATGAGTTATTTCATTGATTCTTTTTTTTTAGATATCAGTTCAGAAAAATCTGTATTCATGTATATGGAAGATAATCATACCTCTGTTCTTGGCATGAGAAACATAATCAGCCAGAAAAATGTTGAAACTATTTGTCTTTCACATGGAGACACTATTTCTGCCTTTAACAGCTCTTCTTCATTTGATTCATCAACTTGTGCTTCTAATTCCTTGTTTGTATATTCTGCTCAGTGTAACTTCTCAGGAGTAAAATATCCACTTTCATGGGTTGATGAAGTTCATAGGGGAGTCCTCACAGCAGTTACTGGCAAAAAGTATGTAATTCAATTTATATTTCAATTTAAAAAAAAAAAAAATCAAATGATGTATTTCTTTTGTATCATTATCACCATTTGGAAAATAGAAAATATGGCTTACACTGTTATTAAAAAGGTGATTGTCCACTTAAATGATATGAATCGTTCCTGCCCAAGATGCCAACTGTGGATTATCTGATAGTTTGCTAAGCATATATATTTTGGCCACTACAATGAAATTTTTGTGTTTTTGTTTTATTATTTTCAATAATGAACCATTGTAATCGAACAAAAAATTCAAAAATTTAACCGCCTCTCAAAATTTAAGGGTTTACGTTTCAGGATACATAGAATTTGAAAAACAAATAATAATTTTTTTGTCCATCTGCACATTTTCTCTGAAATTACCAAACCGATTTTTTTTCAAATTCGAATTTAAAATTAGAGGTCACCTGAGGGAGATCCTCCTTCGTCAACATTTCTATTTGCCTTTTCCTTTCAAGATGGCAACCGAAAAACCTGCGTTACTATAGACTGTAGCGCCTAAACGAATGTACCGATTTCAATGAAGCTTCTCTTACCATAATCATATTTATAATCTTGTATATAGCTTATAAACGGAATTGTGAAATGACCTAGAAAAAATGTTATCTTCAGTTTAAAAAAAATATTGTATTATCTATTATTGCATATCGATAATTAGGAGTGGGAGAAGTGAGTCTCCTCTCTCAGAATACTCAATTGATTAGGTTAAGAAATCATCTTGATCAGAATTGTGAAGATTGAGCCATGAAAATAAAAAAAACGCTAAGTCTAATAAACCACATTTTATAGGAGACAGAGAGAAAATGACTTATCTTCTTTGGTTTAAGCAGATTGTTGACTTCTAGGTATTTTCAAATTCCTCCAGAATTGTGGAACATGGTGGACTTAAAGCGCTCATGCTTGGAAAAGAGCTGTTTTCAACTAATAATTCATTTTCCCTCAGTTCACTTGGTTTGTTTTTGATCTCCCAATTTCAGTTAAATTTAGATAATCTTAAATATCTATATTGACATTCACTAGTTTTATTTAAACATTATTTTTTGATAGGATTAAATTTATTGATTATAGTTTTAAAAATTTATAATATATGTTTTTGTGAAAATATATATGTCCAGCCTTATACAATTGTTGATTTTGTTTAATATAATTATTTTAGATCCCATTGGTATTGTTTGTTGGATGCAGCAACTTACGTGTCTACGAATCAATTGAATTTATCATCAGTAAAACCTGATTTTGTTGCTATATCATTCTATAAAATGTTTGGATTTCCTACTGGACTCGGAGCACTGCTTGTACGGAATTCAGTTTCTTATCTTTTAGAAAAAACATACTATGGAGGAGGTACAGTTCTTGTTGCAATGAGTGAAAAAAATATTTTTGTGCCTAGGCCAGTTCTCCATGAGAGGTATTTTTCATTTCCTTTAATATTATTAATCATATAATATTGCATTGAACAGCTTAATATGAATGAACTGTGGTTTGTATTTCTTCGTTTTCAATTGGTATTTATGTTTCAAGACCAATCTATCCACTTATATACCAGCAAAAAATGTTGATTAAATCTTTAATTGATTTTTTATTGGAAATTTAAAAAAAATATATAGATTTTAATTTTTAATAATTATTACCATTATGCATTGCCTTAAATGTTTTAAGAATTGGACCACACATTCTTTGAGTTAATAATACCTGTTATTGTAAGCTTTTAAATTCTCTGTCTCTTTCCTTGCTTAGCTTTTCATGAGTTTTACATTTTCCACACTTATAAATGATTTCGGTCAAAGTGCCTTCACATACTGCTAAGTGTGTTTAATAATGCTCATTCATAAAATTATTCCTTTTCCTGAAAATTAAATAATTAGTTTGAACATTATTTTACAAAGGACCAAATATTTATTTTATGATATTTTATTGATAGTATCCATTTATCAATCAATTAGTTTTTTAAAACTTGATGTTTTAGTTAATTTGAACGTACGATTTATTTATTTGTTTTTGTAGGTTTGAAGACGGGACTATTAATTTCCTTTCTATTATTTCCCTTGATCATGGGTTTAAGATATATGAAAAAATTGTGAATCTTGATAAAATTTCCAAGTAAGTAGTGGTTTCTATTTTAAAACTTCTATGAACTCTCATAATTTTATTTCATAATTTATTGAAGATGACTTGAAAACCTGTAAAAAAGATTTACTTTGGTAATATATTGCTATATGCATCCAGTGTACATATTTGTTACAAACCTGCATATGATAGATGTGGTGCTTGTTAAGAATGTTTTAAATATTCCATACAAAGTCGTTTTAATTTTTCCTTCTATGTTTTCTTTTCTACAAAAATTAAAAAAAAAAAATCTAAGTTTTTATTGCATTAAATCGTGTTCTGATGCTAACTGAAAAATCAAAATGTTTCTTGTAATATTATATGAGTAATGAGTCATAGACTCATTGAAAATAAAGCATCAATGTGATAACCTTTGGTTGTGTAATGGAATTGTGGTTTTTATGTTTTTTAATTGGAATGGAGAAAACAAATTACATTTTTATAAATTTTGATGTATACAAAGTATTCTGAATAAGATAAAAAAAAAAAACACAAATATACTTATTCTATATTAATGGTAATAGTCAATTCATTCTTTTCATATTAATATAGAAATAATTATACTGGATGCTATGCCAAATTTATTTATTCTTATGAATTCCTGTTGATGAAACAAATCTTAATGATAGTTAGGCACTGAAGGATAGTTTGATGACTGAATTTATTTTACTCGACAGTTTTAGAGGAAAATCAAATGAAAATTTCAGGATAATCCAAAGAAAAATTACATAAAAGTCTTTTATGTATTACCTACTTTTAATTTATGCTTAATTGGTAGTAATTGTGGTTGTTAAAATAATTGCTGCTTTAATTAGATCACGGCTGTCAGACCTTTATCCGCTGCACTCGCAACATACAAACCCCTAGGAGTCCTTTGTGGTTGAGATCAGGCTTACTAAACGGGTCATTATTCTGGGACTAGTGTCCCTTTAGAACAAGTTACAAGTTGGTGTGTCCATAAAATACAATTAAATATTTATAGGATGATTAGGAATACAATAAAATTATAGATAATAAAAAGGTGTATAAATATAAAATAAACAGAGAAAGTAAATTAAGTAAACAAAATATCAATGAATCACAAAATAATCAAAGTATCTGGGTGTACTTTGAGATTCTTACAGCTTAGGTTTTTAAGTGCATTTCGTGATCAATCGGATTGGGAATGGATTAGGTGTTTGATGAGGAGAGATTTGAAAGAGGATATCGATTTTCCTTGTCGAATATCTGAGGGTATAGAGTTCCAGAGGGAGACAACTTGAATTAAAAAGGATTTATCAAACGCAGCAGAGTTCGGTGAGGAGGAGGATATAGGTCGGACGCACGCGATCTGGTAGGAAATAATCACCAATAATCCCTACTAACTGGAACCATGATCTCAATTTTTATTAACAGTGCCAGTCTCTGGCAACTCAAATGTCAGAGAATCGAAAAAAAAAAAAAAAAAAAAAATAGTGTATACTAAGAACTTTTCTATAACTACAAAGAACTGTTCTCTTGTTTAGAAAATTAATGTTTCTACCTCATCTTGATGTCTTCTGTGACAAGCATTTTTCATAAATATTGTGCTAATGTTTATATATATTTTTCTCTTATTTAATTTTTGTATAAAAAACTTGTATCAATGTCATCATTATTATACCTAAACATTTAATCTGCACCCCTTTTTTAATAGTATTTATTTTTGTTGTGCAATTACTGATTATGTTTTTAATTAGCACCATTAAATAAATAAGATTTATTTTTCTGTTAAAATGAATGTTCTATTATAATAATCTATTATCTTATTATTAGACATTGCTTTAATTTGGCAAGATATGCTTTCCACTGTTTGCTGAGGTTGCATCATGCCAATGGCAATCCTTTGGCAATTATATACGCTGATACAGATTACAGTGACATTTCAACCCAAGGAAATATTTTAAATTTCAATCTCCTCCGTTCCGATGGTGAATATATTGGATATGCAGAGGTGTGTTAATATAATATTATTAGTTTTTATATTTAGTTTCTACACATTAAGCGCAGCATTTTTGTTCATTAATCTTTAAGATGAAATACATAAGCCGTGTTGAATGTATTAGTTTATTATTTTTAATTCTTTATCGCCTTATTTCATTTACAGGTTATGAATTTATCAAATCTACATGGTATTCAATTAAGAACTGGTTGTTTCTGCAATCCAGGAGCATGTAGAAGACATCTTAATCTGACAGGCGAAGAGGTTATGAAACATTTTGAGGTATTTTGAAAATTTAATATAAAATGTAACTATGTTAAATAAAAATATAATATTTAACTTCATAACTGTAGTATTTATTGTTAAATCTGACATCTCCTCTGTCCAAAGTTAAGTTCAATCTAGAAATATGTTACAGGTCTCAAAAGAAAGCTTAAGGTTTTCAAATATACTATATGACAGAACTATTATGGCATCAAAGTATTGAAAAATTGATCAGGGAATTTTGAGGTAACTAAATCCAATTGTGATACCACATTTTAAGACGTTTACGTGTATAATTCATTATGACAATATTAAATTTTTTGGGTCAATGCATTTAAATTTATAGGATTCGATTTTCAAAATGAAAAATGATTTTGAGTTTTTGAAACCACCTGTTTGAAATTTAAAATGTAATGGATTGGTCATCCACATTTTTGGAATGTAGGTTTGTATGGGTTGTCTAATAAAACTATTAGACATTTTGTATTTTTAATATTACGTTATATACAAATTTGGCTTTTTCAGAACTTCTTAGCGGTGATTTTTATTTACTAATTTTTTTATTTATTTACATCCCTGCCGTGCCTGATAGGCAATACGGGTTTTAGCAGCAGTGAGATGTTTGATGTTATGTGAGATGAAGCGTTTCCGCGTAACAACACACTGCTGCTAGAAAAACAATATTTATAGACTGGGTCCATATTTCGACTATATTTCTTCTAAGTTTGGTCACGGTTTTCTTCTGCTACTCTGTCCGGCGGCCTTCCAGGCGGTGCAGCTCCTCTTCTTCCCAAGAAGAAATGAGTTGGGCCTATAATGGATTTCCATTTTGAAATAAAGTCTTTAAAATGAGGATAGTTTTCCTCACTCATGAGTTGAGGGAGATCTCTTTCAGTCAAAATGTAGAGACCGGTTTCCCTGAGCAGTTTTGCTCTCTGTGCCTCATAGGCAGTATATGCTACGACAATGTGCTCGGCAGTCTCTGGGACTTCGCAACTGGGGCACAAGGGGTCAATATTCTTTCCAAATTGGAAGAGCTTTGCTCGGAAGCCCCCGTGTCCAGTGAGTAGTTGGGAAACCCAATAACCAGGTTCCACCCATTTTGCTTCTAACTGGGAACCGATGGTGGGAAAATATTTTCTAAGAGTACTTCCTTTCGGAGTTGTTACCCATCACTGGTTCCATTCGTCAAGGGTGTACTCTTGTATTATCTTTTTCCATCTTCCTGGCTCTTGGTTAATCTTCTCACGGAGATTTTCTGGTAGACCTGCCGAGCCTTCTCTTGAAAGCTGATGCTTTAACATGTCTTCCTGCAAAAGGAGGTCAAGAGGAACACCTCCTGCCAGGACCTGTACTGCCTCATGAGACACTGTCTTGAAGCTCTGGTGACGCGCAGCAGAGCCGTTTTTTATTTACTAAATTACCACACCCCCAACTAACTTCTACTGCCCAACAGAAGTGCCCAATCCTCCATCGTTGATGGCGCTAGAATCTACTCTCCTCCCATTCTCTCAAGATATTTTACTTTATCTTCACGTTTCTTAAAAACAGAGCAAGCTAAGGTAGTAAATTAGAAAAATTGTGTATCATATATAAATACACTTGCTGCGGTCAGTTCCATGTGTTTCCGCCATTAATCCGAAAATTCATAACCGCGTCAAAATTTTCCCCCCTCAAAAATTCAAAAACCTGCCAAAATATGTCTCCCCCAAAAATTTTTGGTGGCGCAACTTGCTCCATGAAACCCTCTTCTGGGCATCCCTGCTGCCCAATAGATGTCGATACTTCAGACACCTCTTCTAACCAATTTTAAAACAACCGATTCTTCATTTTCAGTATTCTAATTTATATTTAGTGAGTTAGTTGCTTTAAAATTTGTGGACCCTTATTGGAGTTGAATATGATTCCTATTCTTTATCATGGAACAAAAATAAATAAATAATAAATATTTTTGTTTCCAATATGAATATCAATATCGTTCCACCATATTGAATTTTCGAAAAGTTCAGAAAATTGGACTTCCTTACCTTACATCCAGACATTTGAAATCTGAAACATATTTTTAGTTAAAGCATAATTTTGGTTTGAGGGGAAGCTTGACAAACAATGTCATATATGTATGGAATGAAAATGTAATATATGTAATCTACCAAGAAATTATATAGTTATAAGTTTTTGTTTGCTTGAAACCACTAATGTATTAGCATTCTTACTTAGCAGCATCAGAGTTTATTGAAAAAGAATAGGTGGAAATATACCAGAAAAACATATGACTGAGAAAGCTAAATCAACTCCAGAAGGATGCTCAAAGTGCTGGCTTAAAAATAAATGGTAGTAAAACGAAAGAGATGCGAGCAAATAGTAGGAGTCTAGAAAATTTTCTCATAGAAGATCAAACAATAAGAAGAGCTACTAAATTCTGCTACCTTTGGATTATGGTGAGCCAGTATGTAGGGGCTGATGAAGATGTTGGCAGTCATATAAGGGAGGCCCAAAAAGTGTTCTCGCAATGTGGAAATCCCAATAAATCGGGAGGGAGTCCAAACTTCGCATCTTCAAAACAAATGTTATATCAGTTCTACTATATATCTGCGAGACTTAGAGAGTTACTAAGCAGGTCACCAACAGGCTACAGACATTCTTCAATAGATGTCTGCAGAATATATTGCAAGTATAGTGATCTGAAACAATTTGTAATGCCTAGCTCTGGTCGTGCACTAACCAAGCCCTGATAGATAAAGTAATTAAGCATCGCAAATGGAGATGGCTTGTACACATGCTTAGAAAGAAGCACAGCGATTTAACATGGCAGAGTCTGGAGTGGAACTCCCAAGGCCAGCGAAGATGCGGAATCTAGAGAAATGTCAAGGAGGACTTTAGAGAAGGAATGCCCAGTGCCGGACAGACCTGGTCTGGAGTCAAGGAGCTGGCTAAAGATCGAGATGCCTGGCAGAACTCTGTAGCCCTATGTCTCACCTAAGGGATTCTGGGAACTAATAATAATAACAATGACTGAGAAAAAAAATTATTTGTTTATTTTTTTTAAGTCTCCAGTAAACTTGGTTATACCAAAGAATGGTGGTGAGATAAAGAGCAACTGAATATTGAAGAATTATAGAGAATGGTTCACCAACCATAAAGTTATTTTATGTGAAATTTATGTTTACAAACGTTCATTATTTTAAATTAATTTTTTAAAATGACACTCTATTGACTAATTAAATGTGTTGTTATTTATTTTAAAGGCTGGACATGTTTGTGGTGACGATAATGATCTGATAGAAGGTAAACCAACTGGTTCTATCCGTGTCTCATTTGGTCATTATAATACTATTGACGACGTCACGAAATTCTTGGAGTTTATTGAGACCTGTTTTGTAACTAGGCCTGCCATTAAAAAGTATCCTATTAATTGGCAAAAAAATCATGGTTTAGAAGCTGAGAATAATAAAAACATACCAGGCTCTCTCGTTTCTATAAGTTCTCTTGATCATAAATTGGCAGCTATTAACTTGGTTTATTTTTGGCTTGAAAATGTTGATGACAGTTGCTACTATAATTATCCAGCTGAAAACAATATTTTAAATCAAGATGAAAACATAAGCATTGACAATAAAAGGTATATAAAATTTTCTGATAAAATTATGTTATTTGTAATATTGGTTATCAATATAATTTTTTTTTTAGGATAGGAAACCCTACACTCAGCAATTTATTCCTTTACCCTATCAAGTCTTGTGGACGATTTTCTGTTAGCCAATGGGAACTTTGTTCCACAGGCCTTAGGTAATTCACATTTTTTTTATATTGTATGTAGTTTTCCGGAGCACTCTCTATAGTTTGGATTATTGATGTTGTACTGTAATTTATTTTCTGGGAATAATGTTTAATTATGTCATATTATAATAAAACAAATATTGGTATGGAAAAAGATCTTTATATTATTATGAAAAGATTAAGATTATTGACAAATGCCGATAGTTTACTTTGTAGGTTTGGGAAGTACCAACTTTATTAATTGTTATGACATCTATTAAGTTCACCTTATATAAATATTTATTATTATTCATATATGTTTATTTATTTTTTTTATTATAGGTATGATAGAGAATGGATGATAACTACAGCATCTGGAGTAGTTCTCACTCAGAAATCAGATCCTCGCCTTTGTCTCATCAGACCTTCAATTAATTTAAAAGAAAAAAAACTCATTCTGTCTTATAAAGGTGTCTAAGTTGTTTGATTTTAACTTAAAATAAAATCTGACTGTAAAAACTTGAAACTTATAAAAAAGCATGTTTTCTAATTTAAAAAAAAAAAAAATAATAAACATGAACGGTGAAAATACTTAATATTGCTTTAAAGGTGTTTTCTTTTTAATCGATAATCAGAGAAAGAAATTATCAACTACTTGCTGAAAAAAAAAATCTAGAAATCAACATAAGACTAATACTGCTCATCTTCATGCCACAATGTACTAAAGTTAAAAATTCGCTTAAGATGGGTTTTTGTGGTTACTAACTGTGTAACTGTTATCTTATCTATTTCTTTTTTCTCAAATATTTCAATTTTATCTTGTATGAATGACATTTTTTTCTCATTGTACCTAGAAGAAACAGATGTTTATTGATCTGATTTCATTCAGTTGATAAATGATTATAAATTATCATGATTGGTTAAATGATGTCTGATCGATTTAAATAGTATTGATAATAATAAAGCCTTTGTGTTATTAGGATATCCAAATTTCAGCATCCGAATTGAAGATGAAGAAAGTGAAATGACAGAAGCATGGCTTTGTTCCAGTAAAGTGTGTGGAGACACCGTTAGAGGTTTGGATTGTGGGGACTCTGTGTCATTATGGCTGTCACACGTATTAAATAAAGAGGGCCTGAGGCTCATCAGGCAGCGAGAAAGAGATACCAAATCTGGAGGCATGTGAAATCCTAAATTATTATTTGAATATATGACTTATTAATTAATTAATTATTATTAACAAGTTATTATGTTTCTTAATATATTACATCATTTTTTCTTGACAACCTCTTTTTATAAAAAATTGTCATTTTTATAACTTATGTATATGTTTCAGGTGCACTGAGTTTTTCAAATCAAGCACAATATTTACTCATAAACAAAGCCAGTATTAATTGGCTTTCTGAAAAACTAGTAGAAATGCCTTCCTTTAATAGGGTATTGTATTTTAATTTTTTAAATCAGAAATTGAATATATTTATTACTTCCACTTAACCAATATATGTAATATATAGTAAGAGAAAGTATTGCAATCGTGAAAATTTTTTAATATGAGTTTTCAACGGAAATACACGTTTTGTGGTCTCCTGAATCCAAATAATCAAGTCCCGCAAATTGGTCTATGTGTGGGTGTATGTTAACAGTCTAGTTCAAAAACGTACTTAAGCTATGTGTCTTAGATATGTGACATAAACTTTTTCGTTAAAATCGACTAACCGGAAGTGTCACTTTATATCAACGATCATTCACATTTTTACAATTTTCTCAAAAACGGCTCCAACAATTTTGATTAAACTCGTTGTATCATTGTATAATTAACTGGTCTTTAATATTATTTAGGTCTTATACCGATTGATGTCACTTTACAGGGAATAAAAGCCCAATGTTCAACATGTCTTCCTCTAAAGTACGTTTAATTTGGTTTATTTTAAATAATTAACTACCTTTCGTTGTTAAGGAGTTATGAAAAAAGGCTAAATATAACTTTTGAAAGAATTAGATAATTAAACAAAGGATAAAAAAGAAAAATGCTTATCCTGGTCGAAAATGAATCTCCGGAAATAATAGTCAGAAGATATACGATATAATATATCGTTGGAAAGCGGAGAATTTTAGAAAAAATAATATTTAATAAATAAAGTTATGAAGGTAATGGAGAGTGACGAAAAAAATATAAATAATAATTTCAGAAAAAAATATTCAACATAAATCACATGCTTTAAAGGAAATTAAATTAAATTGATTATCTATATGTAAACTTTTATAATATTTTTAAGTTTGACAAAAAGTATTTAAAATCCACGGAATCAAGGCAATGACATTGTTTAAGATACTATTTCATGTATTTATTTGCAAGAAGAAGTGAAATATAAAATTATTTCATGGATATGTTTATTACCTTAAATATATTTACTGTAGTTTAATAACTATAGATCTGATATTATATTTAAATAATTAGGTATCTATCATCCGTTAATTCTGAAAAATCATCCTTTTTTATTTATTTTTAACTTGTTTATTGAAAAATATTACAACCTGTCTCAAAGGACATTTATAGTAGCTATCAGAGATCACATTCATGTTCTATCTACAATTAATAAAAATAAATTATACAGAAAAATAATATATATACAATAAATAAGAATAAAATAACCTAAAAATAAAAAAATAACACATAAGTACCTATATACACTATTCACAATCAGGCAAGAGAAGTCTGAGCCAGACTTATCTCTCCAACTGTGGAGGAAAAAGCATTAGTCCAGGAGATCCCTGCACTTCTCTATGTTTGTCTGCACTACTATTGTATATCTTTTTAGACAACTTGGTTTTAATATTTCAAAAAATATTATGGTGATCTCTAGCTGAGAACTGTTAAAATTTAAAAATGTTCTTTTCAAAGATCAATAGTCAATTTTAACCTTAAAATTTTAAATATTGGTTCCAGCATAATTATTTATCTTAGTGTGGTGATTTATTTTATAGACATGTGTTCTCTATAAAATTTCTTCTGTACAAAACGTTCCATCATTACTTATTGTTAATTACAAAGTAAGAATTGTTTCAATAAAATTTCAGAAACTTTTAAGTATAACTAACAATTATTTATTGAAAATCTACGGGTTTTCCAATATAACACAAATTAATCTTTATCATTCATTCAAAACTAAAGCTAGTCTAATGACTTCTCTTCTTTGGTCAGTAATTATCACATCGAAAATAAAATTCTTGTTTAAGTTGCTTGGCAATAATAACTTCCAATATAACGACAATTCGTTATATTGTATTATTGCCAAGCAACTAAATTAAATTGACAACTTTCCAGGAAAAAAGAAAAAAGAAAATTCTTGTAGTTTCTATTGTTCTTTATCCATTGTAATCACAAACATGTGTAATATAGCAAAGTTGAGCAGAATTATATAAATAAATAAAAAAAAAAATATATATATATATTTATTTATTTGACGCGAAACAGCCCTGAAGGACTATGCGACTATGAAACTGGTTTCTTTTTCAATTTCTTCCTTTCTGCCCATCTCTGGTTGAGGATGACGCTAAATTTTTTCTTCCTCTTCTCCGTCCACTTCCTCCTGGACGGAAGTTCCTTACTGTCCACCAGATGCACCGCTCTTTTCAGGAATTTCATGTAGTCTGTCCAATCCTCACATAATTCCCATGTTATCCCAAGCTTCTGTATTTCCTGTTTTATTTGTACCGTATATCCATGGTTAAACTTGTATCCCTTAACCCTACTGAAAATCTTCTTGTTTAACCTCTCTTCGGTCATTCTTTGCATGTGTCCATAAAACCTAACTTCTTACCCTCATTTCCGTTTCCAAATCAGAGGTTTCACTGTAAATCTCCTCATTGAATTTTAGTCTGTATCCTTCTGGTGTTATTTTGGGCCCATGGATTCTTCTAAGAATCCTTCTTTCTATTTTCAGCAGTTTCTCTAAACTGGGAAAGAACATTTTCTCCGTTCCGTACAGTATCACTGTATTGTAGTGCCTGATTTTGGACTTATTGGAGAGGCATTTTTTATTATAAATGCTACTCGTTAAATAGCATAATTTCTCCAAATTTTGTATCTTATACTCCATACTTTCTTTCTCCGATAAATTCCTGCTGATTATTTCGCCCAGGTATTTAAAGCTTTTAACCACCTTGATTTTACCGAATTCTGTTTTTTTTTTCTGTCTTCCTATAGTTGGGGTTTGTGGTCATAAATTTAGGCTTCTGCAAGGAGTCCAGTTTTCTCAGCTATTTTTTTCAGCGAATATATCTGTCTATTCGCCTCTTCCTCCGACTCTGCCAATAGGGCCAAGTCATCTGCAAATGCTAGACATTTTACCAGAATATTGCTCCTTTGATTTCCTACTTTAGCTCCTGATGTTTCTTTTTCCCATAAGGTCCTCATAACTTTGTCGAGAATAATGTTGAAGAGAATAGGTGACAGTCCGTCCTCTTGTCTCACACCCGTTTTTATCGGAAATGGTTTGCTTATATTCTCTTTTCTGTTAGAGTTTCTTTTATTAGGTTTATAGTCTTTTGATCGACGCCGTATTCCCTCAGGATTTTCAGTAAGGTTTCTCTGTCTATGGAGTCATATATACATATAAATAAACAAAAATAGTATTGCTATAATTCATTACAGTTGTTTAAAATTTATAAAATGATAATAAGCAAGATGTCAATGTCAATGTTAAGAACATTAGAATTAAAAAAGTCCACAATAATTACAACTCAAATTAAACAGACTTGAAGAGACCGAATATATTTCTACTGCTTTCACTCAGCTAACTAGAAATTCATAGAACCCAGGAGATTCTTTTGGCAGAGCTGCATGCCTCCCTTCCTCTGTAGTAGAAATAAGTTAACTTCTGGCCTATTAATTACAGTGGCTGCCTGAAATTTAGCCTTCCTTTTAATTTATGGCCATTTCACAAGAGAATTTCATAATATTAAGAATGAATATCAAATATTATACTTAATTGTATTTTAAAACAGCCATGGTAAATACAGTTTGCAATTTTAGAGGAATACGTATGCTCAGTTTATTATATTTATATCCGATTCAACATTAGCCTCTTGCATTGTTTCAGGATAATCTGTTAGATAGGTTCAGGAGTAATTTTGTTGTAGAAGGATTATCTATCCCATTTGAAGAACAAAGTTGGACCGAAGTAACACTTGGAGGTCACAGCTTCAAGGTAACTTCTTTTTTTTTTTTTTTTTCTGTAATGAACTTTTTTCATTTAATTCACTTTTAATTTTCTGAACATATAAAAATTTAAATTAAATTAAATTATTCATCAATAACATGTAATTCCTTGTTCTAGTTATGATAAAACAGTTTTAACTTTCTTTAATTGCCATTTGTAAAAAGAAAACAATGAATAATGAAAAAAATACAATTTAAATATGGATAGGGCAGACTTTAATTAGCCAATCTTATTTTAACTTAAACAAGTCACGCAATAGATAAGTGTTAATAATTAGATTTCTTATCTTGGAAAATCAATCTCTTAAGGCAGCCACCGATAATCGCTCCACTTTAACCTCTCCATGCTAAATGAATTGTGGAATGACTTTGAAATCCTGCATGGGGTTTTTGGAGTGATGTGGAGCAGGTGGAATTATTTCGGTCATGTATACTAGGGTACATAAAACTGATAAAATAGAATGATATAATGTACAATTTTTAGGATGTGCCATATTAATAATATGACAACAATATTTGGTCAGTTAATACAATTTAGTTTAAATTTATATTTTCTATATAAGATATATTACAAAAATATGAATATGTATAACTTACGATTTTGATTTCACTTTTAATGGTGGTAAAAATATAAATATTAATTAGAAGGAAATAAACTTTTTTTATAGGATTCAAATTTTTAATAGGCTTGAAATTTCCTCTATTTTTATGTTTTTAGTGAAGATTAAATTATTTAATGTTCTTGCTATTTTATTGTAGATCTCATTAAAGTTTTATTAATCTGTACATTGGTTTGTAAATATCCTAAAAATAAAAAAAATCAGAGGTAATTTTTTTTTAAAACATTTTATTTATCATTACTTACATTACATATTATATTTCTAGTAAATAATTTCCTTTTTTAATTTACTGGAAATATTTTTAGGTATGTGGATCTTGCATGAGGTGCCAGATGATATGTATAGATCAGGATACCGGTGAAAAAACAAAAGAGCCCTTAACTACACTAGCAGCGTCCATGAAGGGAAAACTTAAATTTGGTATTTATCTGTCAAGAGATTGTTCATCTGAAGTTATTTTATCCGTTGGAGATGTTGTTTCGTTAAAAACTGATCCTTCTTAAAAGTAAATTGACTGAGCTATGAATGTCAAATGAAATTCGGTTTTGCACATAACTAAACCTATGAGATAAAGGAATCATGTACAGTGGATATTGTTTATAATGACCTTGAAGGGATCGGGTAAACTTCATCATTATAGCCAATTATCGTAATAAATGCATAATTGTTATAATGACCACTGTCGTTATATCCTATCCATCCACCTGTGTGTCATTAACGGCTGTGGTCATTACATTGAGTGAAAAAAAAAGATAATGAATAATATTTAAGCAAAACAGACTTATAACAATGTTAACTAAAGCTAAAAACATACCTGAAGTTGACACTCCCTTTGCTCGCTTGTGAGGGACAAATTTGGCTGCAACTCATGTGCAAATCTTCAGATAAAATCCTCTGGATTGAACTCCATACTATTTCAGACATCTCACAGAGTTAATTGGTTCGGCGATGGTCTTCATGAGCGAGAGCATTGATTTTGTCAATGTTTTCGTCACTTGTTGTTGTTGAGGGGTGCCTGCACGGGGTTGGTCTTTAATTGACATCTCTCCATTTTTACTACGTGAAAACCACTCGTAGACACTGATTTTACTTAGGGCATCTCCATAAGCAGTTTTAAGCATTACAATAGTTTCAGAGGCCGATTTCTCCAACAGTTAGTAGCATGTGAATCTCATAATCTTTTAATGGTTAAAAGGGATCTTCAAATCTCAAAACAAATCTTTCTATTTTCAAATATAAATTTCTCCAGTCGGTTAGAGTATGTAGAATTTTTCCTCTAAGGAACAACTGTTTCTCTTTGATATTTTTTGAGTGGTACATGGGCTGTATTAAGTAGAAATATGAATTTAACGCAAAGATTGGGGAAGAGGGGATGAATTTTATCATATAAATGTGATATTTTACAATATTCTATTGATATTTTACAATAGAGGATCTATTTCCTAGAATAGATATAAACAAAAGTTTTAAATGTTCTGAGTCTGCTCCGATCATATTTTCTAAATATTCTTAGCAACCAAGTCATTAAATCCAATCAGTCGTTAACCGTGGTCATTATATCAATTAAAAAGTAATTACAAAAGCCTTCTGAATCATGAAGCCTGGGATTTTTGTTGTTAAACCCGATACGTCATGACAACTGGTCGTTATAAATGATATCCACTCCCTATAACTGCTGATTTTTAGTTTATGTTACTAATAAAAAAATATAATTATCATAAAATTAATTATATTTTGCCACAATTTTTAAAATAAAAAATGATTAAAATAATTATTCGTCTTAGCTCATGCTGAATATTTGAGCTTCTTTATTTATTTTTCACTATTTAATTATTATTTGTCAGGCGAATTGAAGTAATAATTTTTATCTTTAGAAAAAATATTTCTCTTTTTATTGGAAATTATATGCGGTCAACACTTGGTGGCTCAAACCTCAGTAACTTGAATTATTTTAAATAAAAATTGTTTTCTGATCAGTTCAATTGTATTTGTTGACAAAAATAAAAGGATATCTTAAAATGATTTCATATTTTCATCGCAATAGTCATAACAAAAACTTAACTTTGTTATTCAGCTATTTGTTTAGGTACCACACAACTAAACCGACCAACTCCGATCCATTAATATTTAAGCATTTAATTTTCATTTATGATGAAGCGAGAAGATTGTGGAGTTGGTTAATTAATCAAAAACAGTCGTAGTCTATCCACTTCTTCAACTCTGCTGAGTTTATTGCTGGCAAAATAACATTGGACATTGAGTCACCTACATCCTTGTAAAATTAGAACTTAGAACTAGAATTAGAATTAGAACATGAATAATGTAGCGGGGAGGGTGAAATTTTTGGGAATTTTCTTTCCTGATTTCTGGCTAATTCATCTGGTTAATCCTTAAAATATATACTACAACAGTTGTTAGGCTTGGGAAGTTGAATCGAATGACACCTTGAACGGGAGGATCGGACAAAGTTGAAAAATGAGTGTTTTTATGCGACAACGCGTTACAGATGTTCGGTATTCCCGATTTTTCTCGTTGAGTTATGATAATTTTTTCCATCTGTTGAGTAGTGCAACTTTTAAATGTGGCTCGCGATAGAGTAGGTTGGGATGGTAATTGAAGTAAATAATTACCTAATCGGGATCTCTAAACAAATTAGTCAAGAATTTATAATTTTGGTTCTACTCAATATTTTCTTTTCATTTAAAGCTTATATTTTAAGTCAAGAAAACCTAAATATAATGCCAAAATTTCACAAGTCTACCATCAGCCATTGCTGAGCTTACCCCTGACAAAATTTTGTTGGACAATGCGGACATCCAGACACATACAATGTTTTTTAAAAGTGGATTTGGTGTCTGCAATGTGTGAAACAGAGAGATATCATAAAATTGGTTGATTCTACTCAATGTACAGACAAAATCTTTATTTTATTTATATAGATTACTTTTATGACTCAGAATGTCAATAAGCTAGCCTCTCAAATATTTTTTAGCTCAAAGTTATTTCTCAATTCCTTGAAGTTGGAGTTACTGAACATTGGCTGTATATATATTTTATATGGGTTTATAAGCCACTCTTTAAAGCCTGAATACTGTACATGTGATATAAAATATAACTGTTAAACTTAACACATTTAAGTTTAGGTTATATTTGATAGAAAGCCTATTTACTTATACTATTATGTATATATGTATAATATGAAGTTATACTGTTAACCCTTAACTTTAAATGAAGCACCATTCATGAAGACTGAAATGCTATTTATTGTATTTTATCAACTTCTTACTTGTCAAGTGTATAATTTAATTAAATAAAAAATAAATGTATTTATTTGTAAATGAATTTATTTATTTTAACCTGAAAGGTTCCTGAATACGAATTCATCCTTTTGGACGAAACGTAACTCATTTTTGATGTTTCAACAAGGAGGGTCTCAATTTGAATAAATTTTATATGTGTTCACTCATCACTCCCATTCTCAAACCAATATCAGCATCTCTTTTTGAATGCACCTCCAGATTGGTTCCATATAAATTTCAATAGAATCTGATAAAAACTAAGAGATACTCCCAATAAGCATAGTGGTTTATATTTCTAGTTTTATTTCTTTTAATTAATAAAACGGGTATTTATCCTTTAATAAAGATAAAGACCACTAATAAATTTAAGTATTGAAAAAAATAGGTCAATCCAATTTAATTTTTATTTTATGCTCAATAAATTAAGTACCTTAAGGATATTAGACTAAGTACACGCATGGTGCTATGTATGCCACAGCATGAGTTTTTGTAACATATAAATGAATTGGTTAGAGCATATAGACAGCATGATATAATACAATGCTTTTTGTGAGAGTTCCTTGTGCCAGACATCACATTCCTGACTTCAGTACTCTTATTGTCGCTCAAAAGATTTCTATTATCTTTATCCTATTATCAAATTTGAAAACTTAATAAAAACAAAATCAGGTATTTTTGACATCATTTTGAATTATTAGTCAAGTATATTCAAGTATATCTTACCAAGTTCAATCATAGCACTGTCGGTTGTTTTACCCTATTATAGAAAATTTGCATCCCTCCTAACTATTAAAGGCTGCATCTTGCATCTCGGCACGGTATCCACATGTAAATTGAAATGTGCTAACTTGAGGTGAACATAATCATCATTGAGGAAATGGGATTAAACAGAACAAAACATTATTTTACAATTTATTCTAAATATTAAAATATCTAATTACTGGAAATTAAATTTAAAAAAAAAGATAGCCTTTCATGATAACCGAATGTTTATCTGAATGCTTTGCAGCTTAAAAATTGGTAGATATATTGGTATTTAACATATTTAGAGGACTGCTGCCAATTTTCAATTAAGAGCTTTTGGATTAGAGATTTTCATGTGAGGCCATGGTTATACAGAATGATTATTTCTTTCCTAAAACATATTACGAAACATACAGATTTAATTTCAAGATGATTTTATGAAGTAATACGACAAAATTCTAACATTAAATACTAATTTAAAACTGAATTCTAATCAAATATCTAGCAAGACAAAATAACAGAAATGTTTTCAAAGAAAAAGTTCAATACATTTTATTCCTATCTTGTTTTTCAGTCAATTTATTTTGTCTTCATTTAAAATTATAACAAGGTAAATTTTTATATAACATTTGAATAAAAAAATCAACAGGACACAAATAACTTTAATATCTGTACAAATCCAAAAAAATATTTACAATTATAAAATGAAATAGAAATAAAAAACTATAAACACATTTTCATAAATTAAAAGATCATTTACGCATTATTTCATTGTTTAAAAATGATTTCTGAGAAGTCATATATGATAAGTCTACAGCTTTCGAGCTCTCGGTGTTCTCAGACGAGAAGTCCGAGGAGTACTAGGTTCTGTTTTCTTGGCTGATGATCTGACCCTTCTTTCAGACCGTGGTGGCGGTATTCTAGGAGTTTTCGGTTCAATAAATGTATCATCATCATTTTTCTTCTGAGTTCCGTCTTTTCCCATTAATATTTCTTCTAGTAGTGAATGTCCTTCAGTAGCCAATTCCTATTATGAAACAAATTATATAAAAATATTATGTATATAAAATATTAAATATTTGATGATGCCCTACTTACTTTCAACTGAGGTTTGGTAAAGTGTGACTTGAGAGCAGTATTAAAGATTGACTGAAGGGCTGAATAAACTTCAGAACATAAAAGACGCTCATGTAACATAGGTATTGAATCAATCAATTTTTTCAAACTCTTCTCTGAATAATTTAGTTGTAACAGACAGAAAGAGAGCTGGCGCCACTGAGCTTCATCGTTTGATTCTTGAAGTCTACTGCACAACTTTTCAACAAGAAGATCGTTTTGCCTTTCTTTTCCCAACAAACTAAGAACGAAACTGTAAAACAAAATCACACTTTTGTTGTAATTAGAACAAGAAAAATATCTAGTTTAAAGTAGTATTATAATTTCAGTGATAATAAGGATATTATAAACAGCTCGCCCATGATAATAACACACTCAAAAGTGACTTCCAAGAGTGGAACTAACATGGCATTAAGTTGAAAGTCATATTTTTTTCCCGATCCTTTGATCTTATTTACAAAAATATGCATGAGTTTGCCCTTGGGCAGTACTATCTGATTGTAGATAAGCTAAAGTTTATAATCTTCATAACAAATAATATCCAAAGAATGAAGATATAAAATCTGTTCACAAAATCTACTTGGCATTAGTAATATCAGTTAAAAAAAAAATCAAATAAATCATATTGTATGATATACATGACAGTTCACCTTAATATCCGATTAAATGAAGAAGTTGGAATCTTTTCATCACGATCAGGATTTGACAAACGAGATATTATATCAGGGACAACGTTGTACAATGTGTTTCCTTTTTGAGAGAGTGATATTAACAAATAACGAACCCGATCTGAAAAAAAAAAGTATACATAAGTTACCATATAATCAAATACAGTTGAAATAAACAGTTCCACAAAAAAATATTTTTTTTTGACATTTCATCCAAGTTTTTATGTGAAATTATTTTATACTTAAACTGCATTTTTAAAACTAATATATTTTGTTGATAAGATATATTTATGTATAAAAATTGATAAATTGATTGAAAAAAAAATATTACTATACAAAAAAAACAAACAATATTCTGGGTTTTCGAAAAGGAAAATGAACTATCAAAAACAAATATCATCTTATTATTCAAGATTTCCCAATGTCTTCACCAAATGACATTGGAGAAAATCATGCAAGATGTTGTAACCCTTATTAGAATGTATAGGATAGACAGACAGTTATTCAAGTAACATAAGATAAAATATTCAATTGAAATTTTATTGTAATAAAATATAACAAATGTTTTATTACATTCACTAACCTATATATGAAGTATATACTAAAGGAAAGTATTGCGATTGTGAAAATTTTCGAATCTCCGTTTTCAACGGAAATATATGTTTTGAGGTTCTCTGACTCCAAATAACCATATCCTCCAAAATGGTCTGTGTGTTTGTGTTTATGTTAACAGTAACTCAAAAATGAAAAGTCATACGAAAGTGAAATTGCGTATTTAATGCTTTTATATGCTTGGGATGTTACAGCAACTTTTTTGTAAAAATCAGCTAACTGGTAACTGGCATTTTAAATTATCGATTATACACATTTTTACAATTTTCTCAAAAACAGCTCCACCGATTTTGATTAAACTCAATGTATCATTGTATAACTAAGCAGTTTTTAATAAAATGTAGATTTTATTCTCATTGATGTTCTCTAACAGAGATTAGATGGTTAATTTTCAATATTAGCTTCCCTTAAAGTACCTTTAATTTTTTTTATTTGAAACAATTAACCATTTCACATTAATCTCTGATATAAAAAATAGTTAAATATAAAATATGAAAGAATTTGATAATTAAGAAAAGGAGAAATAAGAGATTGTAACAGAATATTTGTAATAAAGGAATCTAAGGAATACAAGCGCGCCCGAGCTCATCTGAAATATCAGAACTGGCTTCTATTCGTAATATGAGCTTAATATAATACGGACTTCAACAACATTATGGACATATCCATATGCAGTTGTCATAAATGCTATTGTTGGTATTATTTAATATTTAATTATATAGATTACAGTGATATAAATATTAAAATTTGTATATATAAGGGTACTTAAAACAAATAAAAATACCTACAATGAAATATAAATAAATATAGTGTCTATAATTTTTACTTCCACTTCCCCTTGGTCTGAAAATACTTATTTCTGCTAAGAGGATTAAGGAGTAAAAGTTCTATGATGCGCGACTGCACCAGATTTTTTTTTTGCAAATAAATTGTTTTCCTGGTTTAAAATTAATAGAAATTGTTATTGTTATTAGAACTAAATAAGATATATATAAATTTTCACTACAAATAATTCACAAAAAATGTATTTTATTTATTTGAAATGTAATGTATAATGTTTTAAATAAATTTATCTAATTATCTCTAATTTATTAAATATTCATTTGAAACAATAAATAATTTCACATAAAAACTTGCACCTAAATGAGTTTTTAATTTTTCAGAATATGTATGAGTGTTATAAAAAAAAAAAAAAAGGTTTCCTGTAGATGAATCAAATTCTTTAAAAAAAAAAAATATGAAATACATAAATATATTTGAATAGTCAACATATTTACCTGAAATATGGGGTTCTGGATCTTCCAAACATAGGCAAAGTTCAGCTATTTGTCCTCTTACTTTAATCATTTCCCTTGTTATTAAATGGCTAAGTACTGTAACAGTATTGCTTCTTACAAGAACAGAACTATCTTTCAATCTAAAACATAAAAATACAATAATTAACTGAATATTTTAATTTTTTTGATTGAATACAAGTAAGATGTATCATTAAAAAATATTCCATTCAGTAAACAACAGATTAAAAACTGTGGTGTGCCCAACACACAAATTTCGCTTACCGCTCTGCTTTGAATAGAAATTATTTTCTGGCAATGCTGGGCTATTATAAACTTTTTGAAGTGTATTTTTAACCAAGCTAATGCTTAAAGCTTACAGCTAACAAATTATCAATGCCATTAAAACAACAAAAATCCTATTTATTATATCAATGGTTGATTATGGATTGTACGACTATTAGTTATTAAACTGTCATTTTCCATTGCAAAGTTTACTAAAATGGAACTAACAGATTTGCGTTGTCTGTCATAGACAGGTCAAAAGTTGTCACACTAATTGTAAGAGGACATTGTTAGAATATCACAAAGGAAAAATTCATCAAATTATTCACTAATTTGATTTTCTAAAAGGTTACTTGATGATTTTTTGGAATAAAAGGACTATAGATACCTAATTATTTAAATATATAAAATCAGATCTAGAGTTTTTGAACTACACTAAATATGTTTAAGGTTATAAACATATTCAAGAAATATTCTTATATTTCACTTCTTCTTTGACACAAGTACAATGAAATATTATCTTAAACAATGTTATTGCCTTGAATCTGTGGATTTTAAATACTTTTTCAAACTTAAAAAAAAAAATTTAGAAGTTTACATTTAGTAAGAAATTTCATTTAATTTCTTTGAACACATGATTTACGTTAAATAATGTTAGTTTTTAGAAATTATTTATATATTTTTTGCCACTCTCCGTTATCTTCTACAACTTTTTAAATTAGATTTTTTTTTTTTAATTCTCCGCTTTCCAACAATATATTATACGTATACCTTTTGACTATTATTTCCGGATATTCATTTTCGGTCTGGATAATAATTTTTCTTTTTTTTAAGGGCCCTGTCACAAGAGAAGTGAATCACTTCTTCTAATGGACAGGAGTACCATTAAGCGTGACATGATTGTACTTGTACACTGATCACTGCCAATTAAATAAGCACCTTTTTAATTTGGGTATAATTGAAACCTCCACCTGCAGGCTATGTGGTCTGGAGGATGAAACGACCTATCACATTATTTGCAGATGTGATAATTTGGCTAGACTGCGATACTTGCACTTTGGATGTGATCGTATCAATGACCCTAAGCACTGCGAACTGATTAAAATTCTATTAGTATTAACAGGTTCGCAAAGGCATATGGTCAGTTTTAATTGAGTCTAGGACGATGCACAATAGGAATTCTTGAGGCTGCGGTGCACTCTCATGCCAGAAAAAAAAATGTATTTTTCTTTTTTTTTTTATCCTTTATTCAGTTATCAAATTCTTTCAAAAGTTATATTTAGCATTTTTTCATAACTCCTAACAATGAGAAATAGTTATTATTTATAAAACCAAATTAAAGGTACTTCAGAGGAAGACATGATAATGTTGGGATTTCAAAAAGTGAAAATTCATCAAATTATTAAGTAATTTAATTTTCTAAAAAGTCACATGAAGATTTTTGGAATAAACGGACGTTGATATCTAACTATTTAAATATAATACCAAACCTAGAATTATTAAACTACAATAAATGTATTTAAGGTTAGAAACATATGTTTTATACATCCTTGAAATGATTTTGTATTTCACTTCTTTCGCTCAAGTAAATAAAATAGTTTTTTAAACAATGTCATTGCCTTGATTAGGTGGATTTAAAATACTTTTTTCAAACTAAAAAATATTATAAAAGTTTACATTTAGATAGTAAATTTAATTTAATTTCCTTGAAAGCATGTGTGACGTTAAATAATATTAGTTTTCAATAATTATTATTTATAATTTTTTTTTTGCCACTATCTATTACCTTATATAACTTTCTGTATTAGATATTGTTTTTTTCTAAAATTCTCCACTTTCCAACGATATATTATACGTATACCTTCTGACTAGTATTGCACTAATAGATTCTCACTAGGAGATTCGAAAATTTTCATGACCCCAATACTTTCTTCCCTTACTATATATTAGATATATAGGTAAGTGAAAGTAAAAATATAAAAGAGAATAGAGGAATTCAAGCAAATGATTTACTTTTCCTTATAAATTTGTGGTGGAAGATGTCATAAAACATAAAATACAAATTAACAGATCTAAGGAAATGGTTTGTTATACATAAATTACCTTCCATAAAGATGACTAGTCCATGGGTCAGCAATGTTAGGCCATCTGTTAATGATATCACCAAATCCCATGACTACATTAGCTCTAACTGTTTCTTCGGGAGATTTTTCCATGATTGTAACAAAAACCTAAAATACCATAGAAGTTATTGAAGATAATGAAGAAGTGTAAGGGAGCTTAGATGACAGCCGTCTATTTTTTTTTTTTTTAATGCAAAATTAACAAATTTAGGAACAAAAAATTGTTAATACTTTTGAATTATTATGCATACATAGCTGGAACCAAATCTATTGCATCAACAAAATTCTTATCCTGCATAAATGGGGTTTATACCATTGTAAAGAGTTAAAAAAACACCAGAAGTAAACTGTTGTTAGTTCCTTTTTCAACAAAATTAGCTTATCACATCATGTCATACACTTAAGTACCCTTTATATATTATGAAAAAGATATATAAAATAAATTACATTTCTAGGATACTGAATAAATTATAATAGAGTTCCTTTTAAAAAATAAAAAAATATACGTATATATACTTTTTAAAAATATATAAAAATCAACATTTGAAATGTTTGATTGGGTGCAATTCAAAAAACTGTAGGTCAAGTCACCTGCATGTTATTTTCACAAAAAGAATGAGATATCATCATAAGCTTTGCCAACGTCGATGCAGCAATAGTTGCCAATTTTTTGGATACAGAACATTCCAAACCAAAACAAATTTTCACAACTAATTCCCTAAAATAAAAAAGAAAATTATTTGTATTTTAATATCTTAGTTACAATTAGTTTGTTAATTAATATATCATTAGTTTATTGCAAAAGTCACAATTGATGAAGTAATACTTTTAAGTATGTTTTTGTAAATTTTGGCTTTATTTATCAATGCAAAAACAGTAAGTGCATTCAAATGAAGCAAACCCTTTTATATATAAAAATACTTAATTAAGTACACATTATTCTTATTTCACAGAAGGGAATTCCATCAAAGTACTTAGTTGTTTAATTTTACGAAATGTTTCTTAATGACTTTTTGCAATAAACTGATGATGCACTTGTTTTATTTGGGTTATTATAGGAGTAAGGAAGAATTTTAAATTCTATGAAAAAAAAACCAAACAACTAAAATTTATGATTTTAGAGCTAAACTTTTTGGGTTGTTTATACTTTATGTCAAAAATATAATTTAACAAAAAATCAACAATAAATTTGGGATAATTTTTGTAAGAAAAATAACCTTTGTGGTATGATCAATATTAGGATTATTCTAAAATGAAAGATGTTCATTTTCATTTTTATGCCTATAGCTGTTATCTACAAGTTGAATTAAAACTTCTTGAATTTATGGCAAAATTTACTAGATAATATTTTTCAAAGATTTCTTACCAACAATCATAAGATTATAATTTTGTTTGCATTTGTTTTTTTTGTTTTTTTTTTTGTGATATCCCCTATGGCTGTTATCCTGTATTAATGTAAACAAATACAAAAATATGCTTTAATAACAAAATTTAGATAATATAAAATATAATCATAAATACCGTAAATGAGAATCTAGAGATGATTCTAAGAATAACAAATTTTCACAGATTTCATTTACAGAATTTAATAAAGCATCATTGGCAGCTTCTTTATTTTCTGTATCTAATTCATCCTGTAATAAATAATGAAATTAACGATTTAAAAAATTTCTAAGTATGGTGTAATGAGAAACTTATAAGAAGATCCAACTTTCTATAAAAAGATACAAATGAATTAATGCATCCATAGTATAAACATTTAAATGATGATATAGTCAATCATTATTAAATCACTAGATTAAAAAAGAAGCTTCATAATGTTTAAATAAACTAGGTATACATTAGGGTTAGATAAAAACAACTAAGCAAAAATAATACACTAGAAATAAAAAATTTCAAATAAAAATTATTGGTTACATGTAAAATAATAGGGTGTATAAAAAAAAAAATAGTTTTTCAACTAAATATTTGTATTATTATTTCTTTGATATAAAATACAATTAATACTTAAAGTATAGTCCATTTTATCTATAGTCATTAGCCATGTGCTAGCCAAGTGCTCGATTCCACTCTTTGGGATGGTTGTCAAAGAACTCTTGGACCGCAATTTCAACTTCTGCAAAATTATTAATTTTTTTCGCTTGAAGAAAATGGGACATGGATCTAAATAAGTAGTAATCCGATGGTGCGAGGTCTGGACTCTATGGTAGATGTGGCAGGAGTTGGAACCCATAAAATTCTTTTAAACTTTCTAACCTCTTAGCTGATTGCTGAGGAGTAAGTTAGTGAGAGATCAGTATACCACTCTTTTTCACCTTCCCCATGGAGAGTAGATGGCGACTAACAGTATCTTTCAACATACCATACTCCCTGGCAAGTTTGTGAGTACTTGTGGACGGATTCGACTCCAGCTTCCTGCAGACCTCATCAATATTCCTTAATTGTCGCCTGGAGCCCTTCTTCCTTTCCAACATTGTATCTCTGCTGTTAAATTTTTCAAACCAACGCCAAGCAATACGCTGGTCGAGGACAGCTTCACCTTCATATTTAATAATTTCACAAGTTGTTTCAGGGGCTGTGAATTTTTTTTTCCAGTAATACCTTAAAATTACCTGAATTTCATAGGACACTGTCATGTTTCTTCTTTGATACAAATAACTAAACTGAGGCTTTTTTTGAAGAAGTCAAATGGGATTATACAAGCTTAGAGAATGCTCTAAAGGAATTATTAAGTATTGGTAAGTATTAAATAGGATTAAAATATTTCCAGTCCTTTGAAATCTTGAATTTGATAAAACGGTCATTTTTTTTTTAATATACCCTATTATTAGAAATGTTTATCAAAAATTATATGAATCAGTATAAAAAAAAAATCCATAAATATCTGATTTAAAATAACTTGCCTCCAAGGACATTGATTCATTTCCTTGTGATTGTACATTAACATCTTTTTTTAAACTATTAAAAACATCTCGATCAAAATACTGCCATTTTCTGTAACATAAAATATTCAAAAATCATTTCCTTGATCTGCTAATTCTTAATGCATAAAAGCTATAATAACAAAAAAGAAGAATTAAGAGGCCAAAACTAGAATAGTGAGAGGGAGAATTTAATATTGCCACTCCTCCTTTCATTTCCTTCCAATAAAATTCAACAGTATTTTAGGTAACATATTTTGAAATATCATATCATCTTATTGGATTAGGAGCAAAATAGTATTTCAATCAGAAACAAATTATTTTTCAGTTTGCTCTCCCTTGTTCTAGTCCTGGTTCTTATTACAAACCAATAATTGTGCTAAAACATGTGAGCTATCCTCTGGGTTAAAATAGATCAAAGAAGTGTAAACAAAATCATAAACTTTGATTTGTAATTTTTTTTTCATTTAAAAAGTTGTTATTATATGTATGACAGCTAAAAAAAAAATGTATATTGTTATATTATTAGCTAAAGTTTGATTGTAAGGAAAAATAATGCACCTTTCAAACTTCATCTGGTTTATTAATCCTGTTGGACTATTATTTGGGCAACTCTGCCAATTTGGAAAACTTTAAGTCAATTATCTAAAATTAAAAATATAATTTTAAGTTCATTTTTTAAATATAAAAGAAGAATATTTGAGCTATTAATTCGAAGAATAGATTAATAACAATTAAAATAAAATTAAGAGATTCACTTTAAGAATTATAAATCCAAATTATGTAATTTGAGTACTTGTACAGTTTCAGCACTGCAAACATGCCCTGACGATGACCCACATGTTTCGGTTGAAATAAAAAAACAAACAATAAAAAATATAAAATAACTGCTTCCCGATTATTTATCTTTTGTAAGTTATGTAATAATTATAAAGTGTAAAATTTTAAAATAATATAGAGAATTATAAAATTTTTACCTAAACATTGATTCTCCATATAGATGGAGAAGATTTCCCAAAAGGTGTTCATTGTAAGCTATCCCTTCTTTCTCAGTTTCACCTGGACAATAAATTAAGTTATTTAATAATTTGAAGTAACAATATAAAATATTTTAAATAATCGAAAACTTACCTTTTCCTTTATCACTTTCTTCAACAAATATCTTATACAATTTTTCCATGACAGAATCCATTATTTTCACGGGATAACAACAGAGCTAAAGAAACAAAATGGTAAAATGAATAATTAGTATAAAAAATGTTGTACTAACTACTTAGAGTAAAAATCATTGTCAGGACCTATACTAAGTCAATGCTAAGTGCCTAAATAAATCTCAATGAAATTGATATTTATTTACTGTTAATATAGAAAAAATCTACATTAGTGATTTACCTTAAAAATCATTTTGACTACAGAAGTCGCCATAGGAATAAAACCTTTTGAAGATGTGTCTAAAAATTTACTTATGATTATATCTGAAGCTTTAGAAAATACTTCATGATCAGAATGTAACCTAAAAAATAAATAAAAAATTAAAAGTTAAACTATTCAAATAAGGCAAGTAATGAAATAAATTATAAGTAATGTAATCACCTAGTATATTTATTTTCCACCTTCACATCAGAAATTTTACTAATCATTTTACAAACGTTCTCAACCAACATTAAATTTTTCGAATCTGAAAGTCCATTTTCGATCAGAATATGAAGGTTAAGCATGACCAGCTGAGGATTTTTCCTTAAATGCACATAAAAGATATTTTTTCATTAAAGTGATAAACCAGATAAAAAGAAAATAATTATAAGATCATTAAAAATCCATTTTAGGTACTAAATAATGATAGATTTTAAGAAGAATATAATCTAAAAACAGTAGTTCAAGACAAGTGTCAACAAGATGATTGAACCGGTTAATTTAGAAATAAAACATGCGACATTTTCACAATTTCGAAAATCACTAAAATAAATTATTTCAAACAAAAATTTTCAGATGAAAATTCATGTAAAATACATAATGCAAACAATCAATCTTTACATTATGTATGCAATGTATTTTCTAGCTCTAAAAAACTTGTCTATGAAAAAGACCTAACTAAAAAATTATAAAAATTAAACATGTGCTGTTTCTGAAATAACTGATTCAATTGAGTTGCAGTGGGAGAGGAGAATTACATACGTTACTATAAAGATAACAATACTTAACAAATAATAACTTGCAGTAAACAACATTATTAAAACAAGGATGAGTCATAAATAATTTTCCATAAAATGTTTACGAGAAAAAAATGTGTACATATATATATATATATATATATATATATATATATATATATATATATATATATATATATATATATAAAATATATATATATAAAATATATATATATAAAAAGAAGATAAGGCCAAGAGTAACAATACATTGATCTTATTTTATTGGTCTTTTGTAGTTGGCGCATTCTGATGTCTTATAGCAATGCGATGAACTTTATCAAAATTCTATAATCTGTATCTTCACAAAAATAAATACTTATGTGAACAATCTTATTATGATATAAAGCAAGATTTAATGTCTACTATTGAAATATTGACAGATTTTATCTAAAAGTGATCTCACTTACTCAGCTATCATGTCTAAAATCATTATCGCTGCAACACTATCTTCATCGGTAGTTTGAGGATACATTTTTGAAAATTTTTCCCAAAGCACCTGAAATAAATATCTTTCACTTAAATTCGTACGTCATAAAATAATACAACCTAAGTATATCATCATATTAAGTTAAGGCAAACTATATTTAACTGACCTGTATAAATTCCTTGTCTAAATCACCGTTTTGATACCAAATACGAAATAATTCTTCCATAGCTGATTTTTGCTCATTATCTGCCTCCTTCAACAATTTAATGAGCCTGTTTGAGACCTAAAATAGAAACATTATTAATTAAGTATTAAACTAACCATGTTTAAAATGGAGTTTTCATTAAATTAATTAATTATAAAAAAATAGCAAAATTATAATTCATAATTGCTATGTATTGTAAAGACCGCCGGTGGAATAATTAGTTGAAAGGTATAAATAAATAAATATCATAAGTGCCAACATCTGGTGCTACCTGACCGAGGGTAACGACCAACAAGCCCAACCTTTTGTAAGTGGTAATAAAAACCTTTAAGGACCACCGACCAAGACCGACAACTGAGTGTTTAAACAGGATCCCGAAAAACCTTTTCACACCTTCCACCAGAAATATGGAAATCTGTACCTGCTGCTTTACCTTGGCCTGGGGGAGAGGGCGTGGTTATCCCTTAGGCTGAGAATATTCAGCCAATCAGGAAAAAGACTACCAAAAGAGAGGGGGATGAAAAAAGGTGGGAAATAGAGAATTGGGACTGAACACTTCCTCTTGGGACTCGGCGGAGGAGAGCGGGGACACAGACTGAGACTGGATCAGGAGAAGCGGAGAGAGCAAGACAGGGACTGATAGCTGGGACTCAGGCTAGAAAAACTATGAAGGACCAGCTAAGTGGTCACAAGCATTTAGTTATACTAATGTAAATTTGTGTTGGCAACCATACATCATTAATTAATAAAATCAATACATCAAGCATTCTCCTCTAGTATGATTCTCAACTATAATTATGTATATAGATTTGTTCAGTATCATTGTATATATTTTTTGGATATTCAAATTTGTAAATATAATAGTTAGTAAACCATCTTGATGATTTTACATTCTACCTTGCATGCCACCAACTAGATAAAGAACAAATAGTAAATTTAAAAACATGATACCTTTAGAAAGGAAATCCAATAAAAATGATATGGTTCAATCTAGGATACTACAGTAGGGAGTCTGTGGTATCTTACCTTTAAATACCTAATTAATATATTTTTCTGTAGATCGGTTCCCTTCTGGAACCGATATGAATACAAATGTAACTATTAAATACAAATAAATGGGGTTCCTGGAACCCCCTACTCGCCGTAGAAACGCGAGGCCAGGAACATAGCATAATATGAGTTTATTATAATAACTAAGTTGCACTTAAATAGTCAAATTTTGTGAACTTTTGCACAAAGAAACTTTTCTTTGGGGAACTTATGAGATGACCTACATTTCCTGTTTCTTTTAAAATAAGTGAAACATGTCACCAATAAAAAAAAAAAAAAATCAAGTAGTTGAGGGCAGGGAATTTAAAATCCCCTCCAGCTCCTGGACGGGATGCAAACTCGTACTTTTTAATCTCTCATAACTTTGGTTATTTGGTTGACGGGCAACTAGGGGTGCTGTTCACACGCGTTAGCCCATTCGGCCACCCCGTCCCCAATTTACAATGTAATGAAGTATTTCGTTATATAAAACTAAGCTAGGTTTAACTAATAAAGTAAAATATTAAATAATTTACTCAACCTGCATAGCTCTTCCCTTAGCAGATGGCTTGTTTGAAATAACGTACAAAGTTTTATAAGCACCGATGATAGCTTCTTTTAGGCCAGGTACTTTGGACCATATTAGAAGAATCATCTGTCTAATCACACGCCTGGAATCTGCAGCATTAAACTGATAGGCAGTAGTAAAAAATTCAATTGCTTCTGTTGCTTCCATAGTACTACTGCTGTAAAGAGAAAGCTCGACGTCTTTCGAAGCTTCAGCCATCAGCAATACAAATGCTATAGCATCCTAAAACAAATTGTAAATATTTTTTTTCCATATAAGTAAAAAGTAAGTATATTTATGTATATATAAAGGAGTTTGTATGTTTTTAAATAAATTAAGGTAATTACCTCCATGTACTGGATCATTAACTTCTGCTGATCATTTTCTTCCATCTGAGGGTTGAAGTTATCAGTGCAGGTAAAAAATATTTTTTTAAGAGAAGCAATGTAATACTCAACTAAATCTGAACGGTCAACATTGCATCTAAAAATGAACATACCTCATTATTCAGCATCAATTTAGGATATGCATAAAGTACATCAACGTTTACAAACCTAATTTCTTTTGCATTGGGAAACTGTACTTCACAAATTCTAAGGAGGGTAAAAGCATCACTGAAATGTCTATTTTGAAGAAGACGAGCAATAATAATCATCGTATCTTCCACAGAAACTCCATCAGATTCAGGAACACTTTCTATTTCCTTATCTGGAAATTAATTAAAATTTAGAAGTGAAACATTTTTAAATGTTATTCTTCAGTTAGAATACAGTGAAATATAATTGGAACCTCAATAGCAGATGTTGACTATTGATTATAAAAAAAAGTAACAATAATGATTTTAAATTTCAGTTAATGACTCATTACCTGATTCAAGCTGTACATTCAGTTGAATGACTAGATCTGGTTCAATGAGGCTCCACAGAACCTCCTTTGAATGAACTTCTTTGGCTTCCATAGCTTTCAAGTTTTCTTTAGCTTTGGCAAGCTGATTTCTCATATCAGATAAATTAAACTTAAAAAAAAAAAAAGAGAGAATTGAATATGTAAATTCAAGACAAAATCTATAACTAAACTTATGATGCTATGCAAAACTAAGAATTAATATATTTGTAATTAATATTACAGAAATATTGATTTCACGAAAGTTTCAAGTTACCATTCCAGCGTAAGGATTGTCTTTCAAGATAGTTTTGAAAAATTGGATTGCACTTTTAACAACATGGCTGCTACCATCTGTCAACCTTGATTTAGCAGTTCGAAGAACTGGCATAAGAGTAATTTTTGGAATCGCATGTTCACTGGCTAATTTAGACCAGAGTTGCAGAGCCTGAAAAAAGTGCTATGGATTAGATGAAAACTTAAATAAATTTTTTTTATAATGTTAATAGTAATTAGATTAGTTATTTTTTACTTATCAATGTATTCCAATTAAACGAGTTACTATAAATCCAACTACTACTTGTATAAGATGAGAAAATATATTTGGATATATTGGTAAAAAAATATTTATAATGTCAATTGATTATTTTTAAAGGCTCACCTACATGATGGGGGTGTATAGTCATTGCAATAATAAGTTAAAAAAACCTTTCAAAATGAAGCACACCTTATGGTATTATTAAGTAGTATTATAAGAACATTTATAAAATCAAGAAAGAAATATCATTTCGTTCCAAGGAAAGAAAGATATAAGCAAAGAGACCGAAGAATGTAATATATAATTCCATAGCAGATATAGAACGCATCTAAAGACATTATAAATAATAAAGAAACTTATAGATATAGCAAAACTAAATTATTTAGACTTAAATGTTATATACTTCTCAAAAATGATTAATTAACTTTGAAATATACCTTAGATCTGACATATGAACTTTGATCACGGAGATGATTGAGAAGGTATTTAAGGAGATTTGATCTGATCTTTTTTTCATCTTCTGGTAAATCATCTGATGAAAGACGTTTCAGAATAATATCCGCAAAAGTGACTAGCACTGCATTTCTCAATACATATGGCTAGAATAGTTTAACACAATATAATATTATATTTTCTAATATTAAAAAATAAAACGCAGCGTTAAAAAATGAGTAAATACCTCAAAAGCCAAACAACTAGTTAATATATTTATTGAAGGAATCAGAAGTTCTGGGTTTGAATCTGATATACTATTTATAAATGCAGCAACTGCCTTTCCCATACCTTGGACATCGTCATCTCTGATTGTAGTAATCAACTCATTTAAAACCTACAAATATTTTATAAAATAAATAGATAAAATTTAATAAGTAAAACAAAGAATGTTTTAATTTTGAAGAAGAATGTGGAAGATATTGGATATTTTATGCAAATATAGTACAATCTTGATAATTGTTATCCCTCCGAATACCATTGCCTTCAAGAACATCCTTTCAAGATCCCAAAAGATTCTTTTCTTTCCACTTTCAAATCCACAATAGCAATGAATCGGAAGTTAAAACATGGAATTTCAACATAGTTTTGGGCGCTGATAATGAATTTTATCTTTAAATTTTACTTTATTTTTGCCATATTTATGATTGAGCTCTTTGATGAAAATAATTCATTAATTTGAAATTCGTCAAACTTAAAATTCGAATATCCAATATTTCTTAAATATTATTTGTGAATAAAGAGGGCATGTGAGTACAAAATATATATAAATTTAACAAATAGTTAAATTATCTAAGAAAATGAAACAGATAGTTTTTTATCTCAAAAAAATTGAAGTAAGGAAATAATTATTTACAGCTAACATACAGAATATTTCTGTTTCAAGAAGTACTATCAACAATAGTAATGATTATTTTTCTTTGCTATATATTTGATATGTAGGTAAGTGAAAGTAAAAAAGTCACATAAGGTATAATGGGAGGTCTTAAAATGACAGTGAGATAAAATTTTTAAATTTCCAAAAGGTCCCCTAACATTATTACTAAATTTTTCATATATTTTCATTTTAAAAAATATTGCACCTGACAGTTATCAAAGGATTTCTCCAAGTTATTTCAAAAATTAGAAATTTATGGTCTCCTAAATGTAATTTCTAAGAGGAATCGAACGAAAAGGGAGGTGGTTGTTTACAATAAAGTTTGTCGATTATGTTAATTAATACCTATAATGGTCATCATGCTTTATTAATAAAAAAATACAAGGAAAACAAATTAAGCTTTGCATTATTTTGAGTTTGATTTCTTATTTTTCATTTATAATTATCTATGGCCCAAAATGTTTGGTAATTAACAACTTGTCAATTCCATATTTGTTGTATTATCAAAATTGGAATTTATAAGTTTCTTTTATGAATTAGTTTAAGCATTTCATTGTAAGAGTTTTTGTAATCTGAGATTATAAAAAACAATACTTACTTTTGCAAGAAGTGAAGTACACTTGAAGTCAATCACCATAACAAGCACAGCACTAGACAAAGCACTGACAGCATGTTCGTATTGTTTTAACAGCTAACAAAATAATAATGTTAATAAATAAACAGCTTTTAAAATAAAACAACGATGAAGAACAAGTGATTGGAATATAATAATAATACCTGAACACACTTTGGAATAAATGTCATTCCATGATTGTAACGATTCACTAGAACTGCTAAAATCTGAGCAGCTGCATCACGAACTGGCTTCATTTTAGCTTGTGTGATTTCTGCATTCTCATATGCTTTGTAACAACAATTGGCCAATAAACTGCAACAAGTCAGCATTTCAAATAATAATCACAGAAATCTTCTAAGAAGCACTAAAAAGTAAAGATAACTCACTTAACGAATTTTTCTTCAACAACAGGGGGATCCCAAAATTGATGTAAATCTTCTTCTAAAACTCCACTTAGTGATGTAAAAGCAGTTTTTTTAATTGAATTCCAATCCCATGGCGTTTCATATTTTGAAACCTTAGCTTTACTTTTAGAAGCTTTCCCTTTCTAAAAAAGAAAAGGAAATTATATGTACGAACATATATATAAAATAAATTACTAAATTTTTAAAATGCACCCACAAATCTTCTAAATCTGTTATTGTTGAGTAGTGAATAAATCAGTTATAATATATTTTCCTACCAAACTTAGTTTTTATTTTGAATATAGGATTACTATCTCTTTAATTCAAAAGTTACTCTCTGATTGTCATAATACTGAGAATATATTCTTGGCTTATGTGAAAAAGATCTTTAACAGAGAACCCAACAAAATGACCAATAATTATTATTCAACTATTAAGTTGTTTTATTCAATAAATTTCTGAACTTCTCTGGAAAAGGAGAAAATTGGAAGAAATCGAGGAACTACGAAAAGTAAATGACAGCAGACTTTTTTTATCGTAGGGTCAATCATGAAAGAGCCGATATCAAACCAACTTCTATCCCATGCAAGAGCGAGGACGGTTCGCTGCTCATGAAGAAAGAAGAAATTCTCCAAAGATGGGTGTACCACTTTGAAGCTCTACTAAATGGCTCAACAGTGAAAGATGCAGAAGAAGTTTCCAGATACAAAAATTGAAACGAGAATACAGAGGAAGAGAATGAATCCTCTCCGGATTTTGAAGGAGTTATGGAAGTGATCCACAGAATAAAAAATAACAGAAGTCCCGGTTTGGATGGCCCTTCCATTAGAGCTCCCTAAATATGGAGGTGAAAACTTGCATGAGGACCTTTATAATTTGATGGACCAAATTTGGGTTGATGAAAAGATGCCAACGGAGCCATTGAAGATGGTTTGGCATGTCTGCTATTCATTTTAGGGCTTGAAAAGGCAGTAAGCCATTCAGAAGTTCAGACAAGAGGTACAATTGTCAACAGAAGATTTTCTAACAATCCAACAGGCTGCCTCGCTGGAGGGCCTTGAAATAAATGAGACCAAAACTAAATATATGGTGGTAAAGGACGATGGAGATCAGCAAGGAGAAAGTCCCATAGAAATAGGTCCATACAAATTTCAGAGAGTGTAGGAGGTTACTTACCTCAGGTCCCTTGTGACGTTGACCAATGATATGTCGAAGGGAATAGGAAAGAGGATAGCAGCAGCCAACCGTTGCTATTTTGGCTTAAAGAGGCAGATCAAGAGCCAATACTAACAAAGCAGACTAAGACAAGACTATACAAAACTTTGATTAGACCAGTTTGACCTATGCCTCACAAATATGGACAATGATAAAGACTGATGAGAATAGCCTCCTTATAGAATGAAAAATTTTGCGATGAATATAGAGCCCTCTGAAAGAAACAGAAGTTTGCAGGAAACAAAGAAACCGGGAGTTATACATTCTCTATAATGAACTAAATGTCGTCGACTTCATCAAGCTTGGGAAGATTAAGCTGGGCTGGCCATGTGATTCAGATGGAGGATGGTGATATTCCCAGAAGAGTCCTTGAGGATAGGATTGACTGCACCAGGAGGAGAGGCAGACCCAGGCTAAGATGGATGGATTGCGTGGCGGCTGACTCCAAACTACTGCTAGGAGCACCGAACTGGAAGGCAGCAGCAATGGATCAAGCTGGATGGCGAAAGCTCTTAGAGGAGGCCAAGACCCACCCCCAGGTTGTAGCGCCAACGAGATAAATAGACAGATAGGATAATGAGAACATTATAGTCAAGCTAGTGAAGTAACTGCAGAAGGGACTGAATATCCAAGAAAAGTATAATAGAGGATTGTAGGATACCCCTCGTCAAAAATCCTGAGAAAAAGAAGTTCAAATAGATATGTTGGTACAAATTATGGTGTGACCAAGGCTACACTATAGGCCTCAAAGTAAATTATTAAGGCATTAAAAAGAAGCTCAGGTTTTATAAATAAAATTTTTAACTATATTTAATAAAATAAACAAAGCTTTATGAAGATTGATATATTAAAAAAATATTAGAAGTGAAGAACTTACTTTATCAACAATGAAATTATCTGATTGATAGCATAACTTTTCTTCATAAGTTTTGATAAACAATGAAATTATGTACATATTCATTTTTAGCAAGTTTAATTTACTTTGATGAAGTGAAGAATCTCCACTTTGCAATGATTCGGTAACAAACCGCCGCAAGTCTTCAATAACTAAAAGATGCACAAATATCAGAGTATTTTATTTTATCAAAATGTAAACCAATAACTGAGAAAATATTTTTTTTAAAATACTTATGAAAATAACGGAATCCCATAATTCTTGTAGCTGATTAAAGGAAACTTCTTGAGAATCTTGTAACAATGAAAATATTACATCAAAATTTTCTGTTATGCAACTACATCCTCGGTTTGCAAAATCTTTCCTTATATCTGAAACAACAAATAGGCCCATATATTGCAATGGCAATAGAAAACAAGTAATTACATGTTATCACTATTAATGATGAGAAATTTGAAAGATTTGACAGAAACTTTGAAAATATGAAAGAAAATCAAGATACAAAAATGAATTTATTCCAAGATGATATACAAAACAAAAAATGATAAAAGTGAAGTAAATTAAACTAATTACAAATAAATGGTTTTAATGACAATCAAAGTGACATGATTGGTAATCTCATAAATTTTTATTCTTCCTTGACAACTTGCATTATTTGCAATCAAGAGTAAAATAGAAAATATTCAAATAGAAAAGTGAATACTCACCTCTTATTTTTTTATATGCCTCATTTAGATCCAATAATTCTACACAATATTGTCCATCAGTAGGTTTTAAAAGATCTTCCTTTTTTAATGGAATAACAAATTCAACATCCATTTTTAAGATGATAATAATAATACATTAAACCATATATAAATATAAGTATTTGTCAACAAAAAGTTGTAAATGAATGCCTTTATTGATGATAGGTAAAAGTGATAAAAACCACACCAATTTTATGTAAAAGTTGCAATTGATAAAAATAACATACAAAAATATAAAAGTGATGGATAAATAAAGTAATTAACCAAAACAACAAACTTTTTTTTTATATGGTAACCTCTTTTCCCGCCAAACGTACTTAGTAGGTTAGAATAGTTAATAGATATCTACAAAGAGGTAAACAGTAATGTAAAGGTGCGTTTAGATATTTCACAAACTATAGGAAAAACAATTACCTAACTTTACTAAAAAATAGCGTCATTATTGCTAAACTAAACTATTTATTTTATTCCTCTTGATACCGACAGCAGATGGAATATATCAAAAAATATAAACAAAAATATTATCTTATTGAAATGACCATTTATATATTTGTTTGTCCCATAGTTTATGAAGTGTCTAAACGCATCTTAAAGGTATAAATTAAATAGCTATTGTTTCCAAAATCCAAAGACTCGTAAGGAACATTCCCATGTAATTAGTACTTAATGTTTATAAAATGGGGTTTTTATTCATCAAAGCAACTATTGATGAGTTTTATTATACCTAATGAGTTTTCTCCTTATGTCCTATTCTGGGCTAATATTCTCCAATAACAGATTCCTAACAAGTCATCTGATACTCAACTCATCCATTTCAATCTCACTCTTCCAGTCCTATGGATTTAACAAACAGAGTCATGTTTGGAAACCGATAAATGAAAACTCCGCTTAGAACCCGATAGGAGATCCAATGTTTTCAAATATTTATCTTAAAGACGTTAAGTGGCTGAAGTGGTAAAAAAAATGGGTGGGGCACAGCACCGACCATTGCCCAGCAACCTGTTAACCGAAGTTATAAACAATAAAATAATTACTAGTTCGCGTCCCTGTGCCGAGGGAGACTTTTTAATTCTGGCATTCATTCCTCGCCCTCATCCCCTGGTCCGGGAAAACCCCGTATAACCTAAAATGCGAGGAAGAGGGGAACAAACAATTAAAAATATGGTGCGCGGAACACACAACTTTCACTTACCCTTCTACTTTGAATAGAAATTATTTTCTGGCAATGCTGGGCTATTATAAATTTTTTTGAAGTGCATTTTAAACTGAGCTAAAGCTTAAAGCTTACAGATAACAAGTCATTAAGACCATTATAATTACAAAATGTCTATTTAATATATCGACGACAGGCAATAAAAATCTAATCACTCCATCTGCTTTTATAAACCACACAACTTTCTTTGCTTTTATAAACCATAGAATGGCTGACTCTAATTTCAACATTTTTGAGTGATGTCATTTCAGTGATATTTTTAGTTGAAAAAGTTATCTATGCAGACAATGAGTAAGTTGATTCCGGAGGTGGTGATTGCAGTGTTGAAATATAGAACTGAGAATGAATGTATAAATTTAGGTACTTATTTCTTATGAAAGATGTTCTTAGGAAAGACTCTTTATTAAATATCTGTAGAAAAGAAGTTTTTTTAGTTTCAACAATCAAAAAAATATATTTTAAATTTATCCAAATTTTCGTCTCTTCAGGGAAAAAACTAGAGACCATATCTTTCCTCCCAATTGTCCGATTTTAACGATTTTTTTTTTTTGTTTTTTTAGGAAATTCCATAAACTTTTAAAAAATCATATACAATATCCCCAAAAAAGCGTATACTTTTTGAATTATTCAGAATTTAATTTTAACATCCCTCGTAACTTTTTTTCAAGCTTGTTTTTGTTGAAGTATGTTATATAGATAAATTTAAAGGGTACCGAGAAAACGACTTTAGCGAAGTTTCATTGAAATCGGTACATTCGTTTAGGCGCTACAGTCTATAGCAACGCAGGTTTTTCTGCATTTTTATTTTTTCTCCTTTTTCAACTTATCAAATTCTTTCAAAAGTTATATGTAGCATTTTTTCGTAACTCTGAATAATGCGAAATGGTTAACTTTTTAAAATAAACCATATTAAAGGTACTTTAGAGGAAGAAATATATGAACATTGGGTATTTAAGCCTTGTAAAGTGACATAAACAGGGATAAGACCTAAATGATATTAAAGACCACTTAATTAAACAATGATACACCTAGTTTGATCAAAAACGTTAGAGCCGTTTTTGAGAAAATTTTAAAATATAAAGTGGCATATATAATATAAAGTGGCACTTCCGGTTAGCCGATTTTTACGAAAAAGTTGCTGTCACATCCGGCCCATATACAAACCTTAAATACTTATTTCGTACTACTTTTCGTTTATGAGCTAGACTGTTAACACACACAGACACATGGACAGACTCACACACACACAGACCATTTTGTGACACTTAGTTATTTGAACTCAGGGGACCTAAAAACATGTATTTCCGTTGAAAACTGAGATTCGAAAATTTTCACGGTCGCGATACTTACCCTTACTATATATAAGTAAGTGAAAGTAAAAAAAAAAAAAAAAAAAAAACTTCAGATTTGTTTATTTTAATGAAGAACTTCCCATATGAATTATTTCTATGTTTTTATATTTGCTCTTTAAAGGTGTGCATATTTAAGCATGTCCAATGTGATTTTTGGTATGCTGTGCTTTGTAGCAACCCCATTTATTTGGAAAAGATAACTTAATTAATAAATAATTCATGTGCTCAGGTTTTTATGAAAACCTTGGTTTCGTCTTGATGTTTCATAGCAATCAACCAGTAAATACAATATATATATAGATAGTTTATTTTATTTGTCTAAGGAAATTCCTGTACAAATAAATATAATGGTATAATTCACAATATTAGATCTTGAGTCTAGTACTGCATTCAAACATAACATTAACAATGTCCACAGCATTAAGTATGACTAATATAATATAATATAATAACAGATTAGTAAACGATATATATATACATAACAATTAGTAAAACATTTATTATTATTATTTTTTTTAAATATTCGAGAGGTATAAGACAAATGACAATATAAATAAGAATTAATATATGTTATATGATTTACTTTACCACTTAACAGTTCAATGAACAGCCCTGTATGAAATGATACAGTTGGTTTATTTTTTTCGTAGTGTCTATTTTCAGTTTCTCCTCCACACTAGCATCTTCTCTGGATTCAGTGATAAATGCCTTCAAGTACTTATTTCTTGGCTCGTTGAACTTGATACATTGGATCAGAAAATGAGTTACCGGGTCAGTTACAAGGCAGTTGCATGCACCACATACCTCACTGGATTTAATAGTCAAAGTAGCATCTTTTAAGTATATTTTCATAAAATCTTTACTTGCTACTCTGAGACGACTAACGGCTCTTAATTTGTTTAAATTCAGAGCCCTGAACTGAAGATAATCATCTGGTCTGGTAACATTAAAGTAGCAGATTTTTCTATATTTTGGGTTTGATTTAGAGTTTAACACTCAGTCGATGTCCTTGGATGAGTGATGGTTACAAAGTTACAAAATATTTTATTTATAGTTGGCTGAGTAAATTTCAATATTTGACCTATATCTTTGAAATTGCATAAAATTGTCAACGTCATAAAATTGCATACTTAAAATAAATATTCCCTAGAAAAAACACGTTAGAATTATAAGTTACAAATAGTAGCAGTTAGTCACGCGTAGCCCAATTAGAATTTCGAAAATCTTTAGTGAGAGCCCATCCAATAAAGCACAGTTGAGGAACAAGGTTAATGTTATGTTTGGAAGATACCCTTGTACCTTTGGCAGGCCCCAGTTAGACCAAGGACCGCTGCCGGGGAATTCCCCCCCTTCCATACCTCCCTCTCCTCCGAAGGGTACAAAACTCCTCCAAGAGCCTTTCTGTGCAGAAATTCTTCAGTACCTAGTCCAACATGTTTCTGAGTAAGTTATCATTTTTTTTTTTTTTTTAAGAGATCTTTTTAATGTTAAATGAGGAATAGTTTTCAGGAGGTTTATAATGAATAATAATCACAAAATAAACTCACAAATACTTTATTTTGGAGTTTGAATAATAAACTAATCGATATCGATAACTAATCGATATGCTTCTAAACATCGATAATACTGATATAATTTGATAAATTTCAAGTTATCTAATTATGTTTTTATTAACTAGGCCCAAGATGCAATGTATTGTGAATATCTTGAGTTATTTCTGGCGAAATAAACTTTATTTGAAACAGATGTGGTTCTGAATTTTCATATTTTTGAACCGATCGCTCTATTGCACACGGCTTATACTTACTGAGGTAAAAAATTAAAGCAAAGTGTCAGGAAGTGAATTGATTTTGGCAGATTATATAAATATTTTTGATAATATCATAATTATAGTACTGTGTAAAAAATGTTCATTGAAAGAAAAATGATGAATGAACCCCTAATAGACCTCGAATATCCTCCTCTAGCGTGTCTTGGCCTAAATTTAACCTCAGTAGTTTGATTATTCATTAATAATTTTGTTTTAAGAAATAAATAGCATACTTTTCAAAGATTTTGTATTCTTAACGGTTTTCTCGATTCTATAGTACATGAATTAAATTTATCTGACGAGAAGAAAAATAAAATGTACGTTGATTACTAAAGTTGATAAATATTTTAAATGCCTATTCCAAATAGAAAAGGTACATTTTCATATTTAAAATTTCCTTTGAAAATTATATCACTGTAAATTAAACATTAATTATTATTTCTAAATATATTTAAATTTATGAAAAATAAATTGCAAAAATAAATGTCTAAAAATATGCTTTTCATTTACAAAATATAAGAAGTTAATCAAGATTAATTTTTTGCACGTTTAACAGATGAAATTATAATCAAAATACAATTTTTTAAATTAATAATTAAGGCCGGTGAATGATGATTTAACAGGTAATGTTAACAGTAGATACGAGTATTTCAAAGATGGATTAGATTTCTTTGCTTTATAATGGAATTTTTCTGACTTATTATTCTTTTTTATAGTAGTTTTTATTAAACAATTTATTGTTGTGGATTTTAGATATTCGAATTTTATCTCATTTTTATATTTTTTTTATTATTTTAATTTTAATAACTTTAACGGAGTAACAAAAAATAGATAAACACATAAATTAGCATATGATATAATGAGGTAAATGTTGGTTGTATTAGGAAATAATTCCGGATTAAGGTATATAAATGGTAATATAAACTAACATGAAAAAAGAGGTTTATAACAATTAATATGACTAATTTATTACTTCCTGCATATATAATCATTATTTCTCAAGAAATGAATATTTAGAAATTATTTTTAATCTTCCTTGAACTACTGTTTGACGGTTGCTTGAATGTAAACGTTTGTTTATTAAGCAAATATTTATCGATTTTTCCTTGTTTGTTAAAGTTTAAAATAAAATAAATTTATGTATATATCGACCGAATGTTTCTCGATTAATTTCCAATTATTCAACCAAACTACGGGATTACGAATCCTAATTACTTTCTCACCTGTGAAGGAATCCATTGCTTAACCAAGTTTGTTCCCACAGGTGATAGCGAAGGTCTGAAAAAGAAAACTAGATTTCAATAGTTTTTTGTTTCATTATCCAGCACGTCTATCTACATTTACTGACTGAAATTAATTTAATTACAATACAATTTCATTTAAGCACTAGCGGGTCCAGGATTTAATTTTTTAGAGGGGAGGGCTTCAGCCTAAAAGCTTCTATGTTATATATAAAACGATGATTATTTTGGAAGAAAAAGAAAGAAACTAACTACCTATATGAAATAGTTTTTAAGTGATTCTTGAAGTCTTATTAAATGTGATTACACGAAGAGCACTGCATTTAGAGATTATTTTTTTCATAAGACATGGTTAAGCCATCCCCTACTCCTGTAGATACGCCTGTGCATTTAAGTAACAATTTTTTTTATTACTTCCACAGCTACGGTAAAAAATGGTAAATAGTAATATATAGAATAATAGTTGATTTTTTTTTAAACATAATTCATTAATAATTTTAAAAATTCATATTTTTCTAAAAATTGTTAATCAAATATTCCCATCTTTGGTGACTTTACTTTTAAATTAGTTGGGAAACCAATCAAACAACTACAAAATGGTTACCGCTTAAATCCTTTACATGCTATTGCTTGTTAATTTATTCTACAGACATTCGAAGTTGCGTCAATACATAACTCACGGACACAGTGATACTCAATCATTTCTTAAGCAACATCTCATTCGTATGACTGTTGTTTCCAACAGAATATATATATACAATGGTGTGAAGAAGTCTTCGAACAAACCAAATCTTTATAAAAATAATAAATGTTTCAATTTAAAAGTTGTTTTATGTTCTTAGTTTAAATTAAACTGATTTAACCTTGTAGACGTTGTTGATGTAATGTATATGTACTTAAATTAACATTATTTTTAATTAACAACAAGACAAGGGATCAATCCGTTGAGTTGACGTTTTTTCTCTCCTTTGAAAGATGATACCATATTATTTAAGTTTAAGTGAAATCCCAACATTATCCACTTACAATTAGTGTGGCAACTTTTGACCTATCCATAGCAGGCAGTGAAAATCTCATAATTTCATTTTAGTAAACTTTACAATGAAAAATAACAGTTTAATAACTAATAGTCCTACAAGCCATAATCATTTATAGGTTAAATATTCAGATGTACTTTCAAATCACTCTAAGCATATATAAGCCTTTCGGTTGACAGAATGACTAACTCCAATTCAACATTCTTTATTACTAATTTTAGAGATGTTTATAGTGGAAAAATTTACTCCTTTATTCACAGTTCTATATTTCAACACTGCAATCGTCTACTCTGGAATCAACTTACTCACTGTCTGTATAGATATAACTTTTCCAACTAGAAATATTACTAAAATGACATTACTCAAAAATGTTGAATTAGGATTTAGTCATTCTGTCAACTGAAAGGCTTAGAGACTGAAGTTATATGGTTTTTAAAAGTAGATGGAGTATTAGATTTTTATTGCCTGCTTTCGATAAAATAAAAAGATTTTTTGTAATTTTAATGGTCTTAATGATTTGTCATTTATAACCTTAAAGCTTTATCTCCGTGTAAAATGCACTTCAAACATTTTTATAATAGGTGAACATTGCTAGAAAATAATTTCTATTCAAAGTAGAGCGGTAAGTGAATGTTGCGTGTTGCGTTCACCAGATTTTTTTCGGTAATGTAATTTAACATTTCATGTTTCATAATTTATTTTTGTTTTCTATTTAATGTTACTTTTATTTCAGAAGATGGAAAAGTATTATATTTTTGACTGATATGAAATTATAATTTTGTATTAAAGAGAACTTGGAATTAATTATGTCATCAAAACAATTTTAAAAAAACCAAGCAAACTGGAGGCAGGTCTAAATAACATAGTACTGCTGCTAAACAACATTTAAAATTATCGTGTTTGCACAACCGCTAAAAATCTAGCAGAGAACTGGCTCAATACTACAGGGACCCAAATTGATCCCAGAGAAACTCCTATTATTTGGCTTAAAAGATTGTATCACAAGAAGAAACCATTTTTTCGATCTCTAAAAAAAACTAAAGCGATTCAAGTTTGCCAAAGAATACGAAAATTGGACGGAAGAATGAGAGATGATTCAAAATTTTAAATGCTTGATTCCAAAATTTTGCAAATTGGAAGGAGGAAGTATGTAAGAGAACTGGAGTGGAATTTTCGGATGAATGTTTGTAACCAAGATTAAAACATGGAGGTGGCTTCTTAATGGTTTGGTTGTGATTTTCTAGATCTGGATTTGTAGACCTCTTGTTAATAGATGAAAAATTGGATGCAAAACGGTACATACCATGCAATGCGTCAACATAATGGATACGTCAAGAATAATACGTCCCTTGGCTTGTTGTTAATTGAAAATCATGCTAATTTGCATCTAAAATTTCTACAAGATTAAATCAGTAATTAAGAAGATAACAACATTATTAAATTGAAACATATATCATTTTTATAAAACCTTGGTTAGTTGGAAGATTTTTCACACTATTATATATATATATATAAATATAGAGCTCCTACCCAATACTAAGTAATAGGGGTGCCCATTCCCCCTAAGGTTGATGGCGCATAAATCTACTCCCTCCCCTTTCCACGAAATTTTATTGCTCTCCTGTACTTAAAAATAATATAGGTGAGAGAAGAATTAGAAAAAAATATAGATCATATTCAATTAGACTTACTGTGGTCTCGTCCATGTCTCCTGGTTAAAACTTTTCATTACAAAAATGTGCCTCAAAAGTTCAAAACTTACCCTACTTGCCCCATGAAACCCCCTTCTGGGAACTCGTAATAACAATTTATTTTCTTGAAATTCTAATTTCCGGTATAAATTATGAGTTTCTGTGTCAGTAGCGGATCCATAATTTAATTTCTTTATTTATTTTTTTAAATAACGGTTATGTTTACGTGGTCTTTAATAGAAAATGGAAAAAAGCAATTTCAGAAAAAATAATGTTTTAAAAGATAAATTTCGAATATATTTTTCTTGGTACGTGCTTACAATTAGTGGCTATAAAAGCATTAAAGTAGAATATATTATGATTGTTCAAGTATTTAGCTAAGATAACTACACATAAACAAATTATTAATTTAATAAAGAAAGAGTATGTTTAAATTGCTCCGTAATAAAATAACAAGTAAACTAATTTAAAATAGATATGACAGAATATTATATATATAATAAATTAATACATACGTTGTAAATTAGTAAGTATTGCCGTAGGAAATAGATTCCGAATAAATCTACGAGCTTTAGAAAATAATTATAAAAGTATTTTCGATAGAATGTATTTTTTTTTTTTTAACATTTCAGATACATATTTCTGTCATTATTAGGGGCAAGATCCTGTTTCTAGAGTTCGGATTACGTAGACAAATGGAAAAGAGATTCAAAAATATCGGGAGCAAGGCTAGGCTGTCTCCTACGCGACGGTAATGGGTCAAGAACGATCTTTCCAGTTTAAAGTTTTCCCTGGAATCAAATTATCTTCTTAATTTATCCGTATTATTAGCCAATGACAGCGGCAGTTTGTAACGGCTATACTTTAACTTAATTATTACAACCAATCACTAGCGGATCCAGGATTTAATTTTGGGGGGGGGGCTTCAGCCCGAAAGCTTTTTTTTCCATAAAAATGACGAAAATTACTTTGGAAAAAAAGAAAGAAACTAACTATCTATATGAAATGGTGTTTAAGCGATTCCTTAAGTCCTTTAAAATGTAATTATACGAATAATAATACTTTAAGAGATAATTTTTTAATATATTTTTCCATAAAACATGGTATTATGGAATATTTCACCATTTTGGTGAGAGGAGACTTCAGCCCGAAAGCCCCCCCCCCCCCGTACATCCGCCAGTTCAACCAATCAACCTTTTCTTCACTCTTTTTTATTTATTTTTAATTTTTAGTTCTTCAATATATTTTTGATGGCTGTCTTGGTATCTAGTGAAAGTACTATATACACCGATCGTTTACAAAAAATATATTTCTGTGTATTTTTTTTGTTTAATTGTATTTTTATTTCTTATAAAAACAATCAATTATAATTAGATTAATAAAAGGAATGATTAATAATTTAAAAAAATAAATTTATTAACAGATTTCCAAATAAAAGTTCATTTCAATAAATTTTAATTACATTGGAACTCTTCAGCTTTTTTTAAATTTTTTATATTAGCTATTTTAAATTTATCATATGTGTAATCATCATCGTCTATTTGATACCACTCTTCGAAGATGCAAGTTGAAATTTAAAACTCTTCTTATTTCTTCATAAGGCTGTTACGAAAGCGAACACTAATCAAACCTGCGTTTTTAGACCGTTTGATTCTTTAGAAATTCATTTATTTTCTTATCTAGTAAAAGTGGGTTAACATTAAATTACAACCTTATTTGACATATCTTAAAATACAGGTAAATGCCTTATTTAAAATACAGTCTATGGCACAGATTATTTTTTATCAATTTATTAAGATCCATCTAAAACTTCGTAAATAGCTTCATCTCATCATAACCTACAACTAATTTATTTACGAAAATTCTCGGAATTGAGGCGTTTTCAATATGAAGATCAGCAAACTTTGTCTACTTAATTAGATACTAAAAACTCGTAAATAGCTATTTGATTTCCGCTTGATTCGTAAGATAATTTGAGCATAAAATCGAGAAAAATGGTGGCCTTAAAAAATATTGAGCCGTTTGGAATGACCTACACCTCCAAAATGTCAAAATAACAAGGTCAAATAGGTCAAACGGTCTTGATTTTTGTAGTTCTAATTTTTTCTCGATTTTGTAACCCAATAATCTTACGATCCAAGTGGAAATCAAATGGGTATTTACGAGTTTTTAGTACCTAATTAAATAGACAAAGTTTGCCCATCTCCAGATTGTAAACCCTCCAATTCCAAGAGTTTTCGTAAATAAAATAGTTGTAGGTTACGATGAGATGAAGCTAATCACGACGTTTCAGGCGGATGTTAATAATTTAATAAAAAGGGATCGGTATCGCGGACTAACATCCAAACGGTTTTTTTTTCCCTATAATTTATTCAACCTCAATTTCAATCCACTCAATATCACCTGTTCACTTGTGTCGTTTTGTTGTTCTCAGAAAAGTTTTTTTCAAATAAGACCCTTCAATATTGATCGATATTGGCCAAAATTATAAATGTAACCAAATTTGATTAATTCATATATGATTATAGAAGTACACTTTTCGAAATCTGAAAAAATTCTCCAAAATATTTAATTAACACCTTTTCTTTTCTTTTTTTTTTTTTTCAAAAAAGAGAAAAAATGTTCCAATAAATTTGAAATAAAAAATTAGACCGATAATATTTGTAAAAGTTCAGTTTATTTTGACGTTTCTTTGTAAAAAAAAGTACCTAACCTAATCAAAATTGCTTATTTTGTTCTAATTCCATGTCATGATTTTCACAGTCGACACAATTGAATGGTTTAGGCTTGGTAATGCAAACTGGGAATTACGAAAAAAAATAAACAAACAGAAAACAGCTTCCAAAGATCTCATTAAAATTTAATAATTAGAAAATCTATTGATTACCACCACTAAGTGATTAAAAAATACTACATTCCCAGAACATATTTTTTAAGTACGTTGCGAAAAATAGAAAGGGTGTCTATTTCAGCCATCTTAAACGCTACAGGATTGCCACAACGACAGTAAAAACAAATTGGCAAGACTGATGATACTTTCTGACAAAATGGGGGTGGAGAAATATATCAGGTTGTAGCTGTTTGATATATGTCACGAATAAATATTCAAATTTATCATTTTATCTTTAAATTTATCATTCAAAACTAAAACTTAGACAGAAATTAAACACGTACAATTATTTACTAAAACCTATTTGGACTTACGCATCACAGATATTTGGAACTGCTAAAAAGACTCACTTAAACAAACTTCAAATCTTTCAAGCAAAAACATTCAGAACAATTACAAAAGCACCATGGTACGTTAGCAACATAACTTTACATACTGACCTCCATATGCCGACTGTTAACGAACACATACGAACTCATTACAAACGATTTCATGACAACTTACAAGGACATCCTAATACACTTATAAATGACATGGCCATTATGAATATGCCAGGTAGGAGACTGAAGAGGAGCTGGATGAGGGACCTCCTCGCCTAATGTAGGTATCACGCCGAGTGAGGTGCCGCTGGGCACTGATCCTCCTCATGCCTTTCATGACATTATATTTAGCAATCGATCTCACATTCAGTGGTTGTCATTACCATTATGACAGGTGTGAATAAAAAAATTAAAGCTAAAAAAAAAAAAAGAATTATCATGTGCGATAAATGTTTATACAAAGTTTTTTTTCTTATAAAATGTCCATCATTAATTATTATAAAGTTTTGTAACTTTTAGTTAATGACATTTTTTACTTTTTTCAGAGAGCGAAGTCATTATTTTAAGTGTGCTGGTTGTTGCATGCTTAGCTCAGGAGAAGTGGGTTTGGAATGGCAAAACAGCAAAAGCTGTGAGGTAATCTTTCTACAATTAAAAGGAAAATAAGCTAATTTGTTAAGATTAAATTTACATTAGCTATGAAGCTAGTGTATTATAGTATTGATGCACACATAACTTGATAATGTATATATTTGTACCCCGCAGGTAATGAAAACCATGTCCATTTTTTTTATTTATTTAGGTAAGCCGATGTTTCATAACTTTATGCTATTAAAATTTGTTTCTTAGTTACTAAATCTGTTTTTTTGGAGGTTAAGGACATCATGTCACATTTTTGTAGTTGTTCAGAGAGCCAATTGTCTATAACTTTGAGCTCTTAAATTTTTGTTTCTATCATACTAAATTATACTTTGTTCAAGTCCAAAGAAAGCGATCGGGGGGTGTCTCGACAGTAAGAGGAGTGAGGCAAGGAGATGCTTTGGCATGACTCCTCTTTAATGGATGGAGAATCTGGAAAAAGCTGTCATAAATCAGGAATTCAGACAACGGGTACTATTTTCAACAGTACAGTTCAGCTCCTAGAATATGCTGAAGATGTAGATATAGTTGGCAGATCATATCAGGCTGTATCCCAAGCATTCCTGGTTCTCGAGCCTGCGGCAAGACGTCTCGGCCTAATTGTTCACCAAGACAAAACAATTATATGGTGTCTGATCAGCCCCCTCCCCACCCCACCGACAGATTGGTATCAAAGTTGCATTTGATCCCTGCATGTTTGAACAAGTGTCGGAATTCACATATCGTAGTGCACAAGTGAAGTGCAACAATAGAATAATGAACAGCTTCCATTATGGACTCCGCTCCCACCTATCGACCCGAAGTAAATAATAACGGAAAATCATTTCGGCAGGCGCCGAGTTGAGACCCAGGCTGCGGTGGTCCGAAAGGTAGCAGGTGACTTAAGATCCATTGGAGTGAGAAATTGGATGGGAGCAGCACAAAATAGGGATGCATGGCGATTGCTGTTGGAGGAAGCCAAGACCCGCTGGAGGGTTGTTGAGCCAAATTAATAATAATCATGCTAAATTATTTAATTAAAAAATGGATACGGTGTTCTTTACCTCCGGGGCAGAGATATGTATGTAATTCTTTGATGGTATTTTGTTTTTTTTTTTGTTCATATACTGAAGGAAATAATTAGAAAATATTTTGTGCTGGCCCGAAAAAAAAATACGTAGTTTCTTGGTACCAAGGATATTTATATATAAACTTTTTCTCAAATGTTATACTTTTCAATTTCTTACAACTTATTGAACTTAAATTTGTCTTAACTTAATAAAATGAAGATGACAATTTGGATTAGTCAAATCCATTTTAATATAACTACAAAATAATTAAATGGCATTTTTCAAAATACTGAAGCTAATAAGAAGTAATTCAAATCTAAATATGATTTTAAAAGATTTTTCTATATCCAGAAGGGTTAAAGAAATTCTGGTCACTTGGAAATCTTTCATGTTAAGTTAAAAACTAAACATTTTATTTTTATTAACAGAGATAGTACCATTTTCATTCTTGAATAGATTGTTGCGATACGAAATAGAACGTTGATTATATTTTCATCCTTAGTTAGAATTTTCGATTCATTTCAAAAGAAAAATTGTAAACTGAAATATAATGAAGGCTCAAAAACAAATACTACTGCCATTCACCGCTTATGACATTAACTATGTTTCCTACAAGTTCCAACACGTTTTATAAAAAGGAAAAAAAAAACGTGATTTCATGGTTATATTGGATAAAATTGCAATGAATATGCATACACAAATCCTGTAATCGTCCTCTGCATTGTTCAGAGATTCATTAGCAACAAACAAGAAGCATGAAAGCCAGAAACCGTTGCTTAATATATTTTCTTTTGGATAAATTTTTTACATTGATCTAGTCATTTGATAAATCGTTCCTATTTTCAACCAACTCGACTATAAATTGTAAATATAAAGGAGTTAATTAACCTTAGTATCTCGTTCATGTAGAAATATATTTTAAAGGTATGTAAAATCTCTTTCAAACGAAATAACTGTTCTTGTTGACTTTCAGAAAAGAAGTTCTTATCTTGCTTCATGTGAACGTATTTTTTGTATCACTGAGCAGAACGCTTGTAGGGAGAATTTATATTCAATTCATAATAGAACTGTAAAATATAAATTAATAATATAACATTTTAAGGTACGTATAGTTAATAGTGCTAAATATATTTATACTTTAAGAAAAATTTAGATGTCGATTCTCATTTTACACATTCAATAATTTACAATTAGGAAATAGAAAATAGCTAATGCTTTGGTACAAAATATGTATGACTTAACAATTGCCCCTCTTACATTACAGTATTGCGTCTGGTCGTACGTCTAAAGAGTTAATAACTAAGGGAATACTATGGCCTTCTAAATATGGATTTGATTATCCCCCGATCCATCTTAATGCATCGTTGGTTATGGATAAACACAAGGTGAAGAGCATGGGATTTCCGTCATTCCTTCCTTTTCCGCTCGTCGGACCTTGCCAGCTTAATCTAAAATAACAACCGAACATTTTGTTGTAATCACATACAGTTAACAAGAGTATAACGGTTTTCCTGAAAAATGGAAGCCAGTATAGGTAATTAAATTCAGAAGCGTTTTAACAAAATAGATGCTTGTTCATCGAATCGTAAACACTAAATAGAAGTTTACAATCACAAGAGATGCCACAATGAGGTTTAGATGTATTGAACTGATGGGCCAGTTATCGGTCATTTGATACTTCACCTTTCATTTAAGGTGGTGATTCAGTGGTGGATCCAGGAATTTTCTGAAGGGGAGGTGCACTCATAAAACATCCATAACCAAACGTGTATACACACACACACAAACAGACACATATAAAGAAATATTTATTTTGATTTTTTTGTTTCCTCTAATATTTTGCCATAAAATTGCAGCCAAAATTCCTTATAGACCTAAAACAAGACTTTTATGAATATGTTTTTCTCCAAAAATGCGATATAGTTATAGTAACTATAGTTATAAAATTAAAAATAGTTTCCCAGTGATTATAGCACTATAGCAAGTATTTTCAGCAACCATCTTCATATATTTCGCCAATAAATGAAGAATTTAGTTTTGATTCAAAAGTATAAATAAAAATTAATTATTTAATAAAATTCACTTTTCAATTAAAATAATAATTACTTTTTTTTCAAAAAATTTCTTCCCACCCTCCAGGGAGGCGTCAGGAGGTGATTGAAAAAAAAAATGTTTTCAACCAACATATTAAAAGATCTCGTTTTTAAAATATATTTTTAATGAATAAAAAATATAATTTTAATTTTACATACTAATACAATAGTTACTCAATTTAAAAAGGAGAATGCTTACAATTTGACATGGTTAAAAAAAAATATAGACCAAATTAGTTCCACCATCGTCCAATGATTGCAAAGAAGTGTGGAAAGTTTGGAGATAAAGAACCATTGTCAATTCCCCTAATTGTGTTAGGTATTGAAGGAATAATAAACTTTTGATATCATTAGCTGATTTTAATGTATCTTAGTAAATTATAAATATAAAGAGTAAGGAACTATAAAAATAAATGCCATATCAGCTCAAGTTTAAATAAACTTTCTAATTGAAGGTTGATATAAAATTTAAAAAGAGTGGCCTAAATATAGCGACATCAAGAAGCCTTGGGACTACTAACCTTCCTTTTGAGCTTTAACAGAAAAATCATACAATAATTAATATAGAACATTAATTTCATATAGTTATCTGGTTGCAAAACCTCAAAGATAATGCTATAGAAGTTAGCAAGGACTATAATATGATATCCAACTGATATAATAAATAATTGCTTAGCAAAGGGTCACGATGAAAACGAAACCAGGCAATGACAACCAATATGAATTTTTCTTGACAAAATCTATTTTATATGGTAAATTATGGTTTACAGATTATTTATGCATAAAAGAAATATTCCATAATGCTCTAGAAAAATGAAAAAAAAAAAAACTTATTGATTCATGTTTCTGATACTATAAAAATCTTTGTGTATGATTTTATATAAAAGTAACCATATTTTTAAAATATGATTTTGTTGTTTTATACACGTTAATATTATTTTTTAATATATTTTCTTGATATTTCCAACAAAAAAAAAAAAAAAAAGTGATGGATCTCATAAAGCAGGTTTATATTATAATTTTTTAATATTTTATATTATATAATGAATTGTTTTCCAGAAGGTAAAAATTGTTAGTATCATATCAATACTCAATCTAATTTTATCTGCTCATAACATATTTGCCTGGAATATGTTTTAATCAGAAAAATAAATTAAACAGCTAGGTTAGTGTATAATAAAATGAGTTACTGGAACATGAATATATCTAATGAATGCTTTACATTCATTAATTATACTCACACATAACTTAATAAAAGTAGAAATTTTATTTTAACTAGTGATGGCCTAATACATTTGTCGGCCCATGTGTTGGCGGACAATGAAATCATCTCTCCTCTCTAAAAAAAAATTGAATTTATTTTTCAAGCTGTATTATATTATGTAATATTTGAATTTTATTTCATTTCTCTAATACAGTTGCTTTATTAATAGGCTAAAATTAATTATTTTAATATGATTTTTTTTAAATTCTTAACAAGTAGTGAGTGTTCCTGATGATCAGTTCCCTGCTTTACGGCACTGAATAACTACTCTCCATTTTCTGTATTCTAGAGATGGAGATAGAGTACGCTACGGAATTGTTGAACCAGAAGATGACTACAGACCAAGGCCAAGTTTCAGACCTCCTCCTCCAGATTTGCCACCACTGATACGGCCTCCTACTCACAATCTTCCACCACCTCCTCTACCACCAACTCGCCATGATTCAGATCCAACAAGTTTTGAAAAATGTAAATGTGTTCATTCTTTCAACTGTAAATCTCCAGGTCTGCTGTTCGTAAGTCCTTTGTGAAACATTATAATTTATTTATAAAATCATCCAGTTACTCTTGAGTTAAATTTATTAAGGTAGGAACATATGAAACAGGCTTAAATTTAATTACATAATAGAATATTTTCTGTAGTTTGCACTAATATGAGCCTTTATTAAGGTTCCACAAATAAAAAAAAAATTAATATCCTACTAGGAATCTATAATACAATTTTTTTCCCCAATAATTGGATATTATTATGAAACAGCATTATTATTTTTTTTATTTGTACAAAGTCAAATGTTTGTTGTTTTATGATGGAAATGAAATTGGTGAGGTAACATTTCACACTAAAACCATAAGTATATGATCATTTTATCTTTTTCGCAAAAAAATGTTGTTTTAATCATGAGAAAATACTTTGAAACTACAACTTTTTTTTCTGAAATAAAAGTTTTAATTTTGCATTGCAGATAATAGGGAACTGTTTATCTGTAAAAAAATTAAAAATTGATATCTGATTAATTTTAAAATTTCTAATCCATTTATTTGTTTAATATGATATACAATTGGAAAAATAAAGAAAATTTGATGTTTATTAGAAAAAATGATCTTGCTGAGAATATAAATGAAGTGTTTTTTGTTATAGGGAAGCTGTGACAAGGGAAAAAAATACTGCTGCGAAAAGTCGGTAGAACCATCAGAAACAAAAGGTTTTCACCCAGACCAGCGTGAACCAGAGGTAAATTTCTAACTAATAAAACACTTAGGGGCTGCCATGTAGGTATAATCAGAAAGATATTCTATTTTTGAAACAAATTTAATCAAAATCGTCTATAAGTGTTGAAAAGTAAATATACATTTACAATATAATATGATTATGCATCATTAAAGATACAACTCCAATTAGTAATTTTTTCCCAGAAAAATTGTTATATTAAATAAAAAAAAGGCATTTTAGAACATATAAAAGAAAAATATTTTAAAGTATTTGTTTCAATATATTCATAATTATATTTTTATCTCTAGGTTTTGGCTGGTCCTGGAGGACCTGTAGACCACATAAGAAACCAGGTATAATAAAGTATATATATACAAATTTATAAGACATATGATAATAATACATATTTAAAATAACTGCTTAGAGGAATAAGAAAGCTTAGACTATTATACTCTAAGTATCATAACAAACTGCAATTAAAAATTAATTGGCATTATTTTTGTAAATAGAATGCAGGACATCAAGGGTTAGGAAGTTATGGACAACCCTACGATCGACCAGGGAATGGAGCACTGGGAGGTTACGGACAACCCCGAGGAACAAGATTCTGAAGTTATAAATGTATAGAGTAAACAGATATTTATATCTCCTCAAAGTAAGCTGTTTGCTTGGTTAATTTTTCTCTCTCATAGAATTACATTGAGACATAAGGCAATATAACATCTATTCTCAAGAAGAGAAATCACGAATATCATTAAGTATAAGCTAACTATTATTTTAAATTTAAGTTTATTTATACATCTGATTTATAAAATTGGGTAATGCTTTTAAAAGTAGAAATAACTAAATGACCTGAGATAGAAAAGTAAAAACTGCTGGAGATATTGATTACGAACACTAATTAAATTTACTTAATTATTGTGAAATAAAAATGTTACCTTTTGCTCATAATCTGTAATGAAAAGTAACAAATTTTTAGAAAGAAAGTGAATCCTCCTATAAATAAAATATTTAAACTTAGTAAAATAACACATAATTGCCATAAACTAGATCTACGCTATTTAGGCTTTGCGTCCAATAGATGCATAAAACATACAACAGTGACGTAGTGTTTGATCCTTGAAATGCTTAACTATATAACTTGACTTCATGGTTGTTATATGAACTTCGATAATTTTTTTAATTTGTATTAAAATCAGTTTTTAGAATACTATTGTTTAATAAGAATAATGTAAAATGATTTTGATAACTTCATATTGGATATAATCATATAAGAAAATATATCCAACTAAGTTCGCTTCATAATTTTTTTTCCGTTAAAATAATTATGTATTTACAGTCACGTAGATAAATTAGGTGTAAATAATTTATAGTATAATATATATATTCATTTCCAAAATATCCAAGATGTGCACCAAAAAATAAGTTTATTGTTTCTTTAAAATTTATAGCATTCAATTTCCATATATTAGTTAGATTATTTGTTGCTAATATTGAAATAAACAACACTTCTAGAAGTGATAGATCAAAACTATAATGCAATGTATAATTACATTTTTTAAAAGTTTAAATGAGTAAGAATGGTATTGTCCTCATTAATTTTTTTTAATTACTCAGTTCTCATTGACTCATCAAAGATTGAGAATCTGAGATAATTTCCCCTCAATACCACATATAATGGTAATAAATTGCTTTTCTTAATTTGCTGGATATTCTTGAGTTAGATGAGCTTTAGTTAGAACTGTAGACTGAGAGAGTCAATTTCTCTATTGAGGCAAATTCACTGAAATACTCACATCTCAGTTTGGCAAAAATAAGTATGTAACTGTAAGATAGCCTGCCTTTATCCATCAGTTAGAATAATTAATATTAAATACAGAGTAACGGCCATTTTAAGATATTTTATCATAATAAAATATTTTTTTAAGAGTTACCATATTATATGTTTAAAGTTTGCTAGTCACATTAATTATTATTAACTTAAAAGGTTTAAGTAGCAGCTAATATAATGTTATTAGCATGATATATGACTTTCCTAATTAACTAATTATGTTAATAGCCTATAAGGGAATTTAAATAAATGTGGTTGTGTAATTATTTAATATCTACTGTTATTTTAAAATTATTTTATTTGATTTAATGAAATTAAAGTTAATAGTTATTAAAATATATTCACAATAAAACCATTGTTTCTTCACAAATAAATATTGAAAAATGTAATATATAAATGAATTACAATATGTTTTCTATACAACTAATATAGTTGTAATAGGACACATCAAAATAGTATTAAGCTGAATTAGAAAGCTTTTCAAAATTGTGATCAGACAAATGTTTAAAGTTTTAAATAAATGACAATTTTAAAACCATTGATGAGACTTGTTTGATGGACATCCTATTTTATTATTAATAAATTATTCTATAGCAATATATAATACAATAAACAATAATACTAAGCAGAAAAGAAAAATTTACAGCAGCTAAAGCTGACAATGTGAATTGAGCATTTATTTATACAAGAGTGGACACCAAGTTATAATAAGCAGCTGAGAAGATAATTATATAAATAAAATAACAATTTGAATAAACATATAAAGATTGTTTACTTCAACCCCCTCTTTTCCCTGACTCCAACATATTTATCAACAAGGATTATGAAAAGGGTGGAAACAAAAAAGAACATAACTTATAATAAATATATAGTATATTTTATCCATATTAACAATATTCATATATTTAATTAACTAAAATGCTTCCTTCAATTTCACTGAGGGTAGATCACATTGGAAGTTTCATTAATTCATCTACTCTAGAACACTAGCGGATCCAGGATTTAATTTTAATTTAGTTTGTTTTTTCTTATATATAACGATAATTACTTTGGAAAAAAAAAAGAAACTAACTACCCGTATGAAATGGTGTTTAAGCTATCCTTGAAGTCCTATTAAATGTAATTACAAGGACAATAATACTTTAAGAGATTATTTTTTAATATTTGTTTCCATAAAACAATGTTACATTTTATCATTTTTTGGGACGAGGGAGAGGAGAGGAGGGCTTCAGCCCGAATGCCCTCCCCATAGATCCGCCTGAATGCCCTCCGCCTGTGCTCTAGAATCTGACTAATCCAGTCCTTTATTGGAACTGACAACGTCGAACTACCAGAATAGTTAAGCCATACATAAAAAAATACAACAAATTAAAATGAAAGCCTCATGTAATTACTGAAAAAAAATGTATTAAAATAATTCATTGAAATAAATGATTTTTATTTCTGATAAGATAGAAAATACAAATTTCGATTACAGCATAAATAAAATATTGTAAACAATGCATTAATATACACTGCATAAATTGCAAAATAATGAAAGTTTAAACTACTTTGAATACAAACTGGAAATGTGTGTTTAAATACCAACATTGAAAAAAAAATTTTTTTTTAACATTAAAAGAAAGTGACCAAATAATATCATTTGCGAGAAATATGTAATTTTATATAACTTTGCTATAATATTTTTTGTTTTTCCATATGAATTCAACATGAAATAGAAAAAAAAAATATATAGGAAAATGTATCTTCTACTTCTTACTCTTAACATTGTTTTTATGGAGTAAGATGATTTATTATTCTTGAAGAATGATTCGATTTGGTCCTTTTCCTAATTTAGATTTTGCATAATTGGCAGGCCTACATATATCTTCCTTAGACAAATAAGCAAACTTTTCATGTTTTTTATTAAACATTTTAGACTTTTAAGCTATAAGATTTTAACATTAGATCTAATGTTAACATGACATGTTTTGGCACAATTACATCAAACACCAGCAACACAAAATGACAAACTCAGTGACCCAAAGCAGAAGACTCTTTAATATACAAAATGATCTCCATCTCTATAGATTTGCAGACATGAAAATATCTAACACACTGGCAGTCCTTAAAGCGCAGGAGCACTGGACTTGCCAGAATATCAATCATTCATAGGGCCGATTATAAAGATTGTACTGTTTATACATAAATTTAAGCTACTAACAGAATTAATCATGGAAGTAATCAATCATTGTTTTTCGGCTCATTTCTAATCATGTTTAAAGTGCAAAAATATGATTAGTTAGTTCTTTACTTTAAAAAATGGGGCTGTAAGCTAATTTATCACTTATAAAACGGTAAAAATCTTATAAGCTTAATAATTTCAGAACTAGGTACAAAAATATAAATATAAATTTATTTTTTAAAACTCCGATAAATTGAAAAAAAAAATCAATTGGAAAATATATACCATTTTTGGTGCATGCAATATGGAACACGCTAATATACATAGCTGTCAAAGACTATATTGATGCTTAAGTTTCAAATTATCAACTAAAAAGGTTAATCACCATAACATCATTTATTACCAGAATTAAATATAACTACAAAGAAATATAGAATCAAAGATTGCCTAAATGAAACACAAATTAGTAATCCATATATTGTACTACTCTATCTTTAAAAGATAAATTTCATCCTTCAAGGAGTTGTCCACACCAATAAAGAAACTGACTACAGGTTCGTAAGGACAATGATACCACCAGTTGTAATCTAATAATTCATTAATCGATTTCCCCATATCACATTTAAGACTTCGACATTGAGACTCCTAATTTGAACAAAATTTTATTCAAAATATTAATAACAGATAAAAAGACTATTATTATAACATCACATTTCTACAATACTTCCATCACCACATTCTTCCTACTATTTCCCTCAGCAATTACTCACAATTGGAAATGCTGTGAGACTAACTGTTAAGGAATAAATCATGCTTTTTACACAAATATTCAACGATTTTCGACTCAATTTCAACATTCTGAACTTTTTCCTCTTCTGAAAGTACTATGTCATAATCCTCATTTTCAGTAACTATTATTACTTGATATTTTCTAGTCTGGAGGATATTTCCAATCACCATCTAAAAAGATAGTTATAATAATATTAATTGAGATAAAATAAAACTTTTTTTTTTTATAGTTCATCACATTTTAATTAATACTGATAAATAATAATAATATATGTTTGGCAATAAATGGAAATAAACAAATCCACAAAAATAAAAAATAACACTTAAAATTCACTATTATTATGTAGTAATAGTATGACTGTATGAATATAATAGTATAAATTAATCAAGGATATATCAACAAAATCAAATAATTTAAGAAATAAAATAATGGTAATTCAATTTTCTTGCTAATTTAAAAAATTAATTTGTAAAATTTATAATATTCATTTCAAAGGAAAATCAATGAATGCCACTTTTTTAAATTTGTAGATACTTTATAAAAACCTAATTTTGTTTCTGCTGAGTAAACCCCACAGCCCTGAAGGGGTTTCACTCCACCTGATGTTTAAAGTTGGCAGAAAACCTTTCCATTCTAAGGAAGTTTTGAGGCTAAAATTGAAAAAATAAAATAATTTTGAAAGTATCTTATTACGTTAATTCTGGAAAAATAAACTCTTCTAGCTGAAACTGCTTTCGAAGAGTGAATTCATAACAAAATCAGTGTAGTGGAGAGATTAGACCACATCATTAGCAATGATCAACCTAACCTACTTACTATTATGGTTCGGCTAATTGGAAGTTTAAGAACTTCCTCAGTTAATTAGGGAAGAGCACAATTAATATACAATATACTTGTAATATATAGCTAGTCCTGTCATAAATATTGTTATAAGGAAATTTTTTTATAATAATTTTTTCAAAAACTTTACTAGAAAATAAAATGTATATCTATAGAGAGTAAAACAAAAAATATATTACTCAAAATGTTCCCCCTCTTGTCTTGACACTGGCAATTAATCTCCATAGCCACTCATCAATAGCAGCAAGCAACACTTCTTGAGGAAATCGTTCTTTTGCAGCCACTGCTGAGTTGTCCTGGCCTTGTGAGCTGGAGCGGAATCCTGCTGGAAAACCCAATGAGTTCCAGCCAACAGAGTATCATTTAGAGGCTTGACAACAGGTTCCAAAATATCGCAACGATAGTTTTTAGCGGCTGTTTTACCTCCTTTTTCACAAAAATGGAGCTTTGAGCTGCCATCAAAGCAAACTACCCACCAAACCATCAATAAGGAAGGGTGATGACCTCTTTCCACTCTTCCAATGACTTCGTAGGCTTTTTTAGAGCTGTGTGCATACTCACGATCATTTTGGCGATTAAATTTTTCTTCAATTGTAAAAATTTTCAACATTGGTGTAACGGCCAAAGAGCACTTTGCATCTATCCACTCTAATTTTTTTAGGGAAGTGGTTAGCCTTTGTCCTGCCATTCTTCGAAATGCGCCCTTCCTAAGGTCAATTTTTATTATACGAGTCATTGATCTGACAGAGATTCCCATTTCCTGAGACATGATTTGTTGTTTTCGAATGGGATTTCTTCTAATTTGAGCATCCACTGCTCTCACTGCATTTTCCGTTCTCATAGTGTGGGGACGGCCCGAGGTCTGTCACATGCAGATAGGGTCTCATTATATCTATTTATATACCAACATACGGCTGATACTCAAAGGTTTCAAAATATTGAAAATCTCTGAGCTACATTTTTCAACTTTGTGTAAGGCGATCACAGCTATTCGGTTTTCTTTATCACCCCACTCCATGTTAACTGAGTGAAAAAAAAATACAAACTAATTGGGATTATTATCCTGACATGTAAAGAAAATAATCTGACAGAGGTAAGGATTATCTAAATAATAACCCAAGGATGTAAACAAAGTTCAACTTTTGTAACAGTATTTATGGCAGAACGAGGTACATATATAGATTTAGATTTTGTTACCTTATGGTGATATTTCTCCAAAGCACGCCTTGCTTTTGAATGCAACAGTGAAGTGTTAGTTTCCAATTTAAAAGATACGACATATGCATTAGGTACCCATGAGTGTACCAATGGTTCCAAGATTTTTGGTACTAAATGCAGTGATATATTTGGAGCCCCATTATCAGACTGAATTTTGTGTGTGGGCTAAAATGAAAAATTAATAAATAGCTTTGATCGAAACAAATAAGAGATTGAGTTCATGCATGCAAACAAATTGCATAAATTTGATATGCAATAGAATTGAATTATAAATATATTATTTTATTGAATAACATTATAAACAATAAAAAAAGGGTTCACATTTAGGTGTTACACTCGCCGCATAGGTCTGAGTCATTACTTTTCTTTAACACTAATTATATTGGTAAATATGGATTAGAAAAGTTTGGGACTTTAGTATTTTTATTGCAATATCCTAATGTTCACCAATGAATACAAATTGAAAATTCATGCAAGTAGCCAACTCGATGATAATATATTATATTAAATAGTAATTATATCATAAAGTTATATTAATTAAACACGTTTAGTTGATTTATCATCAACCGCATAAGCACCTCTTTTAATTTAATTTAATATTTTTATCATTAAAATGTATATTTAAATTTGGCAGAAACAAAGTAGGCTGCTATATATTTTTATGTTTCACTAGCATTAGTAGTTGTATTCTTATTTTTTAAGCTTATAATATATAAATTAAAATTTAATTTATATAATTAAATATTAATTATGATAGAACACACATTCCATACTTATGATCCATTGTGTTTCCTTATTTGTTGCATGGCCCAATTTAAAAATATTTTTATTAAAAAAATAATTTTAATATATAATAGCAGAACAAATAGAAAATAAGACCATTGGGCATATCAAGTAATATGGTCATATACAAGACTCTTATACGCCTAGTTCTTACCTATGCTTCCTAATATTGGACCATCTCAAGAAGTGATGAAAATAATCTTTTGATTTTCGAAATAAAAATCTTACGGCGAATAGTTGGCCCAGTGAGAGATGGATGGAGCATTAGGAGGAACAGAGAACTTTATGACCTTTACGAAGATATGGACCTTGTAAAGTTTATAAAACTGGGGAAGCTCACTTGGGCTGGTCATGTTGCAAGGATGAAAGTGAATGAAATTTCTAGAAAAGTAGTGAACACCATCCTTCACGGTACATGACGGCCTGGTAGGCCAACGCTTCGATGGGTTGATGGGGTGGCAGTGGATGCAAGGAGCCTGCTATGAATCAGAAGCTGGAAAGCGGCAGCACAAAATCGGGCCGAATGGCGGAAGCTCATTGAGGAGGCCAAGACTCACCCAGGATTGTAGCGCCATGTAGATAGATAGATAGCAATGCCACTCATTGAATCAGATAATAATAAGGTTGGACCTTTCCCCCACTTTCAGCTATTAATCTGCAAATACAAAAAAAACATTATGTACACACATGATCTTCATTATCCAAAGTTCTACAATCCATTACTGAATCTTGGCGGCCTTAAGAATTGCCTTTCACTTTTCTCTGTCCTGAGCAGCTGTCCACCAGTTCCTGATTCCAAGAATTCTGACATAGGCATCAACTCTATCTATCCATTTTGGCTTTCGTCTCCCCACTTTTCTTTTTCCACCTGGTTCCCTGCTAAGCAGTTTCTTTGGGATTGAGGTATCATCCATCCATACAATGTGGCCCACCCATCTCAAGCTTGTTGTCCGGATATATTTTACCATGTCCGGCTCCATAAATAAGCTAGCCAGTTCATGGGTATGTCATATTATTCTTTACTGGGCCAAAAATCTTCTTTAGTACTTTTCTTTCAAAAACTAGTATTTTTCTCTCAATTATCTTTATAATTTTCCATGTTTCACACCCATATGCCAGAAACCAGTTGTTTGATGACTTTGTACAAGAGAAGTTTATTTGATTGATTGGCATTGTAGTAATCCATAATTCATATATTAGGGGTACAAGACAATAATGTTGATTCAAACATTCATTAAATTCAAATACATAAATTTCACACAAGTTCTTATTATTAATTAATGATGAAATCACCCTCATTATAAACAACCCTTTGTCATCTAGTGTGCAAATTTTCAATGCTAGAGAAAAACCAATTGGTTTTTAAATAAAATATATACCTTTTATCTGTACCACTACAACCTATGAAGGGTCTTGGATTCAGTACTATTTAGGGAGAAAACTGTTTCTTGGTCTATGGTTGTGCAAGGAGGTGATTTGACCAAGATCGCACTCAAGCACCAGGTTTTCTCCCTTAATCAATTATTTTAATTAAGGGTACCCACTTTATAGAGGCTGTGTGTGGCCCAGGAGAGTCTACATACCCAGGGTCGCCGCCTCATGGCCAATGAAACAGAATAAATAATTTTTCTGCCGTGAGCTGGGATTCAAACATGGGACTTTTAGCATTGGAAGCCCTACCACTGAGCTACCCCACTTCTCCAAGCAAAATATATAGAGATGGCATTTTGGACATTATACAACTTTGCAAATCTTTTGCCACTTAGAAGTGTTGAAACAATCGGAACAAATGGAAATTTGATGGTGCAACATGGGGCAAGTATGATGGGTGCAGTACCTCCCATTCCAATTCATTAATTTTTTCCAGGGTTCATCTTACGTAATGTGATCTTGCATTTTCGTTTTGCAGAATAACACCTTTTCTGTTGACAACCACTAGCCACTTTTCAATTAAAGATTGATTTATACTATCCAAATGACTACAGTGAAGGTCTGCATTTACTTCAAAATGAACAATGCAGCGAATACTCCACCAAATACACAAAAGGTCCTTTTTAGGATGTAAACCTGACTTAGCAGTACTCCCTGGCAATTCTTTTGGAGAGAGCCACTGCCTTCTGCGTTTTGGATCATCATACAGAACCAATTTATTATCTCTAGTGGTCAAGCGATTAAAAAATGTTTCTGTATTGTGCCTTTGAAGCAATAAATTGAATATGGTGATTTCCCAATCTGCTGCAAATGGTCTTGGATGGTTGATCAAGGTTGTTTAAGACTGTTTGACAATTCAGTTAACACATCATTGTCTAACGTTGTTGGTCTTCCTTATTGATAGGAGTCGGAAAGATCAAGATTACCAGATTTGAAGTTGAAAAACTACCTTTGGCATTTATGAACGTCTAATGCATTTGGATACACATGAATGCATCCTAGGCGTGTAAGCTTTCTTTCATGTATATTTTTGTAGAAATTTCTTGTATCCTTATGTTCCCTCAGTTTTCCCCAATCTTCCATCTTCCTTCTCTTTTATACCCTCTTTTTTTTTTTTTTTTTTTCATTTTTCCGTTCCTTTCTCTATTCCTATCTGTCAGATTCATTGTTTTTCTTCCACTGATCATATACCAGTAAGCTTCACTCTTATCGAAGGTGGCTTTGTCACTTTTCATCGTACCGATTATGTCTTCGGGTGTTTTCATTCTAGCCTGAAACATCCTCTGCTACAGTATTATATTGTTCTTACAGGCTTCCCACATTTCATCAATGTTGTGTGTTGTTGTTCATCAAGAGTGCAATCCAAAGCCTATAGGCATATGGGATCCTTTAAGTTTCGTAGTATTGTACCTAATTACTCTTTGTGTACCAACTTTCCTTGCATTTGATATGCTTGCTCGGAAGCTGGTCACAACCAAATCATTGTCGAAGTCAGCATTCGTGTTCCTAAAAGTTCTCATGCTAATACAATTAGTTTTTATGCCTTGAGCTTATGAAAACATGATCAGTCTGATTTGTAGTTCTGCAATAGGGAGAGATCCACCATGTATCCTTATGAATTCACTTCTCCGTGAATAGTGCACTACCCACAATCAATCTTAAGGATGTTGCAGAAGCGATAAACCTATATCTGTTATCATTAGTTTTATCATGCTGGCTACGGGATCCTATCATTGATTGAAGTGAATGCTCTTTGTCAATTAGTGCATTGAAGTCACCAAGGAATGTTTTTATATCAAGTCGGGGGCACTTATCAACCAGTTTTTCTAGTTCACCATAAAAAGAAGAATATGTATACACATAAGCATTACATTCATAAAATAACTCAAAAGATATTCTTCTTTTAAAACAAATGTCATTACAATCTCGTTATTGAAGTATTATAACATTATTAAATATTATATTAAAATTTAAAAGTTATTAAAATATTATATGATAGGTGAATCAGAACAATTTAAATGTTAGTATAGAGTATTTTAATTACAGATATGGTGCTTTTTACAGAAAGAATTTTTGATTTATTATCAAATTGGGCTGTATAAATAATATCGTAATTAAAAAGAACTGAAAACATTTAATAGTTTCAATATAAAATTTCAATTTAAATGGTGAATGTTTGATAAATTCAGAATGTTTACCATTTTGTCAAGTGGAATGTAGAAGTCTGATACAGCTGCAGCTAAATACAATAGAGCTTTGCCATTCAAGGAAGAAAGTGCATTACAAGCAGCTCTTAAAAGCCACAAATAATCACTTAATGATATATAAGGTATGCTCAATAATTTTCCAGAATTCATTACCTCCTTGTACTTTTTTAATATGGGGAGCAACGTTGATACATATTGAGAACCAACTAATGAACAAATTGCAAGATTAATAATTTGTGAAAGAAATTAAACAAATTTCATCTCAATATTTACCTTTGATCTGTGATGATTCATTTTCATTATCTACAACTAACCAATCGAAAATGTTTATGTCACTGAAATGACGAGTAAATGGTTCAAGTGACTTTAATCTAGAAAAAATAAGTTAAAACATTTGAAAAAAAAAATGAAAATGATTACTCCTAAAACAAATATTGGCAATAAGCTAACACCTATAAAGAAATATCACTGCATATCCTGATTTTAAAAAATATTCTGCTGAAGATGATCCCCTAGTTCCTTGGCTAAAATTTTCCAAGGAACGGACAGTATGTCTTTCAAGAGGCACAGCAGTTCCTCCTGACTAACAATATGATTATTATTTAATGAACACAGTATAAAATCATAAGAACTAAAAACAAAAATAAATGGATTACACACTGTAATAAGAACAACTTTATCATGTTTATGTAACTGACAGAAGTCTTTTATTTTATTTGAAAGTATGTCATAATTTGTTGGCTGTGGGTTTGAAGAGAAAAAATCTTCACAGATAGACATTTTAAATTGGAATAAATTACAATAGCTTTAAGTTTCCAAACTGAAGTATTCTAAAGAAAAAGTAGAATTTTGAACTCAACTCAAACTCTTATCATATTTGATCAATATATAACGGTACGTTCGTGCGAATTTAGTTCCATATAGGTATTTTCTCAATTTTGAAATACCCCAATATAGTTAATATAAGATAATCTAAATTAACTTCATCTAACAAAAGCGATAATTTTAATCAATACAAGAAATTACGATTTATATTGTTCTTATATCCTACTAAAAATCATATTCTACCGGGCTTTCATGTTTTTTTTTTTTTTTTTTAAAGATGACCTTTGTATTAAAGCCTTACTATATTTATTGTTATTATGAATCTCATCGGTAAGTATGGTGGTTTTTAATGTGTTATCTGCAAATGCAATGTTGGTTCAGATGATTCTCCTATCATATGTCATCTCACAAACACACAGCTCATTATTATTAAACATATTCTCTGTGTTGAAATGATTTAATTACCAACAAATTAAATATTAAATTAACTATATTAAACAAACTCACTCGACCATAACCGAGAAGATTTAAATTAAATGCTGGCATATTTATCATAATCTTAATTAGCAAAGTGGATTCTGTTCAGTTCACAGTCGATTTGGGTGTATTTTAATTTTGGGACTGAATGGCTTACCCAATATTCTATGTTGGAGGCAAAATATTCTACCTTTGAATGTGTTTTTTTGCCTTATAGTCTTGTCGAGGGATACATCAAGAGAGACCAGCTAGGTTAAAGGTTACTACGAAAGTCGTCAAAGAAAACGAATCCAAGAGAAAAATGAGATTCTATAAACCCTGTCTATGTAACAGTCCTTATCAGACTCTTAAATAGTCACTCTCGGGGTGACTCTGGCTTTAGGATTTCATCTCGGACTATTAGGTTCCTGCTAATATGGCTTAAGTTACTGGCCTTAATATACCTAAAAAGATATGTTTAAAAGTTTATTTATAAAAGTATAAATAAAGCTAAATTCCAACTGGTTCGTCTTCTGGATACTCCTTTGGGCAATCATGGCGGTTCAAGAACCGAACTGCCATGCGAGTAAGGATGTAGGATTTGGTCTCACATCGAGAGTTATTGCTCTAAGGAGTGGAGAAAGGAAGCCTAGAACTGCAATAATAATCGCTAACCCAAATCTCGTTGTGATGAGTCTTGAGCAGTATACTAAGGCTGACAGAGCATATTACAGAGCGATACTAAGCATCGCCTTCACCATTGCTTCGGTATACTTTCCCAACGGAAGTGACATAGGAGAGAGTATATCCGCCATGGAAGCAATCACTGGAAGATATAGGAATGTGATCATCTGTTCCGACACCAACCCCTGGAGCACGGCCTGGAGTTCCAGTCGATTATACCAGAGGTTTGTCAGACTTGGAGAATTCACTTTGCAAGAGGCCAATTGGTAGTGGTCTGCCCCCCCCCAATGACCCGTCTTCCACTCTAACCTTCTCTGGAACACGGGGGGCAGAGTTGGATAGATGTTACATTGGCCTCCCGGACGCTGATAGGACACATTGTCGACTGGACCCTCATATCGGAAATGAGCTCCGACCACAACGCAATTGCATTTGACCTGATACAGGACACAAGATCCTCCCACGGTATAGACAGAGGATACGTGACGCGAAGAGAATACTGGAGCTTTTTCCGGTCAGCACTGAAGAGAAAGCTAGTGGATGAAGAGTGGAACCCCACGGATGTTGACAATACCGATGACCTTAATTGCAAGGTATCTAGGATTACCAAAGTCATTAGGGATGCCGCGGAAGAATCCCTCCAGCACCGCTAAGCGAGAGAACGACCTGTCCTATGGTGGGCCGTAACCACTCTGAAGATAGAGCTCTACAAGTCCCGGCGGTCATATCAGAGGTGTAGTTACTAACGAAGAGAGACGTGCTACACTTCGTGAGGATTACTGGTCTAAGGCTAATTCGCAAATTCGCTGGATTGGACAAGTTGACACGCAATTCCTTAAAGCTAGGGTTCTTGGTACATCCCAGTTTTTGTTGTGAGAGACGTGTGACTACCAGCACAAAAAACAGTTTCGTTTAAAGAACTTGAAGGTTAATCCTCAAATCTATTAAAACTTCAGGTTACTTTTCCTTATCTGAAGACTCAGCATTTAGAATAATTTGTACACACTTTATTGAATCTCACCAATTTCCTGGAAACATTTAGCTGTATCATGATCTTCCAAAGAGTTTCTCCCCTTGGAATCATAAGCTGTTATAAAAATGACAAGGCATGCAAATCCCGAGCATTTTCTAATCGTTTTTCAAGAACCTATTATGGACTACTTCCTCTTCTGTCTGAACTATGCCTGGTGGTCATCAATTCAATTTCATAGGAGCGATACAGTAATTGGAAGGAGTTCTTTGCATCTGTAATTATATCAAATTTAAAATCATTCTTAAGAATAGGACTAATTGTGCCGGTGTTCTAAGCATATTGCAGTCTTTCTTCCTTCCATATATTCTGGGTTGGTTGTAATAGATTGGATTTTAGGTGTTCTACTCCATCTGACTATCCATTCCTGTGGGCTTAATTTATGCTAGCAGCTATTGATATGTCCAGAATTAACTTCTTATGGATCGATGTTTTCATCATGGTCCATAGTTCATCTGTTCGGTAGCTTCTTCATTGAGAAGCTGCTGTAAATATTCTTTCCAGATTCTTAATATATTTTTTTTATATTTTATAACTACAGTTTACTATATTTTTTCACATTTTTGTTTTCACATCCTTCTTTCCAAATTTACATATATTTCCAGCCTGCCTGTTTTCTTCAATGGTTTACAGATTTTCTTTGAGAAATTTTTTGGTACTACTTTGGAAACAATACTCTTTCAGCCATCTTGGTAGATACCAGATTATCCACAATGTTTCAGATAACGTTCACAACAGATATCACCAGGCAGCGTCACTATTGCAGAGGGGTAGTCTTGTCGGCTCTCATCCCTTCCACCTCACCCTCATATTAAGTAAATTTTGTTTTGATTGTAACACTTTATCTGTAATTGTACTATTTCTAATACCACTATTCTTAAACTCTCATGTTTACTTACAGAAAAATTTGCAATTCATGTAGATTCAAGTCTTCAAGAAGAAAGTTAAAACAATTTAAATTTTTGAATACTTGATGGTTGACCATTGTATATTTTAGAGGAAGGAGTTGGTCTGAGGTGGTGGACCTTTAAATCCGTTATTTCATATTATTTTTACTTTTTCTTTCAACATTTCCTTATGTAACTTGCACAATTTTCTATATCCTCTTGTTTCTTGTTCATTTTAGCCTTATGGGTCGAAACGTCGACTTGAAATAGAATAGTTTTTCACTATTTTAGTCATTTAATGACCACCACCTCGGACCATCTCCTTCTTCTAAAATTTAAATTTTTGTTTTTCACCAATGATTAATCAAATTCTTTAATATAGGATAACCAAACTGAAAATCATAAATAATGATAAATGTCAAAGTTAAAAAAACAAAAACAGGCAATATATAATAAGCAATAATCATAAATAATATTAGAAATACATAATGGAAAAAAAATTGATTGAGGTAATATTGGTGCTGCCTGGTGCTATCTGTTGTAAACCTTATCTGAAACATTGTGGATAACCTGGCATCAACCAAGATGGCTGAAAGAGTTGTGCTTCGGAACAAGTATCAATTTTTCTGCTTTGCTTAGCAGCCTATTCTGAGAACCATTTCTTTTTTTTTTCCTGAATATTACTTCTTAAGTCCTATCTCTAATAACTTCCAATAAGCCGTAAGGTTCTTTTTAAGACCAAAGGATCAAATTTATTCATCTCCAGTTTGAATTATATTACGTACCTTTCCACTTGATCCATACTGTTAGAATTTGAAGACATTAAGTTTTTATTAACTCATGCTAATTTTGGTTGTTATGCCATATTTATTTTAAGATTGAATAGATTAAGGAATCATGAATACTGTGGCCCGTGCAAATAATTCATAAAGAATATTGGTCAGTAGACTCAGTGCCGGCCTTAGGGTTAGCCTTAGGGTGGAGCAACCGTCCCAATTACACTGGGCGCCAACCTAGTGGAGCTTTGATCGGTCTTCAAGAGCACTTACCACTAGTGAAAATAAAAAAAAATAAATAAAAAACATATTCAAATAATTAATTTTAGTCTATCAATGAAGCAACTGTATTAGACAAATGCTGAATGAAATAAAATTCAAATATTACATAATATAAAACAGCTTTAGACGTCATTGTCCGGAGACGCCAAATGTATACAAATGACAAAATAATAAATAAATAAATAATTCAACATATCTTAAGATGGAGGAATCATTTAATATTTGTTTGGTAATTGTAATCGACCAAGGAAAAAAAAAAAAAACTATAAAATGTTTTAAATCAAAATGTTTATGAATTACAATAAGCTGAATCTCAGCTAATAATGGACCGAATATGATTTTTTTGTTTTGTAGGAAATTTAGTAATCATTCAAATAATCATGCGTATAATCCAAGGGTGTAATTAATGTATAATATTTAAGTTATTCGCAAATAAAGTTTCTTTTCCTTCATAACTTTTAACCTCCGAAATTTTGGGATTCTCCACAAAAATATCCCACCTGAAGGGAAAGAAAATCTTCAAAATATCAATGGATTTGATGAATAATTGACAAATATTCCATCAAATGAATAATGAATATTCCTAGGAATGAAGACGGCTAGGAAGATAGTTGTGGAAAAGACCATATAAGGGATCCACTGTTCTTTTAAAAAGGGGTAAGAATACATGAGACTATCTGGCAGCAGGGGATTATGCTTTACAACAAATTTTAACAACTAATCTTCTTTAAAAAAATTATAACTAACTCTATGATCCAGCCTACAGCAACCACTTTTTGTGTCATCACAGCCATCTAAATAGAAGTGCCCATCCACTCCTCCGTGGATGATGCGTATTCTCCATTCCAAGATATTTTAATCTCTCTTCTTCTTAAAAACAGTATTGAATTGGAAACAATCCTGTATTATATAAAATTACACTTGCTTTGTTTGTTCCGTCTCTTTCTCAGGTTTAGAAGTTTCCAAATTGAAGTCCACTAAAATATTGATCCTTAACAATATCCATAACCCATTGATATGTGTCTCCCTCAAAAATTCAAAACACTATAAAAATTTACCCTTCTCAAATGGCACAATTGGTATCATGTAACCCTCTTCTGGGCACCCAGTCTTTTAGATAAATAAATATTTATTTATACATATATTTCATAATAAAACAAATTAGATTTTTTAAATCATTTCAATTCAACAAATAAATTCACTTATATTAAGAAATTATATTTTTTGAATACCTTTTATGTTTCTTTTAATAGCATTTTATTCAAGCATTTAAACCTCACAAATAATTGAGGTTTAAAAAAATCAATGATAAAACAATGTGGAATAATTTGTAGCAGTTTCGAAGTACTACTTTATATTGTGATCAATATATTGGGTTTTGATTGTAAACCGTTACTAACATTTTTCAGAAATATTTATATAGATTCACTTTATAATAAATGATAATCATAAGAGTTAAAAAAAAAAAAAAATATCCCAAGTAAATGGATGTCACAATGATGAAACACTGATCACATTGTATGATGAACACTGATCATGAAATACAATGATGTTACAATGAAAAAAAAAAAAAATGTATAAAATAATTAGGTTTTTGATTGATGTAATTTAATTAGTTTAATACTTAAATTTTAATTGATCGTGTTGGAAAAGAAAAACTTTTTCAGTAGGATCTTAAGGGAAAAAAATTTAATTATAACATAATAAACAATATACATTTATTTTACATTACATATATACATTTAAATAAATATTACACACTAAATTTAATATTATGGACATATCACTAAATGAATCACTAAACTGTCCAATAAAGATTAAGAAATAGTATTTACAATATTGATGAATAGCACAACCTCAAAACTATTTCTGAAAGATTATTACAAACTTGTATTGCCAAGTTCTTCAGCCTATGTAAAATAATAGTTACTATTCTATTGGAAACTGTATGAAGAAATGACAACTAAATTGCTACTCCTAATATACATGTATTAGTTAACTACTTGTATTAAATAGTTAAATTGGTTTGAGATATTTGAAAAGCTTAACGGAGGAATTGTCTAAATAATTACCATTGTGTCTGATGCGAATAAGAACAATTATGAAACATAAAAAAATTGTTTTTAAAATTGAGCAATGCTTTCTTAGTTAAATCTACTTTGCTGTATAGGAATCAATTTTTATGTATACCTTTATGACTACTTAGATTATAAACTATTTCAGGCCATGTATAAAATGACTTATGGCTAGAAAATAATGGAGCTAATCAAAAAATAAAGACTTAATAACTATATCACAATTCTCTGTAACTACTGTTTAACAAATAATATTCAGAAAACATATTTCTGTATGTATATATAGTGTAAATAGTTATATGAAAAATATGGTCTAATAGAGATTTTTTTTTATACAAGAGGAACTCAAATTGTTATCTTTTTTTCAATAAGATTTATGATTTTACTGATTTTGAATATATGATCTTATCACAATTTGTTATCTGAACTGGAATTATCTGAGTAGAATTTTGTGACCTATGCTATGCTATTTATAAGTAGCAATTGTTTTAAAATTACATAGATTTTTAGTTCTGAATAACAAATTGAAATGAAAATAAATTTTAAACAATTAAAATAATTTCCTATAAAATGAAAATGACTGTGTGAAGCCAATGAAATACGTATTAAAAAGAACAAAAAACATAAAATAAAAAAAATATTTCCACTAAAGTATAACATTACAAAAATAAGAATTATTACATTTTCTGATTTTTAAAAGCTAAACTAGTAAGTCTGCCATTTATAAGCAACCTAAACAAATATATATATAGTTATATACATATGTACACTTAACAGGATTATCTTGAGATTTCAAATTTTAAAAAAAGCATTAGAAAGGACACAGTATTTATAAACCTTATAAATTGGAAATGATTTTTCCTTTTAATTGATGATTTAAACTCATTTTTTTTGGTAATAAAAACTTGATTTAAAAAAATAATAAATATTGTTTTCTAATACATTATCATAATTGAAAGATTAAGTTAAAATTTCCCCTACTGTGCCATGTTATTAACTTATTCAGTTTTAATAATTTTGTAAAAGAGAACCATTATGAATTCAATTCATTTGAATTTTCAACGACATGAAATTAATAGAATTATCAAACTTATCTTTTATATTACATGATAGATATTTAATGGCAATGAGTTCAATCTTAAGTATCCAATTTATATCTAAAGAAAAGCAACTGAATGAGTGGATAAAAATTTTGGGAGTCAGCCTATCTACCTTTGAATAAATAAGGTAAAAAGCTTCTATGATTCTTCTGGAGGAACTGCAAGCAATGAACAGTAATACATATCCATTTCTCGATTATTGTTTTGCATTGGAATAGTTGGGACTCTCTTCTTTCCAATTGGCGGTTCTGGCTTCCTTTCTACTGATTCCTGATTATCTCCTCGGTTGCTGGACACAAGCCTCATCCTTGGTATTAATAAAGCAGAAGCCAGGGAGAGCAAGATGAATGCTACCCCACAGGTCAACAGGAGGTAGGTGGAGAGGGCTTGAGCTATTGGTCCAACAGTCAGGTAAAGATAGAATTTCCTGGCCATGGAAGGTGGTAACTCCTTCATCGTCTACACAAAAAAAAAAATATAATAAAAAATTAGGCATCTTAAGTTTATTTCTACTAATAAAATAGATTTAACTGTAGACCTACAAGTTTCTAAAGATGACAATAATAAATTAATAAATATTTTGATCATCACCTTCAACCAACTTCTATTCTTATTTAAAGTAAACTTATAGTTTAAATTCTAAAGGCAATAATGTTTTGGTAATTTCGTTCTAAATAAATTTTGATCTAAATAAAGGAACTATATTTTGGGATACAAGCATTACTATTTCGTTAATTACAAATTACATTCTCAAGTAAAGCTCTCAAAAGAATTGAGAGAACATCTTTTGAGTGCACAACTGAATGTCGGCTGTACGAAACCATGACGATTGGCGAACGTTGCTGGTGGAGGCTCGGATCTGGCATTGGGTTGTTGTGCTGAGATAATAATAACAATTGAGAATGATAATAGTATAATATGTTTAACAATGCTGCTGCTGAAAAAATTGACAGATTGAAAGAAAACTCCTTAGATGGATCTTCGGATCAGTTAAAAAGTCAGGAAAATGGAGAGTAAGGACAAATAAGGAAGTAGCTGCTTCCGTGTTTGTAGATGTTCAGCATCTGAAATGGCTGGGCCATATCCACAGGGTAGATGAAACAAGAGCAGCCAAAGCTATATATGTACAATCTAGATGGAGTGTGTTCGAGAGGAAGACTAAAAACTAGATGGTGGGACAATGCAAGCAGTGATCTCCGAAAGTGGGAATAATAAATACCAACATGACAGAAAATAAAGCATAGTGGTAAGTCGGTTGAGCAGGCTAAGGACAGTTAAATGTGCCTGTTGTGTCATTAGAAAAAGAAGTAATAAAATATATGGTTATTTCATACTCCTTAAAGACATTTGTGGAGCAATAATCTTAGGTACAAGTTTTCATTTAATGGGACAAGTAATAAAATATAACCAAATTAGTTTTGTTTTATTAAAAATTGTGATCCACTGGTGTTGGATTGGTGTTTTGGAAAAATTGTGTGGAAAAATTGGTGTGTTGGAAAAATTGGTGTTTTTTTAAATCCAATAAACATTGATATTTTAATCCCTGGAAAACCGAAAATACTAAATGAATTTTTAAAGAAATTCCCTGCAATCCAATTTTAGCTGGATATTATCAATAACCAATGAAGTTAGGGTTAAAATATAATAATTATTTGTCAACTGCTATTATATTTAGTCATTAAACTTATTAATTCTTGGCTTATTCACTCATCTGTAATGTAAGAAATACATTCTTCAACTACTTAGTCTATTAAGTAATATTTACACAGCCTTTTCAATAACATTTAAAATGTTCTCACAAACAAATTTATTAAATGTTAAAATTAAAAATATATTAATGATCCGAAAAACTTACAATATCCATCCATAACATTGGAAGAATCCTATGGCTGAATCTGGGGACATTTGAAATTTTTGACAGATCATCAAATACCATGTTTATTTGCATTTTTACTGAGACATTCAGAGGTAATCCAGATTCCTATTAATCAGAAATGAAATAAATCATTTATTAAATATTCATCATAGAAAAATAAGTAAAAGAATCACATAAATGACATTTTCTTACTTCATTAATAACAAAATAAGTATGGTGTAAATCATGATCTGGTTTCAAACCTTCTACTGAATCAAGGACTTTTGGGTCAGCATCCATAAAATGTGGATATGATAGAGCAATCGGGAAACCTGAAAAGTTAAATCATAGAGTATTATAGAGAATATGCTTACATATTAAATAAAACTATTAAGTCATTTGAATCTATGATTTATACATTCACTTCATATTCAATATGAGTAAAGACTTTTGGATATTATTTTTCTTAAATTGTATTTTGTTTTGAATTCAACTTGGGATTGACTTGTATGTCAAGTAGTTACACAAAATAGATCTTCCTTCAAATTCTTGCAAGAATATGTTGGTAATCTGTGGGAAAAACTTCTTACCCAAGTTCATGTACATTAGGAGGTTAAATCAGCAAAAATATAATTATGAATTTCTTATTGAAATTTTCTACTTTGATTTGAGTAGAAAAAAAAAATGAATAAACTACTGTTGAAATTTCATATTTTAATTATAGATGTTTTGAAATTAGTTATTTATAATTGACAACATATTTATTTTTAAATTGTTACTTCATTTCATTCAGATAAATAATCATATTTAATTAATTACAAAGTTCAAATAAAGAATTGATTTGTGATTATAATATATCAAAACTTGAGTTAACTTGCACAAAAAATTCAAGATAACAGCTCAAATAGATTTATTTTATTTTCCGTAATTATATACCACTTATATTTTAAGGTTGGGAACTATTGAAAAACTTGCAAGAGATATCTTAAATTTGATTTAAAATGAGAAAAATCAATATTTATGATACTCATTTCATTATTTTTTTATCGGCATTACCTACCAAGCAGAATTTTATAAAAATAATATATTTACATTGATCTTTGTTAGTTTATAAGATTCTTACATAGGTTTACATATATGTTTTAGTTTTGATGAATACCTATAATATGAATAACATGAAGAAAACATCGTATTATATTAAATGGTTTTTTTTATTCTTGACCAATAGTCCATTTATCTTTTACTGAATTTAATTATAAATAATCTATAATGAAACTTTTCACTTTTAAGAGGAAACATACCATAGTAACAATCCTGTACATCGAATATTCCACGTGGAAAACATTTATTTTTGCAGAAGCATTTATTCTTGGGATCTACTTCTCCATTGTCTAGTGCATTTTTCTTGAAATTATAGCGGTAAGCATGCATTCCGCTAACTACTTCTTCTCCTACACGAACCTAGGAAAAAAAAAATTAACAGTGATCAATATGCACATAAAATTTAGAATTAATAAATGTAATTATTTTTATTCATATTAAAATGTATATAAATAAAAATTTTCAGTTTGAAAATTTTTGTAAATATATTAATCAACTATTGATGTTAAAATGGAAAAAAAAGAAGGAGGAATCCATCATAGTTTCAGAATTCATATAGTTGGCATGCTTTAAAAATTTAATAAGACACTGAGCAATTAGATGTTACTTACCAATGGCATCGACCTACAAAGAGATCTTCTAAAAAAGAGCAGCTCTTGGTCCTTCGTTATTCTAGAGGGAAATTTGGTCCCATCACTGGCGTAACTCACATTGTTACAAGGTGGACTTGGCCAATGTGGAAGGTAAGGGGTTCCTCTATAGTTATCAATCAAACCTGACCGTCGGATATCTTTTTGTCCAGAAAAAGTTGTACTTGAGTCTCCATCAAAATTATACATCTACAAAAGAAATAGATGAAAGTATTTTACAATGAAAATAAAATGATTCCATACCAATTATTAAAATTATGTAGTAATGAGAAGAGCTATGAATATTAATGGTAAGACTACTTAAAGAGTCATGATAGTGAGAAATTAACTGCTTTCATATTAGAATCCTATAAAGAACACCGGATTGTAGAAAAAAAGAAAGTCTATGTACTATTTACAATATACTAAAAATTCCAATGCACATTTTGATGTTTCTTATAGTTTATCACTTCTGCAATTGATATATTACAAAAATATATACAAAGATGAAGACCCATCACAAAAGCAAAATAGAGAGTATTACATGCATTAGAAAACATAGGATAGAGTCATTCCATGTCAATTCAAGACAAGATCCCGAACCTGACCATCTAAGATTTTTTTTAAAATTCAGTACAGTTGTACTATTTGAAGAGACATGGAAAAACATAAAATTTAATTGAGGAAAGTAAACTCGTTTTTAAATCAAACAGCTTTAAAGACATTATAAATGGACTCAAAAACAGTAAAAATAAGATTGCCATAGAATCTTTCATAATTCAGCTAGAAGTCTGGAATTGATGTCATCTTGCAGCATATTAAATGCTCTTTCCTATGATATATAGCATTGAATAGATTAATAAAAGAAAAAAATATTTTAATTTTTTTATGTGATATAGTGTTGTGATAAATCATATAGTAAAATATAAATATGGGATGAAAAATTCCTAAAAAATTGAAGACTAATGTTCGATTTCCATAAATTTAACTCTTTATTCAATAAACTATTATATTATAAGGTTGCTAATGTGGAAACATGAAACATGAAACCTGATCATGAACATGAAATATGAAACAAACATGAAAACTAATCAGAAAAAGACTAAATGTCAAAAATGTTCTAATAAACTTAAATTAGAAGACACTAAGAGGCGACATTTTTACTGTCTAACAGATAAACAGACCTTGTTACTTGATAAAATAAAAGCAATTTTGGATTTTTTAGTTAATATTTCGGATTGCGGTTCATAGGGGAGATACTCTTTGAAATTGGAAACTATGACAGATATGAAATGAAATATTATGTGGCTAATACTTTTTTCGATTCAGTAGTCCTTTAAATATGAGATCCGTAGATAGTATAAGTAGTAAATATTTTATTTACATATTAAAAAGCTTCCCTAAAATTACGTAATTAATTATGTAATACATATTAATATACATTATTCAAATAAACTTGAACTTACCCTGTCGATCAGTCCAAGCTTGTCAAAATGTATCCAATTGGGCAAGAAACTATTGCCAATTGTTAAGAGGGTGGACTTGTAGCTAAACATGAACTCCTTAGCTGTCATCCTCACCAAGGGTTGGGTTTTCGTGTTTTTTATGAGCATGTTCACACCTAGCCTGGTGAAGATGGAAGCGTCTCGCATCACCTGAGCGAAACTCTGTCAAAAGTAATGGACAGCTCATAAGTTTCCAATTTTGTACCAAATTTAAAAGACAAAAAATTATAATAATAAAGTCTCACCAGAAGAGCGATATTAGGCATTATTAAATAATCGTCCTGAGATCCATTTGTCATGTGAGGCATGTAGACTAATGGGTGAACTGGGATCGAAGTTATAGTACCGTTTTCGTTAAAGGTGGCGTTACTGTGATGCATCAATTCCCTAAAACAATTGATGTAAATTAATTAATTAGAGAAAAAATTAAAAGTAAGAAAATTAAAGGGATCAATATTAGCTCCCCATTGAAAGATTTAAAAACAAAGCCTTAAGCCTCTAAAAGCGGTACATAACTAACCAATGTTTCACCTATATTATACACCTATAGAATGTATAATACATATACCATAAGTGCACATTAGAGATTTGTATTTGGTATGTCTTTTTAAGTCTTTTGAAGTAAGATATGCTGCAAACTTGCTTATATCTTTCAGTGTCATATTTGATGAGTCGATGATTTTTAGTTATGCCTACTTTCAGAAAGTCCAGAAGGAGTAGTATATAAAAAAAAAATATTGCATATCTTTTTTCATTAATAGACTCATATTCAGTCGCTTAGAGACATAAGTGTTTTTTTTTTGCATTATAAATTATTTATTTTATTAAATAAATTATTTAAAAATACTTTATCTTCTAATAACAGAAAAAAAAAATACTTTAGGCATTAGCTAAAATGATCTGCAGTTTATTAAATAAAGTGTTCAAGTGGTGGCTTGGTACTTATTAATAGTAAATTTTACTCTAGTCTTGAGTTTAAAAGTCATTCTGTTTTTACTTTCACTTACCTACATAAGAAATAGATAGTAAAGGTTGCAGGTTCTGTGTTTTCTTTATTAAATTTGGAGAGCAGTAGATTTAATTTAGGCTGTATAAAAGTCCAAGGGCGTATGTTATTTTGAATTATATTTAAGTTGATCAGTTTCAACTTATATATTCCAAACGTCATCCTTTCTGCTAATGGCAGTGTTGCATTATTCTTTTGTTGGAATTTTGTAGAAAATTCAGATTCAAAAATGTATTTGTAGGCAGGGTGTGTGGGTTGTGGGTATAACTTTAGTATGTAATTTATTCCTAATTTTTGTCTTCTGAAAGAGAGAGGTGGTAGGCCTAAATTGACGCAGAGACTAAGGGCTGAACTTTTCCTAAAAGCTCCAGTAGTGAGGCGCATTCCTCCGTGGTGCTCCCAATCAAGCTTGGCAAAACTACTTTTACGAGTGGAGCCGTAAAAAAACTGCCATAATCTATTTTAGAACCTATTAATGCTTGATACACTTTTAGCATTGTATTGCTGTCCGCTCTCACTTTGTTCCACTTAGTACTGTTAATACCTCAAGTGTTCTTGCATATTTTTCTTAAAGTGACTTAAAGTGATGTTCCTAAGACAGACGCGTATCTAATCCCAAGAATCTACAGTTTTCAGTGTATGGTAATTTAACATCTAGATAAAGGTCGGACGGTTGTAGTGTTTTTCGTTTTCTAGTGAAATGTACTCATTTTGTTTTGTCGGTATAGAATTGCAATCCTGATGATTTAGACCAACCGTCTATTCGACATAGTGCATCTTGGAGTTTCTTTTTCATAGAGAGGATACCTTTTCCTCTGTATAGTATTGTAAAATCGTCGACAGAGCATAACTTTGACTCCACGATTGAATCCAAGGTCGCTGATAGCAAAGATGAATAGAGTTGTACTTAGGACATATCCTTGTGGTACCCCCCTCATTTGTTCACATTGCATGGGCAACGATGTTCCAATCCTGAAGCAAAAGAGCGATGCGAAAGAAATTCTTGGATGAATTTGGGAGGACTACTTCTAAATCCTAGTGAATAGAGCTTTCTTCGAATTAAGTATTTATTGGTTTTATCAAACGCTTTTTGCATATCGAAGAAAACAGCAGCTGCTTCCTCTTCTTGAACAAAGGCATACTATAATTCAGCCTCCATTTGAACTAGGTCCTTTCTTTCGATCTCCCTTCGCGAAATCCACATTGGAAGTTTCGAATAAGCTGGTATTCTTCAAGGTTCCACGTGAGCCTCTTATTCACCATTCGCTCCATTACCTTCTTACAATACAATATATGCGATCTTAATTATGTTGTTTTAATGAAATGGATACAAAGCAAAAGCTCTGACTCATTGTCAGATTTTCAAAAAAGTTACTTCAACATTTGAGCCCAACAGGAAAAGAAAAACTGAAACTTTTACACTAAATTATTCTCGAACATACTAATTGATTACGATTCACCATTATTAATATGTTGTAAATACTTTTTAAATAAAAACATCTGCATTTATAAAATTTATTTCATTTATTACGAATAGAATTAAAGCTAATATAATTTTTAAAATAAATTTTACGAAATATCTAAGCAGTTGTCGAAAAATATATGAAATATGCAGTGGCCTTGGGTTTTAAAATTCATTGATATTTAATTACAAATAAAAAAACACAACAAAACTGACGAAATACAGTTTGAAATTCAAATGGAGTTGGAGAAGATTAGGTTTACTGCACAGATTTGATGTTTTGTTTTTAAAAGATATAAAGAGAGGGATGCATTTGAGTCTCCTTTAGGTGGCTCAAACAGTTAGATAATGATATTTTGAGGAATAAAATTAGCAGTTAAATAAACAAGCAGTTTTCAATAAAAATGTAAAAAATGCACATTCGTTTGAACCAAAGCAATACACGGTATTTCAAAAGGAAGTCGTCTCTCTGCATTGAACTCATGCAGGAGTCAATTTAGTTTACGACCATTGGTTAAGGTTAAAGTTAGGGTTGTAAAACAGGTTGTGCATAACTGGTGGTTTAAGGTCGCTTCTAGGTCTACTAAAATGGAAAGTACTTCAGGCTCAAAGATGAAGCAACAAGAATCTTGTTGACCCGCTTATCTCTCAAGTTCTACAGCAACGGGCGACCTTCTTCGCCAAAGTGCCTTTTCACAATATCCAGGGGTTTCCCTCCTTTTTATATTTTTTTATACCTATACAGATAAAAGACATCTATCAGGTTTAAAGTACGGCATACCAAGACAGATAGCCCGGACATCCGTCGAGTTATCTATGAAAACTCTTTCCCTATCAATCGTTTCACGGAATAATAAAGCCTTTGAAACGTAAAATAACTTGAAGGAGGAATTCCTCATGATCATTCGATGCGATTTAGGCATATGTCATCGAGTGAGTGTTTAAAAAAATATTATGTTGAATAATTATAAACAGGAAGTCATGTTACTCTAATGCGTATATAATGCTAGATACGGAAACTTCAGGTGAACGTTTAATGGAGGGAAGAACAAGATTAAGACTGCCAGATTTTTTTGCAAATGACGCCAGAAAAGTAGGGTAAAGCAATTGGATAGCTACAGCTAACGAAAGAAATGCTTGGAAGAAGTAAAAGAAGTACCTGAGACGGTAATATCGCTACTGTTAGTGGAAATTTTTGGAACTGCAATAAATTGTCCGCTATTATAGAAACTAGAATAGGGAAATAAAATATGAAATTATATTAATAAATCAAATCAGATATATACACATATATATTAATATATAATCAGTTCTTTTGAAAAATCATTGTATTTTTACATACAACCTTTTGCAATAACAGTAGCGATATATAATATTACAATAAACAAAACTAATCACTTTTCTAAATTTATTGAGAATGCTTTATTACCTGTAGACATAAGGTCCAGTTTGCTGGAATCTAAGTTTATTTTCTTTCCCTGACATGAATTCTTCGCTGTTGGTAACATTGAACAGGTAAACTTTCAGGTACAACTCCACTTCCGGTTTTTCCCACATCACGAATTCTTCGCTGTCAGGGTAGAAGGTGACTTTCTGAAAAAATAAAACAAATAAGTGTAAGCAATAAAATATACTACAACTTTACATTTTAAACAATATTATTATTGTTAAAAATCGTAGCAAAGCGAGAAATAAAGTATTTTTTTCAGTCTAATACGTTTTTTCTGATTAAACGTAAGCGATGCGCAAAAATGGAAAAAATATATAAAAACCAATTGTGATTTGTTTATGATTAATAACTAAAATGTATGACAAATTTCGAAAAATTATAATATTTCCTTCATTTCCAAGGCTGCTGCTGACACCGATTTAGATGCTCAGGCAGAGTGACCCACTTGAAGAAACAAAACTAGTTCAGCCAAGTTTTATAAATATATTAATTAATAATTGCAATTGAACTGGATATTAAACTATTTAAATCAGGACAAAAACAACAAGTAGAAAAATGGCGTAGACCAGCTATAACAAGTTGTAAAATAATTTATTTAACTTGGGATAAGTGATTTAACTACTACAATTTTTTTTTTTGAGATATTGGGGAGAAATGCAAAAATTCCTACTAATTTCAATAGCAGGAACAAGGTCTCCCGAAATTAAATAAAACAAATCGTTGTATTTATTATGTGAAAAATTCGATCCAAACCTGACTTTAAATTTTCTTCCAGATAAGAAATTTTGAATTAAGTGCAACATATTACCACTGAAATCCCATTCATTTAATTTTTCAATTATTTTAGATTTTCTAGAGGTATCAAATGCCTTTTCAATATCAAATGAAACACAGAATAAATTTTGTTTATTTGAAAATGCTTTATTAAATGCCAGCCTGATGTAGCGGCACAATGGCACCATAATGTTAAATAAATTAGATGAAACATGTTTTACATTTCCCAACTCTTTTGGATTTGAATTTTTCACTTAATTGTGAATGCTGACAATTTAAAACAATAATTTTTTATTAAAAACAATAAAATCATACTTTCTCAACCTAAACGTTATTGTTATTGGTTTAAATTTTTTTTAACTCTCTGGATGAAATGTTTTATCTCAATTTTCGAAGTTTGAAGTAGGTTTTCAAATCTCAAATTTCCTAACTCTTTTTATTTCATAATTAATTATGGGGAAGGGGGAAGGAAAAAAATCCTACCCCCATTTCTGTAGCGAGAACACAACTTGTGATGTTTGGTTATATTGTAATCCAGAAGACAGATTTTAATTTTTCATAGAGGGGGAGGTTTTTAACTCTGGCATGAATCCTCGCCCTTACCCCCTGGTTAGTGAAAACCCAATATAGCCTAAAAGAGCATGGAAGCGGAGCACAAAAAAAATAAAATAAATAAATAGTAATTGGTTTTTATGAAACTGTACGCAAATCTTCCTGGTCAATCTCTATTTTGGGCTGATATTCGTGAGAGACTATCGAACTATGCATAGATGGAGGTAATTTACATATTTAAGGATCATGATCTACGACTAGTGTCGCTCAAAATCGGTCTTGGTCTCAACCAATCGGTCTTGGTTACGGCACTTAGCAAGACCAAGACCGCCTGACTGTTGTAAGACCAAGACCAGGACTCGTAAAAAAACATTGATTTTTTAAATAAAAATTAAAACAAAACAGTTACTAATGCTCGACAATCTTAGTTACTGTATGTTAATAATTGATATAACCAATATAATTTTGCATTTAACTCCTCTAATTTTTGATTTGGGCTTAGTTAGGTTTCTCCTATCTAAAAAATTACAGTAACATCTCTACAGTAATAAGCTAATAAGTAACTGCAAGACTGTTTCGAGACCAAGACCATGAACAAGACTGAGTTTGCAAGACAAAGACTCGTTCTCGCGTTTGGGCAACACTGCGACGATAATGAGAATAGAAATTTTATGTGTTTTTTTTATCCTCTTTATCGTTATTTTATTTCATTATATTTTGACTATGAAAAATGAAAATATAAGTTTCATTTAATGCTAATTAAAAAAAAAATAAAAACTTACCTGGCGGAATACTATCTCGTAAGGATTCACAGCTAGTATTATCGAACCGATAGTGATGGCACACAGGCCGCATATCATAGTCGTGAAAACCCCTGGAAATAAAGAAAAATACAATTAGCTGAATATACACATATGTTAGACAATTGCGAGAGTTTTATTAAAAAATAGTCAATTAAGCGTAGCATACATAGTTCTATAATGTTAATTTAATAACTGTATTATATTTATTGAGTAAATTAAGCATATAAGTTATAATTTCAAGAAGATAAATGGATCCGTATATAAATAAGATTAATTATAGTTATTTTTTTGTGTTTTTATTTATTTATTAATTTGATGTTATATGTGTGCGGTAAAATCGATTATATAATTAGATATTGTATCATCGAAGAATGATTCACTGATAGAAGCCTGATTAAATGGATAGAAATGTTCAATAAATTCTGAACCTTAGTTGTTATTCAAGCTTGATTCTCTGTGGTTTGGAAATCCGCACCTCAGCTCTTTTAACTGGAATTATTGCTTGAGTAATTCAGGAATATCCAAATAGGGGAAAACGGACACACGAAGATTCACACTCATATAAAACGAATGAAACTTGTTGATCCTATCACAAACAAAATACTAACTTTACCCGATCTCTCTGTGAGCATAAAAACGCTAAGTACACTAAACTAAGAACGTACTATATTACATTTTTTTTTTCATAAAAATTGTTAGAACCGTAAATAGCAGACTTATCACGTTCAACCACTGTTAAAATAGCCAATATCTTGGCACTATTTGTTATTGATGCTGACTAATATTTAAACATTTACCCTTTATACCCTTAGATTCAAAATAATATAAAAGAATGATCAACTATTTGAGGTGCAACAGCGTTTAAGTACAAAGCGGGAAATAAAATCTCGAAAAATATCTAGAAATCTCAAATTAAGGGAGGACAATACTGTCATAAAGCCGGTGCTGATGTAGGGCTGCAAGACACAGACTTTAATCACCCTACTAAAAAGAAGTATTAAAAGATTTGTAGGAAAATCTTAGCATAATAATTAAAATGATCTGTGATGAGAGTATTAGCGTATGGAGGAGAGGAATCTGATCAGTCTATACCTAGTGACACTAACGGATCCAGGATTTGATTTTGGAAGGGGCTTCAACCCGAAATATTTTTTTTTGTATGTATATATTAGAATAATTACTTTGGAAGAAATAAATAAACTAACTACGAATATCTAAAGGTGTTTAGCTGATTCTTTAAGTTCTATTAAATGTAATTAGAAGAACAATAATACTTTTAGAGATAATTTTTTTCATAAAAAATGGTTATATTTTACCATTTTGAGGGGCAGAAGGCTTCAGCCCGAAAGCCTTCCTCCCCTCCCCCCCCCCCGTAGATCCACCTTTGCCTTGTGACATGAACGCACTAACGAATCCAGGATTTAATTTGGTATTTTTTGGGTGAGGATTTCAGCCCGAAAACGTATATATATATATATATATATATATATATATATATATATATATATATATATATATATATATATATATATATAATCATATATATATATATATATATATATATATATATATATATATATATATATATATATATATGTATTATATATATATATAATATATATATATATATATATATGTATATATATATATATATATATATATATATACGTTTTCGGGCTGAAATCCTCACCCAAAAAATACCAAATTAAATCCTGGATTCGTTAGTGCGTTCATGTCACAAGGCAAAGGTGACATATATATATATGTATATATATATATATATATATATATATATATATATATATATATATATATATATATATATATATATATATATATTTATATATATATATATATATATATATATATATATATATATTAATATATATATATATATATATATATATTAATATATATATATATATATATATATATATATATATATATATATATATATATATATATATATATAATCACTTTGGAAGAAAAAGAAAGAAACTTTATAAAGTGGTTTATTAGTAATTCTTGAGGTCATAATAAATGTAATTACACCAGTAATAATACTTTTCTTCTTATTTTTCTTTTTTTATTAGGAAGCTTATGTTTATAATTTTTTCATATTTTAGGCAATAAAACTTCCAATTTTCTTCATATTTTTTTATTTATGCTTGTTGTCTCTTACGTTTCGGGACAGTTTTCCCATCATCAGAGTAATATTTTTATTTTTATATTCTTTTTTTTTTTTGATGTTGCACCATTTGTCACATTTTTTAAAAATTATTTGGTGTTACACATATTCATTTATACACTAATCAACGTATGGCTATTTTTAGTTTTATTTCTGTACTTTGTAAATACAAAATAAATAAATAAATAAAAAAAATATGAAGAAAATTGGAAGTTTTATTGCCTAAAATATGAAAAAATATTACTTTTCGAGATAATTGTTTAATATTTTTTTCATTAGATCTGGTTATATTTTATCATTTTGGGGAGGTTTCTACCCCTATAGGTTCAACTGTGTATGAAGGCGAGGAGATTATGATATGATGGGTATTAAGCTCGATGGAATCTGCTGAAAAAGCTTTTTACAACAACGAATACCATAATTGGCAGGCGACTTCGAATGACAAAGAATTTTCAGAATTCTTAAAACTAGAGAGAATATATTTTTTTTTTGGATAAGGAATTAAAAACTTTGAATCAACGGGCTGTGATATGTTTTTGACGTCCTAATTATTACTGCTGAAACACTTCCTACAAAAATACCAGAAGTGGTTTATTAAATCGGACATGGGCGATTCATTTTAAAAATTAAGGAGGCGGGTGAGAGGGAAGCATGGACTAGCCATCGGTCAGTCGCTAGCCCTGGCCAAGCGGAAATTCCGGTGTTTCCAGACCTTGCGGACAGCACGGGCCCTTGAGGCAGTACTCTCGCCCGATGGAGCAGCCGCAGGTGGGATGTAGGATGCGGTAGCAGTGGGCGAGAGGATTTATCTCCATGTTTGCTCATAGCAATGTAACCTGTTCCATCAACTAGTTACCACCAGCTGAAGAGTGATGCACATGTCGCTTCGAAGGGATAATTAGTTCTGAATATATCAGCCAGGGGTGCCCGGAAGGGGGTTTTATGGAGCAAATTGCGCCATCAAAATTAACGAGGGGAGCATTTTTTGATGGGGTTTCTAATTTTTGAGAGGGACAGAATCCGTCGGGGTTATGAATTTTCAAAATGAAAAGTTTCAAATCAAAAGACAAGTGAAATCATGGAACAGATCATAGGATGAGTAATGGTATATAATCTACGAATATTCAAATTCTACTTTCGCTTGCACTGTTTTTAAGAAGAAGAGAGGAATAAAATATCTTAGGGGGAGAAGGTTTATCCGCCATCGGTCTAAGGGGGGGGGGTAATAGGCATCCCTGATACCAGCTTTAATGAAAAATGTAAAAGTATAGAAACTGATAAATGATTAGCACAATGGTCGGTAATCCGTGGCTCTCTGAAGGTATTAGATAATTTTTTTTCTAATATCTGTCTGAATAGTATTATTAGTAGTAGTGGTAACACCGCACAGTGGGATAAGTATGAAAAAACTCGCGATGTCGGCTAAATAAATTTTTATATTTCAATTAAACTATTAAATGAAGAACAGTAAAAATGTATATTTTGCGAACTGAAAATATTCTCACGAATTCCACAAGTTATACATAAAACAGTAGTTTTTGGAGTTCTAAAAAAAAAAAAAATAGTTTTAGCTGATGTCGTGAGTTTTCCCTTACTCATTCCCATGTGCGTCGGTGAGATCTAAAGAACTGATCAGGATACCGGAACTTGCCATAAGCAGCTTCATTCAATTTTAAGATGGATAGATCGAGAATTTTACGATCGTTGCTTACTACTCAAATATCTTACTTTCAAAGGAAAATATGCACGTTATAAGAAGTCTTATTTGAAATGAACCATAGTTCGTATGGTACAACACATCCCTTTGGTGAAAGAAAGTAGGGAAGGACTTTCAGAGAAATTCGATAAAAATCAACCATTACATTTCATAATTGGCTACAATCAACTAATGATGTCAATATTATCAGCTTCGTAGTGAACCAGGAATGTCGAAATTAAAGAAAAATCTTTTACAGATTGAGTACATTAAATATTGTTATTAAAATGTATCTATGGAAATCGTTGCGAATTTTAAAAATAAAGCTGAAATTTTAAATAAATTTCAAAGTATTCCATTGTTTGCGGATTGCTCTCAGCAATAAGTTTTCAGAAATATAATATTCTGCACTGGTTTGCCCATCGCTCTCATCTCATATGTTTTACTAGTTAGATCGTCTATCGAGCAATGTAGATATACAGCCCAGACTGTTTGTTCCGTTGTTTTAGATATAATATCGATAATTTACCTTCAACCAACAAGAGCACGAACTTTGCACTTGGATTGATATGAAACAAAAAATTGAAAATAATTGAAATATTATAAATTTTTTTTTTAGTATTTTGAGTTCAAATCCCTCATCGGATCTCACCGAATAATTTGGGACGCCAAAAATAGATACAGGGATTGGCTTAAAAACTCGTTACATAGTTAGCCATACTACAAGCAGTTGGGTAATAAATATGTTTTACAAAATATTTTTACATCTATGTTATATTGTCATGTATAAAAAATAAGTTGTTAAATTATTATAAAGGACGATACTGTTCATTTTGAACATAAGTGTTATTTAATTTTATCACTCTTAATTAATTTAATAGAAAAACTTCCGAGCATGGATACTTTATTCAAGATATTTTATTATCATTTATTTATTTATAAATGTTTTATTTTTTATTTCATGAATTTATTCTAATTTAAATTAAATTTTAAATAAATAAAATTTTGTAAGTTAAATTAAATTTTAATTAATTGTTAAATCTCTTGTCACGAAAGCAATAATAACAATCAGCAGTTTGTCATAAAATCTAAATAGCAATATTTTATTTTTTGACGAGAATATATCATTTTCAAAAACGATGAAAAATGTTTTTCCATTTTTAATCCGACGTTAAGAAAAAGTTTTA